TTGCCAGGCTTGTATGCACATGCGCACATCGGCACGCGTAGATCTACCACTGACTACCGGTATGGCGGCAGTTTTCCTATGCACCGTACATAGCGCATGCACTCTTGACCTACCCGATCCGCGCTTGCACAGAAGCCAGGCTTCTACACGCGACAGGCTTTTACGCATTTGACCCGTTTGATTTTCAGGCTTCTATCCGCGATGTGCTTGTATGCAAACCCGGCTTTTATCCGCGACTTTTTGGTATATGATGTGCATGCTGGTAAATATGACGTATATTATGTGTATACAGTCAGACCTCGCTTATCCCGTCCGCTTTTATCCGGATCCCTCGCCATCTGGAAGAAAATCGTTGGTTACCGATTTACAGCATATGCCATGCATACATACAGTATGTGTGTTCGATTATCCGGTTCCCTCGCCTATCCGGATATTTTTGTGGAAAACGGATGTAGGTTAAAACTGCCTCTGTGATGTGTATGATGTGCATGATGTGTATACCGGAAATTATGACGTGTCTGATAAGGCGGTGTACTGACTCTGTGCTGTGTATGATATGTGATCATGTGTATGCTGCTCTCTGCACCCAGGCGCTTACTTCTACATGACACATGCTGAAATTGCATGTCGTCAACTGGGCTTCGGCTCCGCCGTGCGAGTCTTGAAACCGGGTAGTCATGGCAACGGCACCGGCACTCCTTGGATTACTAACATTCTATGCAGTGGACGTGAGGAGTACCTTGATGAATGTCAATCGATGGTTTTCGCTGCTGGCTATTGTCCGGATAATGGACCAGCTGCAGCCATTGAGTGCTCGGGTAAGTACCGGTGTGTGCGTGTGTGTTTTTACTAAAGGTCATGTGTGTTTTTACACACACACACACACACACACACACATACTCTCTCTCTCTCTCTCTCTCTCTCCCTCCCTCTCTCTCTCTCTAGCTCTCTTTGACGGCACAGTACGGGATACGTACGGGATAGCGGGCCAGGCATGGCGCGTCACATGATGATGGCCCTACCAAACACGCGTGCGCGCACACACGCACACACGTACACCTTTTGGACCTTTTGACGCCCATCGCCGGAGGCGATGATAGCGATGCTGCAGCAGAAGCCATAGCAGCTTGTGCTGGGATTGCACCATTCAACAGCTTGCAAGGCTGAAGAATTGACCACCACTATTCAGCCTGGTCTACACCACACAGCTGTGAAGTGGCTTTTTTCTGGCCAGTGAATCCCTATTCACATCATCAGACATCAGACCTGCCCACCGCGGAAGCAATGATAGCGAACAGCTACGTTAGACATAGCAACTTGTGCTGGGATTACACCATTCAACAGCTTGCAAGGCTGATGAATTGACCGCCACTAATTCTATTCACATGCACACACCGATACACACATATACACCGATACACACATATACACAAACACACCCTCAAACACAAACACACCCTCAAACACAAACACACACACACACACGCATACACACACACGCGCGCGCACGCACACACACACGCACACATATTTTTCCGCACACACATCACACCACATACTCCGGCATGCACTGGCTGTTGGTAACCACCCAGGAGAATGAAGAAAAGTCAGGAGGAGTCTGAGAAAGAGAAGAGAGACGTGTGTGACCATAATCGTCGGGAATCGAACCCGCAACCTCTCGATTGGAAATTGCTGCACATACCACTGCACCATATGGGACACACGTACACACACACACACACACACACACACACATCAGGCCCGGAGCCAGCTCCCAACGGGCGGTGCGGGCCCCAGGTCAGCTGCAGGGCAGATAATTTCCGCACGCCCTATTTCAGAGTCATGGGAGAGTTCATCTCAAGCTAGCTGTGTGCGGCATCACATCTGGTTGTTCCGGCTTGTTGGTTGTTCCAGCTGTTGCAGCATCACATCTGGTTGTTCCAGCTTGTTGTTGGTTGTTCCAGCTGTTGCAGCATCACATCTGGTTGTTCCAGCTTGTTGGTTGTTCCAGCTGTTGCAGCATCACATCTGGTTGTTCCAGCTTGTTGTTGGCTGTTCCAGCTGTTGCAGCATCACATCTGGTTGTTCCAGCTTGTTGTTGGCTGTTCCAGCTGTTGCAGCATCACATCTGGTTGTTCCAGCTTGTTGTTGGTTGTTCCAGCTGTTGCAGCATCACATCTGGTTGTTCCAGCTTGTTGTTGGCTGTTCCAGCTGTTGCAGCATCACATCTGGTTGTTCCAGCTTGTTGTTGGCTGTTCCAGCTGTTGCAGCATCACATCTGGTTGTTCCAGCTTGTTGTTGGCTGTTCCAGCTGTTGCAGCATCACATCTGGTTGTTCCAGCTTGTTGTTGGCTGTTCCAGCTGTTGCAGCATCACATCTGGTTGTTCTAGCTTGTTGTTGGCTGTTCCAGCTGTTGCAGCATCACATCTGGTTGTTCCAGCTTGTTGTTGGCTGTTCCAGCTGTTGCAGCATCACATCTGGTTGTTCCAGCTTGTTGTTGGTGTTATAGTTAGACATTTCAATAATTCTCGAGCATACTTCAAATATTCACGATAGTAATATGTTGTGCAAATACATAAATCACGTACCTGACTTCTCCAGGTCTAGGTCACTCCGAGACACCTTTCTTGCAAGGTATGATAATACTTCATGTTTACAAACATTAGTTATCTTCCTGCTGCAAGCGAAGGCTGTTGTTTACAAAGTCTTCGCCCATAATTTATTTGCATGTTGCTCACACGCAACCTTTCCCAAACTGAATTTGACGCATGCGCTCTGTGTACATCTCTAGAATAAAATTGTGCTCGCTGCTCTAAAACTGCACGCCACTCTGTAGCGTACATCTAGAGATCTAAAGTCCGCATGCGCTGTACGCTAACTTTGCATCCGGTTGCACCAAACGCTTGGAGCGCATATAACCTGAGCTTGCTATCATTTTCATTCATTCCGCTCGAGTCTAAGGACTCTCCAGTCTTCTACTATACTATGGTAAAGTAATGGATAAACCTATTACCCGTTGTGTTTTGTGAGTGCCTTAGTTCCTATCGTGTGCAGAACGTTGAATTACAACATTGGCGACGAAATTTCCGAACCATGTCCAAGGACTCCATCGACCAGTTCCTTATCAGTGGGCACGCAAGTGAGGTCCAACAGCGTTGGAAGAAATGGCGGCGGGCTTTCCAGTACTTCATCGAAGCCAAGGACATCACCGACCCAGATCGCCAGCGCAGCATGCTGTTGCACAAGGCTGGCCTACAGATTCAGGAGATCTTTGAAGATCTCGAAGACCCGGTTGCGCAGGCAGATAGACCAGGGGATGACAACGCTTTCAAACAAGCGGTAAGAATGCTTGATGAGCATTTCGCATACACAGTCAATCCAACTTTTGAGCGGCACGTTTTCAGACAGATGTCACCCAATGTAGGAGAGAATGCCACGCAATTCTGCACCAGACTCCGTACGCAGGCCAAACTTTGTGCATTTGCTGCAGATGACGAGCACATTCGTGATCAGATGATTGCCACTTGTATTGACGTCGATCTGCAACGCTCTCTTCTGTCCAAGAGTAACCTTACCCTACAGGTGCTGCTGGAAAAGTTTCGCGTGCGAGAATCGTCAGGCATTCAAGTAAGATCTATGGCTACGGCAGCGTCAAGCGTCAGTGCCAGCCCGAGCAGCGTCGACGCCGTACGCTCTACGACATCGTCAACGCGCTCCCCATGTACGCGATGCAACAGGGTGGGTCACGCGTCGTCAGCTGACGATTGCCCAGCACGCCGCCGCCGATGCAACACGTGTAGTAAGGTTGGACACTATGCTGTTTGTTGTAGATCTCAAGGTGGTACTAGTAGTAGTAATGCAAGTAGATCATCGCATGCCCAACCTAGGGATGCTGGTACTCACCATGTCTCACTGCCTGACCAATGTGATGAAGCTCTAAGCTCAGATTTCATGATTGCCAATATTGGGTCCCAGCACAGTCACACTGGCAAATTCCGAGTTGATGTACATGTAAACGGGAAACCCCTCAACATGGAACTTGACACAGGGGCACAGTTATCGATCATTCCTGAAGCTCTTTGGAAACAGTTGTGGGGAGATGTCAAACTGAATGCCACCAAGACTGCACTCTGTACTTTCTCGGGGGCGCCTTTAACTGTTGTGGGGGAGGCCTGTGTCGATGTACAGTACCAGTCGCAACATGTCCAGGAGAAGATTCTTGTGGTCAAAGAGGGCACCACCCCGTTGTTCGGCCGCAATTGGTTGTCTAACATACGTTTGGATTGGCATACCATCTGTTCTGTCTCTTCTGCTCCACGTACGTCTGATTCTGAGTCTGTATTAGACGAGTTCCCAAGCGTTTTTGAAGGTGGTCTGGGCAAGATCCATGACTCGGAGGCGGTGATCCACATTGCCAGCGGGGCAATTCCCAAGTGTTACTCGGCTCGACCGTTGCCATACGCCATGAAACCGCAAGTTGATGTTGAATTAGATCGTTTGATTAAGGAGGGTGTTCTAGTTCCGGTAGAATCTTCAGAGTGGGCTTCTCCTATTGTTGTTGTGAAGAAAGCCGATGGTTCTATACGACTCTGTGCAGACTTTAAAGTCACCATCAACCAGCATATTGAAAGCAACATACACCCTATTCCAAATCCCAGTGATTTATTGTCCAGCATTGCAGGGGCCTCTGTTTTCTCAAAAGTTGATCTCAGCCAAGCATACACTCAGTTGCCATTGTCCGAAGACAGTCAGAAACTGTGCGTCATTGCAACCCATCGAGGGTTATTTGCTTTCACGAGATTGCCCTTTGGCGTTTCCTCAGCACCATCAATCTGGCAAAAGACTATAGAGCAGATCTTAGCTGGCATCGATGGGGTCATCGTGTACTTTGATGACATCTTAATCACGGGAACCAACCAAGCAGAGCATGATACCCGGTTGCGTCAAGTTCTAGACAGATTTGAGAAGGCAGGATTACAGCTGAAGAAAGCGAAGTGTGAGCTGAACCAGGAGAGTGTCAAGTATCTAGGCTTCATTGTATCAAGCAAGGGGCTGCATGCTGATCCTAGCAAAGTATCTGCTATAGCCAAAGCACCACAGCCCACTAACTCGTCAGAACTACACTCCTTCTTGGGGCTGGTCAACTTTTATGGTCGATTTATCCCTAATGCTTCGCAGTTGTTGTATCCCTTGAACCGTCTTCTTCAGAAGGGTACAGAATGGAACTGGACTCCCGAGTGTCAACATGTGTTCATCCAGTGCAAGGAGATCTTAGCATCGTCAAACGTACTGGCTCACTATGATCCCAAGAAACCACTCCTCTTGGAGTGCGACGCGTCTCCCACGGGAATCGGTGCCTGCCTACTACAACCAGACAAAGTAGGTTATTTGCGTCCTGTTACTTATGTATCTCGTTCTTTGGCTGCTGCTGAAAGAAATTATGCGCAAATTGAGAGAGAAGCTCTTGCCATTGTATTTGCCGTGAAGCGTCTTAAACAGTATCTGTGTGGACGACACTTCACCCTTCGCACCGATCACAAACCGTTATTGAAGATCTTTGGTGAACATGATCAACTTCCGTCTGTCACTACAGCACGTCTACAACGTTGGGCTGTTATTTTGTCCGAGTATCAATATTCCATTCAGCATATCAATGGTACTGATAATGTTGTTGCTGACTGTCTATCGCGTTTGCCCGTTCAGCTTTCTGTGCTTCAGGAACAACAGCTCACGGATTACATTAAGTCTGTCAATGTTGATCCTTGTCATGATCTGCCATTATCCGCTACCGATGTTAGCAAGGCAACTTCAGCTGACCCCACTCTACGTAAGGTCATGCACCACATCACACATGGCTGGCCTAGCAGTGTCCCAGACAGTCTTTCCTCGTACTATCGTATTCGAGACCAGCTATCTGTTGAGCAGGGATGTATCACCTGGGGTTTGCGGGTTGTGATTCCCTTGGTATTTCGTTCCAGTCTGTTGCATGAGTTGCATGTTGATCATCTTGGCGTATCTCGCATGAAAGCTGTGGCTAGATCCTTCTTCTGGTGGCCTCACTTAGACCAAGACATAGTTGAACTTGCTGCGAATTGTCGTCTATGCCAACAGCAGGCTCGAGCACCAACGAAGGCACCCATTCACCACTGGGTCTACCCGAACCGGCCATTTGAGAGGGTTCATCTTGATTTCGCTGAATACAAAGGTCAGCACTACTTGTTAATAATTGATGCGTACTCCAAGTGGGCAGATGTATTTGTTATGGGCAAATCTACTACTACTGAGCGGACATTATCATGCTTGAAACGGTTCATTAGCTATTGCGGAATCCCGCTGATGTTAGTATCGGACAATGGTCCGCAGTTTACGTCCATGGAATTTGCCACCTTTTGTCAGAAAAATGGTATTCGGCATAAAAGAACCCCTCCGTACCATCCTGCTAGCAATGGACAGGTGGAGCGTCTAGTACAAGAACTTAAGAAACATCTTGCAAAATCAGATGATTCTCCTCAAGATGCTGTTTCGCAATTCCTGTTTTCGTATAGAAACACACCACATTCTGTTTCTCACGCGTCACCAGCTAGCATAATTATGAAGTTCGTCCCCGTCACACGTTTCTCATTTCTCTATCCTAGTTTTGCAACGCACATGCAGGCCAAGCAAGACTCTGCGCCAGCTATGCGAGCTTTCCTGCCAGGTGACAGCGTCTGGGTCAAGGATGTTCGCCATGACAAATGGACACCAGCGGTTATTGCAGCCAGACTGGGACCACTGACCTACTCTGTTGAGAGTGGTACCACCATCCGTCATGTCCATATTGAGCATTTACGGTTACGAGATCCCGCCGGTGATACATCCGACAGTGCTGATTCGGCTCGTAAGTGTCCATTGCCCTCCATACCTGATAATTTGATTACTCCAGAGGATAGCTCTGAGAACGCTCCTACTGTTACAGCTGCTACGTTTCCCGCTTCTAGTACTGTTACCTACAATGAGTCTGCAGATGCAAGCACAGCAATAGATTCTGAACCAGACACACCCAGTCCAGCAGTCTCTTTGCGACGTTCTACTCGGATCTCTAGACCACCAGAGCGCTTAATTGAGAACCCGTCTTTCGGCAAGTAACTGGACGGGGTTTCCGGCTCATGTTTATAGATTTCGTCTTTACTTTCAGGCTTCATTTTGTGAAGGGGAAGGGAATGTTATAGTTAGACATTTCAATAATTCTCGAGCATACTTCAAATATTCACGATAGTAATATGTTGTGCAAATACATAAATCACGTACCTGACTTCTCCAGGTCTAGGTCACTCCGAGACACCTTTCTTGCAAGGTATGATAATACTTCATGTTTACAAACATTAGTTATCTTCCTGCTGCAAGCGAAGGCTGTTGTTTACAAAGTCTTCGCCCATAATTTATTTGCATGTTGCTCACACGCAACCTTTCCCAAACTGAATTTGACGCATGCGCTCTGTGTACATCTCTAGAATAAAATTGTGCTCGCTGCTCTAAAACTGCACGCCACTCTGTAGCGTACATCTAGAGATCTAAAGTCCGCATGCGCTGTACGCTAACTTTGCATCCGGTTGCACCAAACGCTTGGAGCGCATATAACCTGAGCTTGCTATCATTTTCATTCATTCCGCTCGAGTCTAAGGACTCTCCAGTCTTCTACTATACTATGGTAAAGTAATGGATAAACCTATTACCCGTTGTGTTTTGTGAGTGCCTTAGTTCCTATCGTGTGCAGAACGTTGAATTACAACAGTTGGCTGTTCCAGCTGTTGCAGCATCACATCTGGTTGTTCCAGCTTGTTGTTGGTTGTTCCAGCTGTTGCAGCATCACATCTGGTTGTTCCAGCTTGTTGTTGGCTGTTCCAGCTGTTGCAGCATCACATCTGGTTGTTCTAGCTTGTTGTTGGCTGTTCCAGCTGTTGCAGCATCACATCTGGTTGTTCCAGCTTGTTGTTGGCTGTTCCAGCTGTTGCAGCATCACATCTGGTTGTTCTAGCTTGTTGTTGGCTGTTCCAGCTGTTGCAGCATCACATCTGGTTGTTCTAGCTTGTTGTTGGCTGTTCCAGCTGTTGCAGCATCACATCTGGTTGTTCCAGCTTGTTGTTGGCTGTTCCAGCTGTTGCAGCATCACATCTGGTTGTTCCAGCTTGTTGTTGGTTGTTCCAGCTGTTGCAGCATCACATCTGGTTGTTCCAGCTTGTTGTTGGCTGTTCCAGCTGTTGCAGCATCACATCTGGTTGTTCCAGCTTGTTGTTGGTTGTTCCAGCTGTTGCAGCATCACATCTGGTTGTTCCAGCTTGTTGTTGGCTGTTCCAGCTGTTGCAGCATCACATCTGGTTGTTCCAGCTTGTTGTTGGTTGTTCCAGCTGTTGCAGCATCACATCTGGTTGTTCTAGCTTGTTGTTGGCTGTTCCAGCTGTTGCAGCATCACATCTGGTTGTTCCAGCTTGTTGTTGGCTGTTCCAGCTGTTGCAGCATCACATCTGGTTGTTCCAGCTTGTTGTTGGCTGTTCCAGCTGTTGCAGCATCACATCTGGTTGTTCCAGCTTGTTGTTGGCTGTTCCAGCTGTTGCAGCATCACATCTGGTTGTTCCAGCTTGTTGTTGGCTGTTCCAGCTGTTGCAGCATCACATCTGGTTGTTCCAGCTTGTTGTTGGTTGTTCCAGCTGTTGCAGCATCACATCTGGTTGTTCCAGCTTGTTGTTGGCTGTTCCAGCTGTTGCAGCATCACATCTGGTTGTTCCAGCTTGTTGTTGGTTGTTCCAGCTGTTGCAGCATCACATCTGGTTGTTCCAGCTTGTTGTTGGCTGTTCCAGCTACAGCTTCCAGCTGTTCCAGTTACACAGGTCACTAGCAACAGCTACACTGTAATGTTCATGCATACAGTTAGTATAGTAGTCCTCACAGGACATGATGAACCTGTGCACCATTGATCATAGTAGTCCTCACAGGACATGATGAACCTGTGCACCATTGATCATAGTAGTCCTCACAGGACATGATGAACCTGTGCACCATTGATCATAGTAGTCCTCACAGGACATGATGAACCTGTGCACCATTGATCATAGTAGTCCTCACAGGACATGATGAACCTGTGCACCATTGATCATAGTAGTCCTCACAGGACATGATGAACCTGTGCACCATTGATCATAGTAGTCCTCACAGGACATGATGAACCTGTGCACCATTGATCATAGTAGTCCTCACAGGACATGATGAACCTGTGCACCATTGATCATAGTAGTCCTCACAGGACATGATGAACCTGTGCACCATTGATCATAGTAGTCCTCACAGGACATGATGAACCTGTGCACCATTGATCATAGTAGTCCTCACAGGACATGATGAACCTGTGCACCATTGATCATAGTAGTCCTCACAGGACATGATGAACCTGTGCACCATTGATCATAGTAGTCCTCACAGGACATGATGAACCTGTGCACCATTGATCATAGTAGTCCTCACAGGACATGATGAACCTGTGCACCATTGATCATAGTAGTCCTCACAGGACATGATGAACCTGTGCACCATTGATCATAGTAGTCCTCACAGGACATGATGAACCTGTGCACCATTGATCATAGTAGTCCTCACAGGACATGATGAACCTGTGCACCATTGATCATAGTAGTCCTCACAGGACATGATGAACCTGTGCACCATTGATCATAGTAGTCCTCACAGGACATGATGAACCTGTGCACCATTGATCATAGTAGTCCTCACAGGACATGATGAACCTGTGCACAATTGATCATACGAGCGTACACTGGACATCTGTGAAATCTGGAATTGGTGGAAACTGGTGCAGCCATGGCCGTACCAGCCGTACCAGTGGCGCCGACCCTCCATGATGCACACACATACACACACACACACACACACACACACACACACACACACACACACACACACACACATGTGTGTACACCTTGACCTTGCCCGTTGCGTAGCAATGATCGCGCATTGTTATTGTTTTCTTCAGTCCATGACAGAATGACTGATGGCGTGTCAGGTGGCCGCTTCGACGGAACATGCGGCTGCAGGTGGAACTGTAGCTAGCAGCAGAGGACACACATACACACACACACACACACACACACACACACACACACACACACACACCATGTACCATGTACCATGTACCATGTATACGCCCGTCGCACGAGAAGCACGCAAATCTGCAAATGCACTGGATGTGCACCCACAGATTTTCTCTTATAGCAACGATAACGAACAAGATCTGAATGAGACAGATCAAGACTTGCGCCAGATTACTGTCTAATCCGCACAACTGGCGAAGCCATGTGAATCGACCACCAATGCACACCTGGTCTACACCACACGGAGTACATCGGCATAAAACGGCCAATACAGTTACCTATGCACACCCTACACTTGCTGGGGTAACCAGTATACAGCACACACACACACACACACACGCATGCACGCACGCACGCACACACACACACACACACACACACACACTTGTACTTGTACTTGTTGCTCACTGCCAAAACTGGTCACGTGGGTCTCCCCGGGAGAGGGGAGAGAGACTCAAAAGGAATCTTGGAAAGATGACTCAACTGGCTATTGAACCGCCCAACGGCCAACTCCCCCTGAAATCCCCAAAACTTGGGTGGACTTGACACACATACACACACACACACACACACACACACACACACACACACACACACACACACACACACGCACACACACGCTGATCGATTACTGACAACTCTCTCCTCATTTTCTTCTCTTTTGCGTGAAATTCATATCACAACACACAGGCTCTCCAAGCCCGGCGGTCATCACATCGGAGGATGGCAGTTTTCCCACAACCGCAGTGGCACCCGGCAGGCTGGGCAACGGATCGGCCACGGGTAGCAACGCGGACTCGCCCAGCCCGCAGTCCTGGCAAAGCGACAAGCGCTCCGTCACCCTCATCGTGTTCTTCGTCATGGTGCTGGCCATGCTCGCCGCGGCACTAGCGTATATCTTCTACTTAAGGCGACCGACGGCGTCCGGTCCGGGCGTGGCTATGACCGTACTGAAATAGACGATTGCTGCGTGGACGAGGACACTCGTGTAACGTGCAACGTGTCTGCTGTTTGCTGCACCGTTTGCGGCACACCGGCCCCGGTTATCGTCCCAGCCACTAGCGTACAGCTGCGGGGCGGGTATTATAACATGCAGTGCGGCGTGTCTCGTTGTACATGCACACACACACACACACACACACACACACACACACACACACACACACACACACACACACACACACACACACACACACACACACACACACACACACACACACACAGATACATAAACCTTGCATTTTCTCTTCCGGCCTCCTTCCTAGTGATCGGGAATGACCAGATCTGCTCTACACCGATTTCTACATGCATGAAACTCCATTAGCCTCTATAATTATATTTTATTTGTGCAGCTGCACGGTTGAACGAACTTACGACTTAAATATAGTATTAAATTAAAAGAATGTATTGATGGAATATGTATACCCATGTCTTGTCCACAAGGGTGGACAAACCGCTCCGCATGCTTGCGAGCTTACATGCACAGGTGCAAGAGCACGTTGTGGCACCTCTGAAACACACCGACGCGCATGCACAACTGGTGCGCAGACACAATAAGATCGGAGTGATTTTAGACCCCCCCCCCCGTTTTAATTCCATTAGGTACCGTGCCGTGTTTCCCCGAATATAAGTCGCACCTTTTTCCACTAATATTCAAGGGTAAAGGGGGGGCGACTGACAATCGAGCATGACTTACTACTGAAGCCAATATATCAAAACAGTATGGCTCAAACCTGGAAATGGCGGTGCGACTTTATAATATAATGAAGTGCGACTTAAAATCGGGGAAATACGGCAAGCCCTGACAGCAGATCGACGGTACCAACTGGACCGAACACCAGTTACATGTACAGGACAAGCTGCGATACAGTGGTCATCGGAAGGTGGCTTGACACAGCACCGCATGCATGCACCACTGCAGCTGCTACACTGTAGATCTACCACTGTGCATTGTCAATAGGAACAGAACAAAAACTGCCAGCACAAAATATAGGGGTGAAAGTTGGCACTGAGATCCCGAGTTCGAGTACGAGGTGAATAGCAATTTCTGGACATGAAAATAAAATAGAGGCCCACTGGCTGTGTGTTTTACATTTTTCATATCTTTTTGTATCTATTGTATGGCCTAATCCTTCATCTTTCCAAATATGTGACACTTGCTCATGCTGTGATCCCAGAGACTTTATAGCAGGATGTTTTCGACAGGCCAATTTTTTGGCCTAAATTTCAGTGTATGGAATTCTGGACATGACAGTAAAATAGCGTCAATAGGCATCCTATACTGCACCATTTTTGTTATTTTTTCTATTGGTGGACTGCAGTTGGCCTCTTCACACTTCCAACCAACAGGTCCAAGACTATACAGCGTCTGAAGTGAAGTGCACATGGGGAAGCCAACGATTCGTCCATTACTTCTTATTTTACTCAAAATTCAAAATTCTCATGCGACATAGTACCACAAAACTCGTTGAAATGCCTCCCGAGAAAAGGCTATCAACAAGGCACCGACACGAGGAGAAACTACAACAGCCCAGCTGTCAACTACAACAAGAAAAAACTTCATCAACGTGACTGACTTGACTCTACACGCGACGAAAAATTATTTTACTCGAAATGTCCAGAAATGTACAATGTCCAGAAATAGAAATTCACCTCGTACTCTGATTTTCTCCGATCGAATATTCGAGTACATGTATTTGAGTATTTTTCATCTCCTAAAAATTGCACACCAAGGGCTTTAAAATAACATGATACAACCCTGATTGAACCGAGTTACGGAGTAGCAGTCATTTTTCTCAGGTATATTGGTTGGTGGGTCATTTGGGCTCTCTCTACTCGTGAACAAATGTTCACCACACAGCCCGCACATCACCATCTGCTGACTGCTGCCCTGAAACTGCAGATTTCTGTAGTAAATGCATGTACCATGTATGAACGAGTACTCTGATTTATTCCGAGTACGATTATTTTTGAAAAAACCGAGCGAGTACTCGAGTACTCGGTATAATTGTTTCACCCCTAACAAAATACTATACTCTCGGCCGCGGCACGCCATACCGGTACCAGAAACCAGTGCGAAAAATAACGGAAGAAACCAGATGGCAATCAGTACATCCACAGTATTATACACTTGCACCACAGCACACTGAACTACGAAGTAGAGGAAGCGAGTATTCGCAGGGGTATCGGGGAAACACTGATGCATTGACAATCTCGGTAGCCATGGTGATCGCTGTGTTGAGAATCCGGTGGCGGGTGATGGGTGATGGGTGGCGAAAAACTGCAAATCACGGACAGTAGTATAAACAGAGTAGCAGTAGCAGCAGCACCGTCTTTCTGACGGCACGTTCTTTCCCCGCCGCGACGCAAGCAGCAAACAAAAAAAAAGGTCACCCCAAATAAGGTAGGTCTACAGAATAGACTGCATATAGAGCGTTGGAGTGGGCTGGGACTGGGGATTGCAGGGCGAACCGGCATGCTATTAGCAGAAAATCGAATATCAAGTCAAATGCGTGCATACAAATATACAAAACAGCAAGCAAAGCTAGGCCGTCGCCCATTCTCTCTCAATTGATAGAAATTTTGTGCAAAAAAAAGAAGAAGAAAAAAAGCAGCAGCAGCAGCAGTGCCATAATTTCTAGACCTATGCATGGTACATAGTTGATACTGCTATATATGGATATCGCCGTGAGATACCAATGCGGGACAGTGCTATCAATACAAACATTGCGTACCAAGCGTTAGCCGGAGGCAACACAGCGAGTCGCACATGGGCACACGCCGGACACTTCGCATTGGCGCGAGAACGAGCGAAGCGCGTCGTTCCGCATCCGGAAGCGCCGATTCTGTGTCCAGATCGAGTGCTCGCACGCATCCGCGTAGCACGAGTCTCGTTCCGAATCTGGAAGAGCTGATTCCGTGTCCGGATCGAGTGCTTATCTGCGTCGTGCGAGAGCCGTTCAGAATCTGGAAGATCTGATTCTGCTTCTGGATCAAGTGCCGAGTAACGGATACCTATCTCACTATTAGTTGGGGGTAAATACACATAGCTAGAAATCGAAGAGCCCCTATCTACGACGGACACGCAGTTGATTCTCCGCGGCGTGGACTCGCAAGAACACGGGTGACCCACTGCACTAGCTATCGAGCAGCAGCGCTAAAGGCGTAAAAAAACTCTTCGACGCTAAAAGAAAACTGTGTTTGCGGCCGGCTCCACGCTGATGCGAGCCAGCCCGGTGAACAAAAATATTTAAAAAAGAGAAAAAGTGGGCCATGGTGCAGGCACTAGTTTGACCATTTGCTCATGCACAGCTTGGTGGCACGCTCTAACGTGTTTGTGCCGACGGAATGCCGACTGGGCATGGTAGGTGTGCTGTGGTGGGCCGTGCAGAATGCTTGGCGCGCCCTCAGTCTCAGTATGGCGATGTCTTGCCAGACTGCAGTAAAAAGGAGCACAGGCACACCGGAAACACGGCAAGAAAATGTCAACGACAAACTACTACAACCAACCCCATGCTCTCTCTCTCTCTCTCTCTCCCTCCTAAAAGCGAGTCTGAGAGAGAGAGAGAGAGAGAGAGAGAGAGAGAGAGAGAGAGAGAGAGAGTGAGAGAGAGAGTGAGAGAGAGAGAGAGAGAAGAGTTGGTGGACAAGCCATTAGAGAGGTTAAGATGCACGTTATCTCCGACGTGACGCGCAATTTCACGTCAAATTTGGCGTAAAACTCCAAATTTCGACGTGAACTGCAGATCACTCGCTTTGTTTTTCGACGCGCGAGCCAAATAACGCGAGCTGAACTTTCGCGTGACGTCAGAAATAACGCGCATCTTAACCTCTCCATTGGCTAGCGACTCCCATTGCTGCAAAAAAACTTTTTTTAATAGGCCAAGAGTGGTACATACTGTACTTCCACACATGGAAGCGCATGTGCAAATAAGCAAAAAATTGCTGCAAAAAAAGAAGATTTTGCTGTGTAAACATGTCCGGGTAGAAGCACATGCGCTTATATGTGCAATAACGGTTTGTCTGTGACTCTGTGCCGTAAACATTGGTGTTATGTTATCACAATGCTTAGTGGTGTATTCAGCTCCCGGGTGTTTCACCAATCGTGTTCACATAAAAGCCCATGCGCTTATAATCGGGGTGTGCCAATGTCCGCACGTATAAGCCTTTGTGCTTATACGTGCGGAAGTACCGTATGATAAACCAAAAAACTTTATAGAAAAGAAAAAAAGGACCAAGAAATTACAAGTTAGGGGTCGTCCACAAATATCGATGTTTTTTTAGAGAAGATATTCGTTCGTTGGGGGGGGGGGGGGGGGGGAGGGGGTTTGGGCCCTGTTCGTCTCGTCTTTGCAGAAAAAAATATCGAACTCTATCTATGGACGGGCGCTGTTCGAACATGTAGTTTATGACCTACACAAAGTGAAAGTCAACCTCGTGAGCATAGCCATGGCAAGGTTGTGCGACCGTGGAAACATAAACCTAGGTGTATGGTGAAATTAGAGTGGCAGCTGGTCACGTTTCATGAGGAAATTGAACTTCATTAAAAATATCGATCCCTTGCATAAACATGTGTATGTTCGTTTTGAGGGGGGAGGGAGGGGGTCTGGGGAGAAATGAACAAATATCGTCTTGAAAAAAACATCGATATTTACGGACGGCCCCTTACGCTATAATGTCCACTAACACCACCAGCTACTAAACAATCAGCTCATGCGATAAAATTGCACGACACTGACCGACGGTACTGACGTTCTACAACTAACTGGTCCTTTTTCTTTTCTATCAATTTATCCTTGGCTCTTCATCCAAAAATATTTTGTGATACTTTCCAGGAGTTTCAGCTTTCTAAACAACATCGTCAGTGGATAAAGAAAGTTCCTCTCTTGGTATAAAAAAAAAAGGATTTCGAGAGGAGTACTGTTCAGACACACTTACACCGCCGGGCCGAGAACTGTTGTTGTTGGCGCCCGAGTAGCCAAGACGTCGAACCTCTCCCAGCTGCTCTCGCGTATGCTCAACCTCCGATTCCAGCTCAAGGAGTCGAACCTAAAACACGATACACGGCACACACACACACACACACACCACCACCACACACACACACACATACACACACATAAACACACGCATGCCCGTTTGCACATACACACGCGCGCACGCCAAACATATGCAATGAGTTAGCACAAGTCACCGTTGTTCCACGCCTATCGAATACAAACACGTTTGTGCACCAGCACAGGTTCTTTGCACTCGTTACGATTTCAACACAAAATGCTGCATGTACACTTGTGCGCATGATGTATTGAGCGAACAGCATTGTCTTGTTTACACATGTCTCATACACATGAGCGCGCGCAAGCACACACACACACGCACACACACGCACACACACACACCCTGATCTTCGCATCACAACGGAGAAACATCTTTCACCTTCAACGCTTTAGTCCAGTCATGCACGACATGCTAGAGCACACACATACCCCCCCCCCCACACACACACAAGCATTAGAACAAACCTGGATTTCCATTTCGCGGCGTTTTCCTTGAATGGCACTGAGCTTGGTAAAGTCTGGCTGTTCGGCCTTCTTTTTGGCTTTGACGCCGCTCTTTGCGGACACAACAACATGGCCGGTCTTTTCCGTGACTACAAAGCAAACAACAAAGACAAACACAGGAAAGGCACACGAGCACACGCACATCAACAGTTGAAGAGTTTAGATGGAAAACGCGACAAGCGACATATTTGAGAAATTGGTATTTTCAGCTCAGCGTAATCATAATGCATACAGAAAATTTCGTGAAAATTTCAAATTCAAAATCTGACAAGAACCACTTCAAAAATGTTGGCCACATATGGATTTAGAATTTTAGATACAAACCCCACATAAAGCGAATCCTTTCTTGGTAAATATCTAAAAAGTGATGAAATGGATATGTCGCGTATTGCACCTGAACTCGGTAATTATGAATTTATGATCATGATGAGATAAGATGCAGATTCTACTGTTGGAGGCCAGCAGATCAGACCCCCTCCCAGGTCCGGAGAACGCCGCCAAAGACCCAAACCCCATCAGCCAAACGATTGCAGGCACGCACACAGACACACACACACACAGAAAGACAGGCAGACAGGCAGATAGACAGACAGACACACACACAGACACTTTACTCCAGCAGAAACTATCTATTCTCATTGCCATAAATGAGGCAACAAGGCACACATTACAGCATAGCATACAGCTAACGAATAGCTACATTGCCAGCAGGCTCCTCGTGTGCTGTGTACGTGTGGTATGGTGTGGTGTGGTGCGGTGCGGTGCCTAAGCGGAGGCAGCAGTGCATGCTAGACACACTCACCAATCTTAGAGGCAGCCTTTAGCGATACGAGCAGCTTGCTGTTGCGATCGGCCTTCGCTTGTGATGCGGCCACCTGAACAACATACACAAGTCAACAACAACTTGAAGAAGTCCACAACCACACGCACACTCACACCCACAGCTATAGTCACAACCCGATAACAACGGTCAGGAGGACGACGATTACAGGAACAGCAACAAGATCTCATATTGACCACTGGCTACCGTGAGAACAAAGATTTGTAACAACAGCAGCAGCAACAACAACAACAACAACAACAACAACAACAACAACAACAACAACAGCAGCAGCAGCAACAACAACAACAGCAGCAGCAGCAGCAACAACAACACACTGTGAATGACGACAACACTAACACCACAAACAGTCACTACCCACCAGCTGAGCTGTACTGGCAGCGATGTCATGAGATGCCACCTCCAATTCCTCAAACTTGCCCTTGCCGGTAACAACTTGATCAGCGCACTCGCTGCGAAAACAAAATCCCCAAAACAGATGTGCACCAACACATACACACACCACACGTACGCACACACGTACACACACACACACACACGCATCAAACGAAGAGACCATGCTTCCCTTGGTCTCAAAACGCAACAGTAAAAAACCGCATTCATGCATGCGTGTGTGCACGTGCACAGTTTCGAATAACGGCCAGAGACACAGAAAGGAGAAAGTGAGGCAGAGATATACGGAGAAAAAGGAAAGAAGCATGACAATCTTACACAAGATGCTGAGCACCATGTCCGACCATCTGTGCTGCAGACAGAAGGCCTTCCGTCCACCGACTATTCTTCTGGTAATACTGATCCGCACTCAGGTTACCCTGTTGAAACAAACACCATAAAGAACAAGAGAGGTGAAGAGAGGTGAAGAGAGACACAGAGACACAGAGAGAGAGAGAGAGAGAGAGAGAGAGAGAGAGAGAGAGAGAGAGAGAGAGAGAGAGAGAGAGAGAGAGGGGGGGGGGGGGAAGAGAGAGAGAACGAGAGATAGATAGAGAGAGAGAGAGAGAGAGAGAGAGAGAGAGAGAGAGAGTGTGAGTGTGTGTTAGAGCAAGCACCACCACAACTCTGACAGAAGATGTGAATAGTACAATATCACCATTCACACCAGATCACATCACACAAGACAAAAACACACACAAACAGGGTTGGAAAATCGGAAAGTCACAAAATGCAAAAATGAACCGGTTCCAAAATCAACATGGAGCTGCGAAGGTTGGCAAGAAGGAAAAGACCGTCGCAATGCGAGGCTAAGATATCTGATTCAAAGGAGGAGGGGGATGTTTTCCTTTAGAAAAGGCTGTACTGGAAAAAGCAGTTCCTTACTCTGCCGCCATCAACAATTTCCTTCTGCAGGGCTCGCGACTGCTCGATGAGTACGCGGATAGCCTCCATCAGGTCTGACGATGAGTCCAGAATCCTGTGCAAAAACCGATGAGCACCAAACACACACACACACACACACACACACACACACACACACACACACGCACCCACAGTGACACACACACACACACACACACATGAGAACGAGAGGTCATGTGAATGACATCAAGCGAGTGTGTATGGAGTGGCAACCCCAAGCGTGTGCAACTGTGCTTATGGGGTGGACGCTGGGACGGCTCCACAACCACGAGAGGAACTTCACGTACAATGCTCCAAATGCCATAGCAGCAGCAGCAGTGCCCGCTCGCATGTGTCTATGAACAATGGCCCGTTGTGACAAGCTCCATTGGACAATCAGTTGGCTTACCTGGAGTTTACTTCAAGCTGCTCACCAGTGTCAGTTTCCTTGCTTCTCTCCATCATTGCCTACCATACCAGACAGCAGCAGCAGCATCAGAATCAGCAGCAGAGGCAGGAGTAGAAGAAAGACGGATGAAGAATAACAAACACATGACCGTCTTCGTAAAAAATAATGTACTTTGTAGCGTGTTCACTTGATCAACGACAAACGTTTCTGGAACTGGGATTGCATGACAATTTACCTTTTGCAGAGTAGGGAGAGAGAGAGAGAGAGAGAGAGAGAGAGAGAGAGAGAGAGAGAGAGAGAGAGAGAGAGAGAGAGAGAGAGAGAGAGAGAGAGAGAGAGAGAGAGATAGATAGAGATAGATAGATAGAGATAGATAGATGGAGATAGAGAGAGAGATAGATAGATAGAGAGGACGTGGAGGAGAGACACGACTCATAACTTCCGTTATCTCCAAACATGGTCAGTCACTCACCTCAATACGCTTTGCGGCTTGTGTCACAGCCTGCAACAAAGAGACGCACACAAGAACATTTTAAAACTGCTAGCCTGACACATACAATATCGTGAACCGGGGAAAGGAATAGACATATACATGGCCAATCAACCTACACATTACGACCCCACGTGGAAAGAAAAATTGAAATCAAGACTCCGGTCAGGAACAGCCAGAGGAGAGACAGAGAGACAGACAGGCAGATAGAGAGACAGACAGGCAGACGAACATACAGACACACAGACAGACAAACAGACGCAGGGAAACACCACTATTGATGTAGGTCAGAACGGCCAACACTGCCACACACACACACACACTCTCTCTCTCTCTCATTCTTACATCTGCCATCAAGTTCATCTGTGACTCGACCGACCGACCAACTTCCTCAATCTGCTTCTGCTCAGCCGGCACTAATTCCTGTCCAGTAGACAACAGCAGAAAGGGAGCACAAACAGTCAGGCGATTGACAGCAGAAAGACCATAAAAACTACGGCACAATCCAATCAAATTACACATGCACACGCATATACGCGCACACATTTTTTTGACTTTGTGTTACTTCGCAAAATCCAAACGGGAATTTCTTCCCAATGACAAGGTAGCGAAGAGGGAAGAAAAACATGCACATACACACACAAACACTCACACACACACACACGCACACACACACACACACACGCACGCACACACACACACACCCACGCACACACACACACACTTCACTAGTACCTTAGCTTGTGAGTTGATGCTCTTGACGACATCCAGTATGGCGGAGACGGACTGGGAGATAACTGATGAATCTGCCGGAAAACCGGACAAGACAAATACCAACACATTCACGCAAGAGAAGATATTAGAGAGGTTAAGATGCACGTTATTTCTGACGTGACGCGAAAGTTCAGCTCTTGTTACATGTATTTGGCTCGCGCGTCGAAAAACAACGCGAGTGACCTGCAACTCACGTCGAAATTTGGAGTTTTATGCCAAACTTGACGTGAAATTGCGCGTCACGTCGGAGCTAACGTGCATCTTAACCTCTCAATTATCCAAGATGAGTTTGGACGCTTCTTGCCACTTTATTATACCCAAGCATGTTGTGGGCTAAGAACCACACCTCAAATTGCACTGCTTTCTACTCTCTAGAAGATATTATTGGGTTAAGAGTAGAGCCCACACCCTCTCTTCCATTAACACTGCAATAGTTCAACTCATTTCATAATATTACAACGTTTCGGCAAATTGCCATCATCAGGTAACAGCGTGAACCTGATGAAGGCAATTTGCCGAAACGTTGTACAAGTAATATTGTGAAATGAGTTGAAGTATTGCAGTGTTAGTGGAAGAGAGGGTGTGGGCTCTACTCCTACTGTAAAAGCAGAAATTTTCGGTGGCGTAATATTTTCGGTATTCTCCAAAATCGGCGGTTCGGTGGAGGGAAATTTTCGGTAAAACCCGTTTTCCAGGTAGGTGTACTAGTACTAAATGTATACAGTACCGGTAGTACCGAAATTTTCGGTGTGTTTTATTTTCGGTAAAAATTGTCGGCACCGAACTTACCGAAAATAAAACACCACCGAAAATTTATGCTTTTACAGTCCCCGTTTATGAAACTGCAGGAAGCCTCCCCACTTTTACTCAGAAGATATTAGATGGGAGAAAGAAGAATACTATTACAAGATCATGACGACTGCGAGTGGAGTAGAACTGGTCGAACACACAGGCGTGGAAAACATACGAACGTTCACAAAGCAGAAGAGTTTCAAATCGTTCCACGTATGACGAGCCCGGCATACCTGCATTTTTCGCCTTGAGTGCTTCCAGCGACGCGTTGCTGACATCCGTCAGACGATGCACTTGATCAACCATGGCTGAACAGACGAATAAACAAGTACACACACACACACACACACACACATGTACACGCACACGTGCATGCACACACGTACACGTACACACACACATCGCACATGTTGTCGACAGCCATTCACATCATTCACAGTGAAAAACACCACAACAACATCAGCAGCAGCAGCCGCCGCTGTGACATATTCCACCAGCATTGAGTTAGCGCTTACACTCACACTTCAACAGAAGCTGTTACAGCAGCAGCAGTGTGACCATCCCTTACCGGTACTAGAATTAGCAGCTGCCACCGAGTTAGCATCCTCCACAATACGACACAGGCTATGGCTGAGGTGATTGACAGATGCAGATGCTTGCGGTACAGCTACATAGAGGAGAGAGGGGGGGGGGAGAGAGAGAGAGAGAGAGAGAGAGAGAGAGAGAGAGAGAGAGAGAGAGAGAGAGAGAGAGAGAGAGAGAGAGAGAGAGAGAGAGAGAGAGAGAGAGAGAGAGAGAGCGAGAGAGAGAAAGAGAGAGAGAGAGAGAGAGAGAGAGAGAGAGAGAGAGAGAGAGAGAGAGAGAGAGAGGAGAGAGAGAGAGAGAGAGGGGGTGGGGAGAGAGAGAGAGAGAGAGAGAGAGAGAGAGAGAGAGAGAGAGAGAGAGAGAGAGAGAGAGAGAGAGAGAGAGAGAGAGAGAGAGAGAGAGAGAGAGAGAGAGAGAGAGATAGAGATAGAGAGATAGAGAGATAGATAGATAGATAGAGAGAGAGAGAGAGAGAGAGACCGAAAGAGAGCACTTTAATAAACACCAGCAATTCACCAAAAAAATTGTCGGTGTAGCTTATACAACGATGATCTAATTAACGGTGATAAACAGGCCCGATGTCTATTTCATGATGAAAAATCTGGGTGCGACATATATTGTACTCCGGTGCAGCTTACACTCCGGAAAATATAGCATCTCCGTAGACGTTGGACGTAGCAGCTGACAAACGCAAGCAGAAATGCATGCAGAAAGCCTAACACAATGTACTGCACTGTAACTGTTGCTACTGTCGTGGACGTCATGGAAATCCGGTCGCACGTCTAGCGGCCCCCGGGCGCTGGCCATGCAGTCGTGGGTATTAGCGGTACACACATGCATGACAATCGTTGTATTATGCGCTGCAGGGCGCTAGTCGCATCGGATCCAGCACTGTTCTGTAGATCTATGCGCTGACGGCGCCGGCCTCCGTCAAATCGACTGGATTTCCATGTCCTCGACGGTACCATGCACAGCACTGCACTGTGATGCACCATACACATATGCACGTGCACACACACACACACACACACACACACACACGTGCACACACACACACACACACACAAAGATGTTGCCCTTACTGGTGTCGTCACGCTGGTAGTCCTCAAGGGCGTTGCTAAGCTCATCGCAACGACGCAGTGCAGACTGGGTGCAGTCCACAAGAGCAGCTGTCAACAGTTCATACACACATACACACACACACACACATGCACATATGCACACATGTACACACACGCGCACACATGCCCACACACACACACACAGACATGCTTGGTAAAGACGCCCGTCTCCGGCAGCTAGATTGGGCGCCACTCCACTTCAGGACTGTGATAATTGCAGCAGTTGTTCCGATACCCTACGGTGGACCAACTGTCCAGGGTACTTTGCGATTCTAACACTGCTGGAGTGTGGACATGTGGGGTGCCTTCTGAAACCAAAGACCATCCCAACACTGCAGTAGTGTGGGCATGTTGAGTGCCACATGCATTCACATAGCACAAGGTAACACACACACACACACACACACACACACACACACACACACACACACACACACACACACACACACACACACACACACACACACACACACACACACACACAGTCCAGGACAAGGAGTGCTGTACAGGCAGCACATTTTGTCCAACTCCAAAGAAGGGGAGTTCGTCCGGTTGTAAATTTCGTCCATGGATCATAAGAGTGTATTAAAAAGCTGGACAAGTCGACATTAGTCCGGCACTTTATTTAGTCCAAAAGCTCCTTGGACGAAAAAGGCGAAAATAAATTCCAGACGAATATTTCTGCTTGTAGAGTAAGGCGAGGTGAACACGGTGACAAGCACTCACCGGCGGATACTGTACGGGTGCCACTACCACCGGCCTCCTTGATCTCCTCCTGTGCAGACTCCATTGCTTGTACTGTATGAACACACACACACACACACACACACACACACACACACACACACACACACACACACACGCGGATACACACACGCGGATACACACACGTGTATACACACACGCGTACACACACACACACACACACACACACACACACACACACACACACAAGTATATACACAAGTATACACACACGGGTATACACACACACGCATACACACAGGTACACACACGAGTTCACACACACACACACAGTTGAGTCAGCAAAGCATTGATCAATGCGTAAAACACACACCTCAGACTAGCCCATCGCGCGAGCGATGATAGTGAAAACACACACACACACACACACACACACACACGCACACACACACACAGTCCACCAAGCTGATGAAACAAACACATGCCAGAAACTCACCATGCACATGACAACAACAAAAAAGAACGATGTTTCACTTACCGAGAACGGAATGGTTCAAGTCTCCCTGGCGGTTCTTCTCAGCAGCCAGCCGAGCCTCCATATCCGCACGGAGACGTTCAATCTCGGCAAGTGCCTTTGCAAGGTCCTCACTCTGAGTAGAGACATGGTCCTATACACACACGCATGCACGCACACACATGTACACACACACACACACACACACACACACACACACACACACACATAGATGTATTCAAACAATGCATCACCCAGTGGAACAATGGCAGGGAAAACATTGGACAATGTGAGCAATGTCTAACCTGTACTTATCACTGTATTAAAAACGGCTAATTTTAGCGACAGTGACATTTTAGCGATTTTAGCGAAAGGAGTGTTTTCGCTAAAGGAGAAAAAAGATAGAAAAACAACAAAGAAACAAACAGCGTACATTCAAATGGAGGTCGACTTTCTCCAGGAGGAATTTGATGTAGCTGCCAGTCAGTTTGCAGTAACCATGGTCGTCGATAAAGTCACTCTTACCTTGGTCGTTGTAAGTTCGGTCTTCAGTTGAGTCGTCTGTTCTTGTTCGGACGTGAACTGAACGGTCATTGTCTGTGGCACAGGGCAAAGAGGATATAAAACGAAAACAAAGGTGGAAGTCAGATGAAACGGTGTGTGGCGGTGCATGCACATGCGTCTTCACGAACACCACCCCCCCCCCCCCCCCCACACACACAAAGCCGTAAGTGATTTCGCAACCACCTTGATTTCAGGTTACGCGTGTGTTTGTGTGTGCGCACGCGTGTGTATGTGTACGTGTATGTGTGTGCATGTGTGTGAGGCGTTGACCTGAGGTAATAGTCGGGAATCATGACACACTCCTTTCTCCTTCTCTAAAAGCCTGTCTGATACTAACACCACCAAGTCACAGGACTGTACCCTTTCAACATACAGTCAGACCTCCCTTAAAACAGCACACAGCCGTTTTCCACAAAAATATCCGGATAGGCGAGGGAACCGGGTAATCGAGCACACATACTGTATGTATGCATGGCATAGGCTGTAAATCGGTAACCAGCGATTTTCTTCCGGATGGCGAGGGTTCCGGATTAAAAAGAGGACCGGATAAGCGAGGTCTGACTGTGGAGTGAAACCTGTCTGAGACGACCGCTCAAGGGACCTCCAAAATGTGGTCTCTGTTACCAGGTGGTCTCCTTATCCAGGGTCATTTGACTGTAAATAGCATCCCATGAACCTGGCTGCAGTGGTCTTCTGGGACAGGTGGTCGCCTTGACAGGGTTCACTGCCCATACCTTATACTCATCTTCCCGTGTGCTCAGCTGCTTGTGCAGACCCTCGATTTTCTCCACAGACAGCTTCTCTTGCTCGTCGGCGTCCTTCTTCATCGTAATGGTAAGTTCCTGGAACACGGCAATCAAGCACACGTGGACACACACGCACACACACACGCGTGCACACACACACACACACACACACACAAAGTGAACAAATTAACAGCGGGCACGAGACAACACGGCCAAACCAGCAAGCATCCAAACGGCTGGAAAGCACAGAGAATTCCACATCGTACAATGACAAGTTGTTGCAGCACGTAGTACGTACCTGTGCAGCAGCCAACTCTTTAGCCAGCTCCTGAGACTCACTCTGCTGTGTGCTGAACTCCACGGTCAGTTTCTAACCAGAAAAACAAACACAAACATACACAGGTACACACAGATGGACAATATCAGAAAAAAATACATGGCAGAGAAGGCGACAGACAGACAGACATACAGACAGACAGACATTGGACATACATTGTACACCAGCGACGTCCAAGCTGAGTCATTGTAGTTATGAGATGACGAGGTCCAGTTTCCTGTCTTGAACAACCTTGTTTTGAATACTTGCCGTTTCAATGCTCCCTTCGCTCTCAACGAGAGAACGAACATTCCAGGATCCGACGCGGATCAGGCAGCGTCTCCTCCTCTCTCTCCGTGCTTGGGCAGATTGTTGAAGCGCTGGTCTCCATTCACTCGGGGGTTTGCCAATCCGCCGCGAGTGGGAGATTCAGGCGCAACAAGAAGTGGTGCCATCGTTTGACACCCCGTCTTCTTGTTGCGCTGGCCCTGAATCTCTTGCGCTGAGAATTACATGTCCTGGGACGGCCCTGGTGGACCAGAGCCGCCCCAGAAGACTCGTGGAACTAACTACTTTCGACAACCAGAGGGAGCTCGGAAAATTCAAACCGTCCCCAGACAGATAGACATACACACAGACACACGCATACACACACACACACAACTCAGGCAATTTACCTCCATCTCTTGTTGTCGCTCGGACAGCTGTGTTTGCAGCGACTCGATCTTCTCCGTCAGCTCTTTGTCCTTACTGGAGGAATTCTGCTTTAGCAGCACGATATTCTCCTGTGGAGGCAAGCACAGAGGTAGCAAAACAAAACTTGTTTTACTGCTGACATTTTCAAACATGCTCCGTTTGCCAGAAACGGAGCACTACTGACATAAAATAATGTACTTTAAGAAGCGCAAAACAACATAACGTTAGTACGTGATGGACACACACATGCACACTCATGAACACATACACACACGATGTACCATGTATACGCCCGTCGCAAGAGAAGCACGCCAATCTGCAAATGCACTAGATGTGCAACCACAGGTTTTCTCTTATAGCAACGATGGCGAACAAGATCTGAATAAGACAGATGAAGACTTGCGCCAGATAACTGTCTAATCCACACAACTGGCGAAGCCATGTGAATCGACCACCAATGTACACCTGGTCTACACCACATACACACACACACACACACACACACATGTACCATGTACCATCACATGTACCATGTACCATGTATACGCCCGTCGCAAGAGAAGCACGCAAATCTGCAAATGCACTGGATGTGCACCCACAGATTTTCTCTTTTATAGCAACGATAGCGGATCTGATTCTGATTGAAACAGATCAAGACAAGCGCCAGATAACTGTCTAACACATACATACACACACACACACACACACACACACACACACACACACACACACACACACATACACACACACACAGACAGACAGACAGACACACACATATCCACCAACCTGTGCATTAGATAGCTCGCCGCCAAGACGCTTGGCTTCGCCTTGTTCAGTCTCGAATTCCACTTGCAATTTCTGCAACACACACAAGCGCACACATGCAGATAAGATACCGGTACACAGAGGAATGCAGTGTACACGTCGTACATTGTATAACCAGGCAATTCCAGTCTTTCTCTCTGTCTCCCTGTCTCTCTCATTCACTCACTGTGTGTGTGTGTGTGCATTCAAACAAGTGTTTCAACCATATTTCACTTTAAATGTCAACACGTCATGGGAGGTTGGAGGTCACGACCTGTCCCCTCGTGCCTTTCCTTGGCAGCAAAAGACAAATTGGAGTCTGAAACACACACCTACCTCGATCTTCTGCTTGCCATCCTGCAGCTGTGTCTCCAAGTTTGCAATCTGTTCCTTGAGGGTGGCTTCGAGGCTGTCAGATTTAGTCTGCGTATCTGCCGCTTGACCCTGGAAGGCACACACGGAAAGGAGATTCCAAAAAAACAGGAATAAGATTACAAGATTTCACATGGACATACGCACGAACAAATATACATGCATGTACGCACATACACACGCACGCATGCACACACACACCTAAAACTTCACACATACACACACACACACGCATGCGCGCACCCTCCCCCCTCCCCCCCCCCCCCCTCCCCCCACACACACACAAGCACTCACACACCTGTGACTGTTCGAGCTGTGCTTGGACATTCTTCTTCTCCGCCTGCTCGGTTGTGAACTCGATGTTCAGCTTTTCAAGCTTCTCTTCGCGCTCCTTTAGCTCCTGATTCAGTAACTCGATTTGATCTTGAGCTTCTTTGTCGGCGGCACTCGATCGCTCTTCAATAGAAGAAATGTGCTCCTGTCATCAAACACGACCAGATAAGAAGAACAGAAGCGGCAATTGACAACCTGAAATGATACTCCCATGTAGGCGTAGGCGTGCATGGCTGCACGCATTCGTGTGCTCAGCCGAACACTCAAAATGTGCACCAGCAACCCCATGAGCAGTACTTTAAATGCATCACCGGTCCGTGTGAAACTTAGCCAGGCGGACATACATGCGCGCGAGCACATACACACGCAAACACACGCACGCACACACACACACACCTAAACACACACACACACACCTAAACACACATTATCCAAGAGGTACCGGTAGACGGATTTACCTCCATGCGACGGACAGTGTCCTTGAGCACGTCTTGTTCCTGTTGTGCGGCCTCCAGGGAAGATGCTACTGCCTAAAACACAGCACACCCAACACACGTACAGCACAGCACATCCAACACACGTACAACACAGCATATCCAACACACGTACAACACAGCACACCCAACACACATACAACACACATACAACACACATACAACAACACACATACAACACACATACAACACACATACAACACACATACAACACACATACAACACACATACAACACACATACAACACACATACAACACACATACAACAAACAATCAATTACATTGTAGAAAATTCTTGCAGCAAAGTTTTAAGAGCTCACAGAAACCAAGATTTTTTAAAGAGCTTGAGTGAACTTGTTATCGCCGAGACTGCGAGGAAAAGACAAACAAAATCGTGCTGTACAAATCGAAATTTCACACGTACATTCGCGCACGCACACACACGTGTACACACACACACACACATACACACACGGGGGTCGAATATCAATTGCCCGTACGCACCTCTTTCTCGGCGTCGAGGTCCACGACTTGATCCTTCAGAGTTGCCGCCTGCTTCTCTGCCTTCGCTTTCTGCACGCAGGCACAAACAAACGGAGGTGGGATGCACAACAATGAATATTGTGTGTGTGTGTGTGTTTTTTATTGTCAAGCAATGTCAACCAACAGTCAACACTCCTGACTCACTCTCCCCTCCCCCCTGGAAGTATGGCATAGCAGTGACAGTACATGTATTACTATAGCCAACTCTACACTAAGTCTTCTTCTCTCGGCGGAAAGCATCAACTACAATAGTACAATCATGGACTACCTCAGAAGAGGCATGCGCATGCTCCCCGACACACGCACGCACACACATGCACATACCACATACAGATGCACACACACACACACACACACACACACACACACACACACACGCGCGCGCGTGCACGCACACACACGCGCGCGCGTGCACGCACACACGCACACACACACTCACGCACACGCGCACACACACACACGCACACACATACACACACACGCACACACACACACACACACACACACACACACACACTCACGCCAGTGCACTCACCTCTCGGATAAGATCGACGTGATTGTTTCGCAGCTCGGTGTACAGCTCCTTCAGGCGTGTAAACTTGGCATTGGCCGCCGCGAGGTGCTCTGCAGAGTAGAGACGGCAAGTAAGCGTGACACGTGCACAGACAGACAAACAACAGGTGAGTATTTATCTACAGTCCATTACAAAAATATAGACACATGGTATTTTTGAAATATTTTAAATTCGGCTGGAGTTTTTTGAGAGTTTTTTTTTCGGAATACTGCTCCAGTCCTTCCCACAATTACTGCCATACAGATTTTCAAGCGATCGGATAGCAACCGCCCAATTTCCAAATTTTAATGCAGAAAGTGATCACAGATTTTATGTGGTAGAGATGCTGGCCTAATGGTTTTTTTTTTAAATCACGCGTCTATATTTTTGAAACGCACTGTAGTATGCAGCTATTTGCATACAGATTCCATTAAGAGTACATAACCCCCCAGAGTGCGCAACGCCGATCCAGCTCTGCATAGGGTCTTGGTCGAGCGGAATCGGATCTTCTGATGTCATGCGTACACTCCACACCAGCGCAAGGCCGGTCTCGAGGCAGGGCACCATTGTTTTTGATCCAAGAGTACCCGAGACTCCCCGGGTTCCCCTCAAATGTGTACGGTATTATGACGCAAAGATCCGATTCCGCTCGACCAAGACCCTATGCAGAGCTGGATCAGGCGTTGCACACTCTGGGGGGTTTTGTACTCTTGCTAGTACTGTAAAAACCTGTAACTACAGACCACCGTGACTAGCGATCAGCCTGGTACTACAGACCACTTCGCCAGGCACGGACGGTCTCACATTCATATAATGGTTGTGCGGTGCAAACCTCTAACTAAGGACCACCTGCCACCAAAGACCGCTTTCTCTGGCCCCAAGGGGTGGTCGTTAGTCACAGGTTTCACTGCATATGCATCTCTTTCCCATTTTATACATTTCTCTTGTTCGTCACATCCAAGTATCTGGCTGACAACGGGAACAGAAACGTACGACTGGCAGGAAGAACTGCCGTGGCCTGCCAAGGCGCTTCGTGGACCACAGCGGCCTCACGAAAGGCGAGTTCATCCACAGAAGCCACCCACAACGGCCGCGTTGTAGTTCAACTAGAGGACACGAAGACGGGGCATTTTCTTTCCACGGTGCACACTGACGCGGTGATCGACACCGGTCAGCGCGACATGAGCGAGCAGCACATGAACGAGTGGTCAGCACAGATACGGGCACTCGACCACGATTACAACCCGTGCACGGACGGCGTAGACCGCATTGACGAGATGCTGAGCTTCTACACGGCCGCCCGTACACGTCAAAGTGGTTTGATAAGCTCGCAGCACATGTACACCCTGTACCAAAACAACTCGGCAGGCCAAAACTGAAGAGTCAATGTGACTTCCTCTGTGGAGCCCTATTGGCTATGTTGAAGGAAGGCCAGCGTGAACTTGGAGAACAGGTGCCAGGGACACCAGTCACACCAGTACCGGCACAAGTTACCCGCCGGAGGCACGTGCCCAGCATGATACCAGCATCGCAGAAGAATGCAAAACCGAGGAAATGCTGCACTGTTTTGCTTCAAGCGCGGAGTCGGACGTGAGACAAGTCGCATCATGAGCGCAGCTTGTCCAGTCCTAGCCGACCATGCCTGTGCTCTGCCCCGGGCTTCCAGAGATGAACACATCTGCAAATACAACCGAGCGGGCCTTCTTGCTTCTTGCTGTGAAACGTCGTTGCACTGTGTGCTTCAAGCGTGCAGCACGCCGTGAGACCGGTCACATACACGATGCTTGCCCTGACTGACCAGGTCCGTGCCCTGGCCACCCATGCCGGTGCTCTGCCCTGGACGTCCAGAACAAACACACCTACACTTGAAGGAAGCACTTTACAGGCCTTCTTGACGAGGCCTTTGTGTGTGTGTGTGTGTTAAACTCGAGGAAACGTTGCACACCGTGTGTGTGTTTAAAACATGGAGTACGACACGAGACGTGTCACACACACACAACTTGTTCAGTCCTAGCCAGCCCCAAAGCAGTTGCCAAAGTGTTCGACCCGCTGGGATCCGTCGCCTCGTTTGTGTTGCGTGGCAAAGTAATAGTTCAGCAACTGTGCCCGTGACCTGCCCTGGCCCCCCAGGACAAACACCGGCACCTGGACCCCAGGAGGCCTTCCTGGTGTGCCCGTTGTATACACATACATACTCTGTTGTTCATTCTACATGGTAAAGATTCGGCATCTTCGGAGCATACGTCACTCTACGCGGACGATGCGTCGCTTGATATAACCGAGCCAGGCTTATTAGAAGCCCGCGACTTGCTACAATACCATATTAACCAAGTTGTGCGCTGGATGTCGAAGTGGAAACTCTGCCCAAATGTATCGAAAACGATAATCCTTTGTATCCCCCCCCCCCCCCCCCCCACGACCCTCCAGAGACCTCACCCTCCTTTAAAAGACTAAACGTTTTAACTTTCCCTGACAATCCCATTGCTATCAGCATAGATAAACATCACAAACACCTTCGTACAGTGCTCCCTCTATAATCCGGCACCATTTGTGCCACGGAAAATCTGCTGGATTAGGGAGGGTGCTGGATTAGCAAAAATCGGATTTACTGCTGCAATGTGCATGAAGAGGACATTTTGGGTACTGAAAATTGTGCTGGTTTATAAAGTGCTGGATTAGAGAGGGACGACTGTATATTTCTTGATGAACGCTTGTCCTGGGACTCAGACGTAACATCATCGAACAGCGAGTTTGCTCCGCTATAGGCTGCATTTCTTCTCACATTTCCCATCTGCACCTGACCACGGTTGGTGTCTTGTCGAATACAAATCAGGGTTCTAGCCAAAGGGGGGTAGGGGGGGGGGGGGGGGGGCGCAGCGCCCCCCTACTCTGTTTGCGCGCCCCCTGTGAAAAATTGCCGCCCCCTACTCATTTTCCGATTTTCGTGTTTTTCATGCATAGAGGGTTCCTAAAGGCACATTTGTCTGGGGTGAAGTCAGGGATTCGCCCCATATACGTTGCATTTGGCGTGGCAAGACAATATTGGAAAGTGGAAAAATGAGATATAGGGTAACTGTTTCCCATGCCCACCCCCTACTATTTTGACCTGGCTAGAACCCTGCACATACATGTATATCACACCTATGTTCTCGCTTTGTTTGATTACTGCTCTCTCGTTTGGTCCTCCGGTCTATCCTCCGCTCTTATGCATCCGTTAGAAGTCACGCACCGTAAATTGCTAGCTTCGTATGCCCCCTCTAATCTCCCCTCAGACGCCATACATTTAGGCTTCCTCTTCCCGTCTCTCAGAACGCTTTCCCCACTCGGCATGCAAATTCATTCATCGTATTAAGCGCATTCAAGCTGGTTTAATACTGTAAAACACGTCATTTTCGGTGTAACTTTAACGTCGGCGATTTCGGTAGAGAAACCAGGCACCTAAATTTAAATTACACCTAAGGCACTAGAGTATGCACTGTATGTGAAGGGAATGCTGGTCACCTAATTCTAAATTACACCTGAAACCTGGCAGGTCCCTGACACCGAAATGTTAATGCACCTAAAATTACATGTTTTACAGTAATAGCTCGCCTACTAGATGTTCTCTCCAGTTCCCACTGGCCAGATCATCGATCCTTTCAAAATCCCCTCTTTTCAAGTCCTTTACGATGAGACTGGCTGACCAATGGCTTGTCCACCAACTCTTTTATTTTCATGTTGAATTTTACGGTCCATTTCAAAACTATAGACGCGTACCTAGGCAAAAAACGTTATGCCAGCATCTATACCACATAAAATCTGTGATCACTTTGTGCATAAATTTTTCCAAATTGGGCGTCTGTTATCCAATCGTTTAGAAACTATAATGAGAGTAATTGTGGAGCGGACCTGAGCAATATTCCGAAAACCATTCTCAAAAAGTTCCAGCCAAATTTGAAATATTTCAAAAACACTGCGCGTCTATAGTTTGGAAATGGACTGTAGTTGCCTTTGCCACCACTGCAGGACATTAGTACGGTTTTCAGTGGGAACCTCCCCCCACCACCATCACCATCAGCAGCACCAGCACCCCTCCACCACCCCCACCCCACCAATGCACACACACATGCGACCAACAAGCAGGGAGAACTCACCGCTCGTTTCCATGCTGGCCGTATGCACTTCGACCTGGTCTTTGAGCTCGGCATTTTCCTGCATCCGGCGTCAAACAAACAGACAGACAGCGAGACAGACACACAGACAGACACACAGACCATCCATCAACAACATACACACAGAGCTAAGCAGCCCAGTGACCAGAGAACCCAAGTCCGAAGTAGCCCCAAAAAAATCAAATATCACAAACAGTACTTGCCAGAGAAACCCAACGTCACGAACAAAAAAGAAGCGCTGGGCGCTACGCAACCTTAACACTACACACAGTGTTCTGTGCACTAAAAAACAAATATTCACGGCTCACGTCAGACTCCGCTAGGGGCCGAGTTTTCCGCATCCGTAGGAACGCCACCACTCTTCACGGATCAAGGTGCAGATGCAGCTCCTAAAGCGGCGGGAGGCGAGTAGATCAGACCCACCACAAAGTGGTCAAAGAACGAAAATCCCATTCACTGCACTCAAACGGGGTGCTAAACTATTCATGAGGTTGGATTTCTCTGGCCAGAACTGTACATGCTATCCAGTATCCACTATTAAATTTCCGCAAAATCAATCCATGCAGAAACTTCAGTCCAACATACCACGGTGCATCCAAGGTCAGTAAAATCTATATTCATATCCAAGGTCAAATTCTCAATTATGTTAGTAACAGCACAGGAAGCACAAAGCTCACCCGCTTCATCTCAGCAATCTCGTTCTTCAGCTGCGCAGGAGAAAACACACACACACACACACACACACACACACACACACACACACATACAGCACAAAGCCAGGATAAGATTGTGCTCACACGGGCACACATACGCACACACACACAAGCGCGCGCGCACACACACACACACACACACACACACACACACACACACACACGCACACCACCACCACCACCACCAAAGGAGGAAAATTGCAGACAGTCAGTAAAGTAGCGACAGTCACTGGCATGGCCCTCACCACGTACACCAAACAGTCATGCCAGGAGAGAAGGCACGCTCAGCATAACAACGATCAAATTCACCGGGTGCACATAACAAAGTGCGTACAAATCTGCTAGACAAAATGGAGGTTGCACTGATCCGCCAAGTACCAAAACAACGGCAATCATCTCTTCAAAGCCAGCCCTGATTTCGTCCGGGAAATGTGCACCAATGACATCACTAAGACAATCGTGTATGCGGTCTATGACATCATTAATTCATTGTGCACACAGTCTACAACACTACAACGCTGGCTGGCGTCACGAGGTAATTACTAATTACATCCACAAGCAAGTTCCATGTATGGCCGAAACACGGCATGTCTGATCTGCACTGCCCAAGCACGTTTGCAGTGTACCGTTGCCGTTAGGTCACCTACCATCTGAGTCTCGTTCTTGGCATCAAACAGACGCTGGTGATCCTGCAGGCAGCAACACACACGCACAAACAGGTAGATTTTATTTATTTTATTATTGAAAATAACCAAGAAATGTGTGGACATCACACAACTGCGTTACGACGAAAAGGGAGATTGTCAATTGACAACCGCTCTATTCAGTTGCTATTCACAAAAAATTGCAACTGAATAGAGTGGCTGTCAGTTGACAAACCCCCTTTTATTCATTGCAAATAACGCTAAGTAATTACACGATATACGATGTACAGAAACCAGCATTTGCCAAATGCAAGGAAGACATGAGGACCGAGTGTGCATGCGTATAAGCACCTCAGATAACCAGTTAGATAGCAACAACAAAAAGTTTATTTTCCATACAGTTCTAAAGGAACTCAGATGGTGAGCCAAGGAAAGAATGTCATGCCGTGGAATGTCTCAGTACTCCTGGTAGGTTTGGTGCTCGATTGTGCACGTCTGACTGTGTTCAAAAGTCTGGTATAGTTGGTGGACTCGATCGCATAACTTGTGACCACATTTTTCCATGTTACAGTTCTAAAGGAACACAGATGGTGAGCTAGCCACAGGGGAACAAATCTGATGAGATATACCCCCCCCCCCCCCATGGGAAGCAGGTATGTACCCCCCCCCCCCCTCCTCCATGGGCAGCAGGGGCATACCCTCCCTCCCCCCCCCCCCCCCCCACCCCCTGGCAGCAGGGATGTACCCCCCCCCCCCCCCACCCCCGGGCAGCAGAGACGTGTACCAAACCAAATGCACTCATACCTCGTTTATCCGGGCGGTCAGGGACTGGGCACTGCCCATAACTATGAAATGTCCGTAACTCCGAATCACATACATTTTGATGCGGAAAGGCGTCACTATTTCCACAAAAGTGACAAAAGAGTAGTAATATTTCCGCTGTGACTCGCCCAAAGGGTGCCTGCCCGGTAGACCGAAGTGCCCGTAACTTCGGGGTCCGGATAACCCGAGGTATGAGCGTACCCAACAGATCAACAGTTCAAGACACGCAGCCATGGCTACGACCCCCCCCCCCCCTCCCCTCCCCTCCCACCCACAAACAGCAGCAGCAGCAGCAGCTCCGACACCGATACGCACCTCCATTCGCTCGGCTTTCAGCTTCTCAATCTGGGCATTGAGCTCAGCAATCTGCCGTGCGTTGGCTTGCAGTTGACGTTCGTTGCTGCAACGGTAAACAAACACGACGAGGCAGAAATGGACACGAACGAAAAAACAAACACACAAACATCCGCCTTGGCGAAGTCATATTCGTCAACGAGGAACAAGAAGAGATCGTCTGTTTCACTGCCGTAACGAACGGCAGTCTGACAAGCTCCATCATGGACATACACAGAAAAACAAGATCGGCTGATAGAAATAAGAAAAAAAGTCACGGGACTCCCGACCACACATACCGTGCTGCTCAATGAAACGCGGTCGCGCGAGTCAAGTTAGCACCCCGCACGCACTATTTCGCAGCCCAGTGTTCGCAGGTCTAGGGCTGCGCAGTGCTCGGCGTGTACTCGAGTGACTCCGACTGGATTTCATTGAGCAGCGCTGTACATGCATGAGTGCAGTACGCGCATGCACACAAACAAACGAGAAACTACAGTCACGTGAGTGGTACGTACGGGCCCGACTGGAAGTCAAACTTGGTCGAGAACCTCCGATTGAAGGTCTGCAGAGATGCAATGACGAACACATGCACAAGCATCGCGTGCACACATGCACACACGCAAACACAAACGCACATAAACACATACACATGCACACATATGTGCGCACACGCACACATCCACATGCACTCACACACATGCACATGCACGCACACACATGCAAACACAAACAATGGCCAAAGGACTTCGTCACCAACACCACCACCAAAATATAACCTAGAAATCGTGGAAAATCAAACATGAGATGCCCATATACATGAACAGCACAGATCCATGTACCTCTGTAAAACAGGATCAGGGCTTTCGCAAACTACTAGACCGCCCGTGCATAGCCCTAGTACCCCCCCCCCCCCCCCACGCGCACACACACACACCAACACACACACGCACACACATGCGCGCACACACACACGCACACACACACATACACACACGCCGACACACGCAAACACCACCAGATACTAACATGTCGGGCATCGACGGGTTGCGGTAATTCCACTTTCCGCGGCTGTTCGACGGGTTTCGGCTTGGTAAATGCCTCGGGCAAATTCTGCAACAGAAAAATAGTAGAAGTGGTACAGAAACACATGGTGAGCAAGGTAAAACATGGCAACTTCAGACCAGCAGTTCCAGGGACTGCTACCACTATACCAGCGGTGTTGGTGGCAGTAGTAACAGCAACAACAGGTACAGCAACAACGACAGCAAAGTCAGTAGCAACGGTAATAGCAGCAACAGCAACATTATCAAGAGCAGCAGGATCAACAGCAACAACAGCAGCATGATCAGCAGCAGCAGCAGCAGCAGCAGCAACAGCAGCAGCATCAGCAGCAGAAGCATCAGCAGCAGATCAACAGCAACAGCAACAGCAGCAGCAGGAGCAGCAGGAGCAGCAGCAGCATCAGCAGCAGAAGCATCAGCAGCAGATCAACATCAATAGCAACAGCAGATCAACAGCATCAGCGGCAACAGCAGTAGAGCAGCAGCTGCCAAGATCACCAGTGGCAGTAACACACTGTCCATGTACATGTACTTACCGGCAGCACGGGAATCTTGACAAGGATTGACATGACGTAACTGAGCTGAGTAGTAGCTGTCAGTCCAGAAGAAAGCCTACAAGTACAAGGACAACATCCATGCACAGAACGCATACACCAAACAAACCATGACGTACTTTTTAAACCCTCCAAGGTTTTACTGCACACGGATGCACGCAACCGCTATGTTTTGGGAATGATATAGCTACTGTACGAGCTTCACTGACTGAGCGACAGCGTACCACCGTCTCTGGATTGGCTCTCTTGCCACCGATACACATGTACGGCACCGTCGGGCACCAAAGAACGATGCGCCGAAGAACCAACTGGCTAGAATTTCAACAGCAGCAGCAGCAACATGTATATCACACCAATATGTATTCTCGGAGACCCCCTTGATTTAGGCTTCGGCCTTTGGGGAATCCCGATAACTCAACTCATTTCACAACATGACAACATTTCGGCAAATTGCCTTCATCAGGTTCACAATTGTGAACCTGCTGAAGGCAATTTGCAGAAACGTTGTAATATTGTGAAATGAGTAAGTAAACTGTTTATGAAACTGCAGGAAGCCTCCCCACTTTTACTTCAAATAATAATAATAACAACAACAATAAACACAGACTTACTTTGATCGCGAAGCCAACGCTCGCTCTCTGTGGCCTTTCAGCGTTTCGGAGTCCAACTCTGCAGTGAGATGACAAACAAAGAACGCAAACCAGATCTGTTCCAGGCACACGTGCACACATGCACACATGCAGGGCAAATTGTGGCTACTCAAATTACATTGGCCCTTGCCCTCTGGCATTCTCAAGGAATGTAAAGGTGCATTACATTTCAATGCTCCCACATTATATACGGGCATCCTTCATGGGCCCTTCATTTTCTCTGTGCTGTGCTGATGAGTCCACAAAGGACGAAACAGTTCTGTCCACAGATTAAGGATATGAGCCCTTCATTCTCCTCTGTATCGTCTTCCTTGTGAACTGCTGGGTGGTTGAATATGTACACACATTTCAACGCAGCTGACTATTGGTGTTGCGGACATCCTGCTTTTGATAGAGGGTTGCCTAGCAACATCCATGAACAAGCAGACAGACCAGAGTACACACTCGGTCACCATTGGATGCAAAACTTACACACATGAACCTAGACTACTGTAAGGGGCCGTCCACAAATATCGATATTTTTTTAGAGAAGATATTCGTTCGTTTGGGGGGGGGGGGGGGGGGGTTGGTCCCTGTTCGTCTCTTATATTGATATAATATATTATATTGATATATATTGATATATCGATCTCTAACTTTGGGCGGGCACTGTGCAAACATGCAATTGATACCTACACAAAGTGAAAGTCAAACCCCAAGAACACAGCCATGGCAAGGTTGAGAGACTGTGAATGTAAACCTTGGTGTACATGTATGTTGAATTTGGAGTTCCTGTTGGTCACGTTTTTCGAGGAGACTACACTTCATTAAAAAATACGGATACCCTGCATAAACGTGTGTATGTTCGTTTTGAGGGGGGGGAGGGAGGGGGTCCGGGGAGATATGAACAAATATCATCTTGAAAAAATATCGATATTTACGGACGGCCCCTATTATTATTAATTTTTTATTAAAGTCAACAAATATTCGGCGCATATTTAGTTTCGGCTGTTTTCGGCCTGGTCATGTTAGGCCGAAAATTTGTTGCGGCCGAAATTTTGTTCTGCAATGTTCAATGTAAACATTGACGGTATACAGTCAACTTGGCTAATAACGACTGCGGATATAACGACAATTCGCTAATAACGACTGCGGATATAACGACAATTCGCGAATAACGACTGCGGATATAACGACAATTCGCCAATAACGACATAATTTTCATGCCCGGAGCAAAGTCCCATCCAACAGTGACACATATAATGAGACTTCGGCTATAACGACACTTCGCGAACAAGGACACTTTTCTGATGCCCCGCCGAGTGTCGTTACAAGCGAAGTTGACTGTACAGGCCGAAAATTTGAAGCGGCCAAAATGGGTTTTAGCCCTGGGAGGCCGAAATTTGAAACGGCCGAAAATCTGTAGACTCACAGGCCTGGTCGGAGTGCTGCTCATACACTAGGCGGAACTTACTGTTGGTTAGAACGACGTAGGTCTCCTGAATGACCATCCAGGTGTCAAATGATTCCTGTAGCGGATGCAACGACAGCGATGACAATGAAGATAATGACAACAAGAGCAGAAGCAGCAGCCACGTCAACGGTGTCAGCAGCAGCAGCAATACCGCAACCAGCACCACAACGAGCAAAGAATGGATGGCTTCAGTAAAAGTACCAGCATGCGACTCCACACATGAGTTTGGGAATGTGCACTTCGGTGCGTGCGTCAATTTCGGGGCAAGAGACAGACAGGACAAAATCAACGGCACATGTCATGCTGCTGAAGTACAATACTCCAATCCAAGATTGCAGCTTCTGTGACCCATCAAACATGTCACAAAACCAACTTTCCCAAGTCACTCAACAAACAGATCGATCAAGACTACAGTGTACAAACGTGACTGCTGCAAAGCAAGGCACAGTCGTCCCTCTGTCATCCAGCACTTTATAAACCAGCACCCTCTATAAACCAGCACCCTCTATAATCCAGCACCCTCTTTAATCCAGCACCCTCTATAATCCAGCACCCTCTTTAATCCAGCACCCTCTTTAATCCAGCACCCTCTAAAAACCAGCACCGTCCATAAACCAGCACAATTTTCAGCAGCCAAAATGTCCTCTTCATACACATTACAGCAGTAAATCAGATTTGCTAATCCAGCACCCTCTCTAATGCAGCGGAAATTCCGTAGCACAAATGGTGCCGGACAACAAAGGGGCCACTGTAGTGGACTCCAAGGTAAGAGTAGACACCGGCTATATATGGACGCTTACGGGAATGAGACTAAGAAGCGGATGAATGACGCAGTGCGTGTGTGACGTGGGCAGCTTGGCGCTGGGATCTAATCGACCGAGAACTGACAGAGGAGAGAACAAGAAGTAACGCACATAACATGTAGAAGACAAATAAGACCAAACAAATGGGAGGGTGTGCGTGTGTGTGTGTGTGTGTGCGCGCGCGCGCGCGCGCGTGTGTGTGTGTGTGTGTGTGTGTGTGTGTGTGTGTGTGTGTGTGTGTGTGTGTGTGTGTGTGTGTGTGTGTGTGTGTGTGTGTGTGTGTGTGTGTGTGTGTGTGTGTGTGTGTTAGACACAGAGAGAAACAAGGACTTAAAGACAACAAGATGGATGGGCAAGTCTTAGGCCACACACTACATGAGACAAATCAAGAAAGAGCCAAGCTAAATGTCACTCAATGACAGCATACACCTCCCCCCCCCCCCCCCCCCCCCGACACACACACACACGCGCGCGCGCGCACGAACGCACACACACAAACACACCTCAGACCTCAGACATGCCCATCGCGGAAGCGATGATAGCGAACAGCTATGTTAGACATAGCAACTTGTGCTGGGATTACACCATTCAACAGCTTGCAAGGCTGATGAATTGACTGCCACTATTTTTAGCCTGGTATCCACCACACAGCTTTTTGAAGACACACACACACACACACACACACGCATAGAAACACATGCACACAAACACATTTCCACTTACTCTGGGTGACAAACTCTACTTGTGTTTCTAAGTATGTCAGCAACGTAGTGAGAAGCTCAAACCTGGACAGAGATTTCCACAAGCATGCAAGCACACAGGCACATGCACACACGCACACACGTGGACACACATACACACACACACACACACACACACACGTGGACGCACGCACGCACATGTCGTGACGAGCGGAGAAATCAATGAGATTAGGCTCAAAAACCCAAAGACAAACACATCCACGTTGGGCAATGGGCAATAGGTTTATACACCAGCCTCGCTTGACCACATGGCAGGATTACACCAGCCACTGACCACAGGGTGGTGGAAACACAACAGCCACACACAACCGCTTAATCAGCGCCACACACGCATAAAACAAGTGCCGACATTGAAACTCACAGCAAATCCATGTTGGGCTTCTTGAATATAGTCAGCTGAATTCCATCTTCTCGGATCAAGCCTGGCAAGAACTCATTCTGAAGTGCCACACAGAAAACAGAACACAAACTCTTCGATCTTCAGAAGATTTCCAACAGAAATCGCTACAGCTACAGCAGCAAAAACAAGTTGAGTACAGTGAAGCCTGTGTAAGATGACCACTCAAGGGACGTAAAACGTGGTCTCCGTTACCAGGTGGTCTCCTTATCCAGGGTCATTTGACTGGAAATAGCATCCCTTGCTCCTGATTGCAGTGGTCTTCTGGGACAGGTGGTCGCCTTGACAGGTTTTGCTGTACGTCGAGGAGCTCTATTCAAAGGCTTAAACGCAAAATAACGTAAATATCTACACCCGCACTCGAGCTACGCTGCTGAGGCCGTCGACTCTCATGACCAAGGCGACCGGACCGGCACTCGTAGATCTACGCTCACCTACCGTATTCCCCCGACTGTAAGTCGCACTCGATTGTAAATCCCCCCCCCCCCCCCTTTCCAGGTCCATGTCATATCATTTCAATATACTCACTTCAGTAGTGATCATGCTCGATTGTAAGTTGGCCGTGAAGTATAGTGTGAAAAGGTGTGACTTAGATTCGGGAAAGTAAGGCACCTGTAAAGTCAGTCTCCAAGTAGTACGTAAGTCTACCCAGTCACGGCACCTGGAAAACAAATTTCACGAGATTCAAGGGGGATATTTTTTATAAAATACAAAAATCTAAGGGGATTTCAGGGAATTCCCGGCGAAGATTCGTTTCCAGGGTTTTCAAGGGTGCTACGAACCCCAAACAACAAACCCTTATTGGTCACAGGAAAACATGAGAATAAAGATTGAAAAACAACACAGAAGCAAACAGCGTACATTCAAGTGGAGGTCGACTTTCTCCAGGAGGAATTTGATGTAGCTGCCAGTCAGTTTGCAGTAACCATGGTCGTCGATAAAGTCCTGTACATACAAACACACACACACAAACACCATGTATGTGCATAAGTGTGCACGCGTAGGCTTGCACGCACGCACGGCATTGAACACAGCACATCTTTCACATCATGAACACAATAAGACAATTGAACGATGACAAAATTCCGCAGTGATCGACCGTCTCTCTCCCCCGGAGCTAAGCAGAATGCGCGTCATCACTGCGCTGGTCGCTATGGCAACATGGATCACACAATAAAATGGCGATTCGGCAAGTTTGACTTATCGTATGCAGCGAGAGATATGCCATTCGAACCCATATCGAATTGTCTTTCATCCGAACCCCAGTTGAAAAATCGATGCACTTCCCCTTCAAGCTACATATTGTGGAACTCTCTCTGATGAGATGTACTCTCATGGGAGGCAACAGGAAAGTACACTTACTTGTAGCATAGAAAAGAAAAAAGGACCAAGAAATTACAAGTTACGCTACAATGTCCACTAACACCACCAGCTACTAAACAATCAGCTCATGCGATAACATTGCACGACACTGACCGACGGTACTGACGTTCTACAACTAACTGGCGATCAGCTCGGGCACATCTCGGATGCGCACCCCAATGTTATCGCATGAGCTGATTGTTTAGTAACTGGTGGTGTTAGTGGACATTTTATAGCATAACTTGTAGTTTCTTGGTTCTTTTTTCTTTTCTATAAATTTATCCGTGGCTCTCCATCCGAGTCCGTACTAGTAGTATCCAAGATGATTCTCATGCCAACATACTTCAGTGCGGAGTCATACACCCGCTCAGGGCAATGTCCGTCCGTACTAAGCACGAGAGTGTTCTATCAGAGTACGTACTTATACTACGGCCGACTGTGACCGCGTTTCTACGACTCGGACGTGTTTGATCAGAGATTGTACATTATCCTTTTGAAACACGGCTGCATCACCATGGAAATTCAACTTCACCCGTAATTTGCTCCCGTAATCTGAATGCCTACAGTAAAACCGGGTGTAAGCGACCTCTGGGTTTAGCGACCACCTGCTCTTAACGACCGTTTTTCCACGCACCGACAGTTCTACACAGACACTGTGGGACCTGGTTCTAAAGACCGCCTGGCTTTAAGGACCGCTTTTGCTTGCGCCGCGGGGTGGTCGCTTAAACCAGGTTTTACTGTATAAGCAACAGTAACGCGGTAAGTACAGCGTACTGCTCAATGAAATCCAGTCGCGTCACTCAAGTACGCGCCGGGCGTTGCGCAGCCCTAGACCTGCAAACACCGGGCCACGGAACGATGCAAGGCGCAGCCTTGAGTGACACGACTGGATTTCATTGAGCAGTATTGCATAACGTTCGGCCAGGGGACACGAATATTGGTACAAGTACTTACAAAGCCTGAGCGCATCTGATGCAGTATCTGTTGGTATCTACCTTTGGACTGCTTCATCACCTGCACCGGGAGAAACGACAACAGAACATAAACTATGAACGACTGGAATTCGCACAATCATTAACTGCAGAAATTCTGCGATTGGCCAGTTGAGGTCCGGACCTAAGTTGTGGGGAAGGCTGTACGCTACATTAAAGAGCTGTACATGTACCGGTACGTGGATTTAAACACTTTGAAATTAGCTAAGAGAATGCCCGAGAGTCCTAGGCTACCCCCCCCCCCCCCCCCCCCCCCCCCTCTCGAGACATATGTTGTAACGACATCGCTAGGCTGACTTCTGCTCTGAATCGCATTTCGCGAGCTTTCATCATCGCTCTTACGTAACACTTCCCGCCTCACATTGCACATAACATTACCAACATTCAGATGAGAATTCTGTTCTGGCACACACACGCACACACACACACACACACACACACACACACACACACACACACACACACACACACACACACACACACACACTGTCCTGTCCTGTCCTGTCGACCCACTGCCTTAAAGGTTACGTGGTCCCATTGCGGGAGGAGGGAGAGGAGCAAACACACCGGTGCCGGGTCAGGTCCCTGGACTGCCGAAATCTCCGAGAGCAGTGCTGACACATTAGTGGAAACTTGGCACGTTCATCCGTTGTTGGGCGGTTCTGGCGAGGTCTACAAGGAGCGGAAGCGGGCTGGCTAGCGATTGAGGCAGGCTGACACCTGTGCACAGCGAGTCCACCCCTGCTACGGTACCATCTCCCACAATCTGCGCATTGACATGCACCACGCTGCTGATGGACTGGCTTGCGACGCTCCGCTGTGCACTTGTGGCGCTTAAGATCACTTGGTCTAGAGCAGACCTTTCCACAGGTGGGGCACTCAACGGGGGCTGCTGCGGCCAGTTCCTTATCCTGGTCTTGGTATCTACATCGCCATTCCACGCGAGATGTGTTAGCGGTCTGGTACCAGTTCACAATTTGGTTATGTCGAAGATCGACCGACACACAGTCCTTCCACCGTTTCCTTGGTCCATGGGCAGGTCTGACAGGTGGGAGCTGGCCAAACAGAAGGCACTTCGGCATGCGGGTGTCATCCATGCGCGCCAGGTGACCTAGCCACTCTAGCCGACGATGCCGAAGCTTACAGGTGATGGTCTCCGGATCGCCCCACATACGCAATAGTTCAGCATTGCTGATGTGGGCATCCCACATCTGCTGTCTCGACACACCAAGGATAGAGCGGACGCAACGCATATGGAAGGTGGACAGGCGTTGCAAGTCGCCCTGAAGGGGGACCCAGCACTCAGAACCGTATAGTAGTAAGGACATGACACACGCGTTGAAAACACACCTCTTCAAGAACACAGGAAGCTGACCATTGGCAAATACAGGGCGCTGTAAAGCACCACAGGCCTTGGAGGCACTCGCAATGCGGGCGTTGACGTCCACTGCCGAACGGCTGTTGCTGGCGATAATGGAACCCAGATACCTGAATTCAGCCACATTATTGATCTCAACATCCGCCAGCGTGAGTGGGACACAGTCTGCATCTTGGATGTTGCTGCCGCACACCATGAATTGGGTCTTGGTAGTGCTGACAGTTAGTCCAAAATCAGCAGCAGTCGCCTGGAATACAGAGAGTGCGAGCTGAGCACCGTCACGTGTAGTCGCTAACAAGGCTGAATCGTCGGCGAACTGACATTCCCCAAACTTGGTCGATATCTTTCGCGTCCTCGGCTTGCCGAACAAATTTCCGTCAATGCAATAGCGAACCTCCATGCCGACACCAGGAACTGCCGACACTCTCCGGGACCAAACAGTGAAAACGGCCCACATGAATAGATTGAAAAGCACGGGGGCCATAGAGCACCCCTGCCTCAAGCCGTTGTTGATGTTGATGGGCTGAGTGTGTCCCTGGGATGTGCGGATTGTGGCAGACATAGATGTGTGAAAGGACTTGATGACAGCGAGGAGGGTGTCCGGTACCCCAGCACAAGCAAGTACACGCCACATACACTCTCTGGGCACTGAATCGTAGGCCTTGCGCAAGTCGATGAAAACCATGTAGCCTTTCGTGTCATGCTCGAGAGATTTCTCCACAAGTTGGCGTACAGAGAAGATCATGTCCGAGCACGAGCGCCCGCGCCTAAAACCACACTGCGAGTCTGGCAGCAGGGTCTCCGCTAGCCGCTGGAGACGTGTCTGTATGATGGCAGCCAGCACCTTCCCCACAACATCCAACAGAGCAATGCCACGCCAATTGTCACACAGTTGCAGGTCGCCTTTTTTGGGGATGGGTACGAGAGTAGCATCAACCCATTCCTGCGGTACCTGTCCGGAGTTCCACACAGCACCAAACAGATCTAGCATCCTGTCCCGTAGAGGAAAACCACCGTACTTAACCAGCTCCGGCAAAATCCTGGATGCGCCAGCAGCCTTGCCAGGCTTCAGCTTATCGATTGCACGTCGCACTTCAGCCGACGTTGGGGGGTTAGCCAAATCATCAGCAACCGGGCAATGTGGGAGAGAGCCCAGTACCGCAGGGACGAACGTAGATGGGATATTCAACACTGTGTCGAAATGACGACTCCACCGACCATCCTGTTCCTCCTGAGACTCACACAAGTTACCATTTTCATCCTTGATAGCAGACACCCAGGTGCCCACCCGTCCACGACAGCACGCCTGCAAATCTCCTATACACTTCCAAACTGCCGCGCCGTCAAATCGGGACTCCGAGGCCTGCTGTGCCTTGTTCTTGATCCAATCCACCTTCGCTTGACGTACTGCAGAACGGGCAGCAGCACGGGCAGCCTTGAACTTGGAATAGTGATCGTCACGGAGCCTACCATGTTGAACCCACACATTGTACATTGCATTGCGTTCGTCCAAGAGCGGTTGAATGACATCCTGGCTATCAGCAAACCAGTCTGACTGGCGTCTCTTTCGTGGACCCAAGTTATCCATAGCTGATGTAACAACAGCATCACGTACCGCAGTCCATTGGCTCTCAACACTGCCCTCCTCGGGCCACCGATCAGCGAGCTCTTTAGCAACATCCGACTGGTAGTGTTCGGCTGCAGACTGCTTTGACGGAAGATCAGGATTTTCGCCACGCATCTTGGCAACATCAAATTGGAAAACCGGAGGGCTATGACGGGCAGCACGGCGGCGCACGGCCGGAGTATCCAGGTCGAAAGACATGGTAAGTAGCTCACACACACACACACACACACACACACACACACACGTGAACACACACACACGCACACACATAATCACACACAAACAGACACACGCACACAATCACACACACTCACACGCGCACACACACACTCACACGCACATACACAAACACACACACAATCACACACACACACACACACACACACACACAGCCACACTCACGTTGGGATGACCATCACGCAGTATCCTATGGTACGTGAAGCAGGTCTTATAGCCGACAATGGGCGCAGTGAACGGGAGTCGGCCAAGGCGACTCTCCACGATAGACCAGAACACCGTACAACCGTTCTCTTGAAATGTCGATACAACGGTACGTGAGAAAGACGACGGTCAAGGGGGAACAACGAGTGCAGCAAAGCATCTAACTATCTAACCAAAGGCACTTAGCCAGGGGAGAGGGAAAGAGGGAGAGCGAGAGAGGGAGAGAGAGGGAGAGAGAGGGAGAGGGAGAGAAAGAGGGAGGGAGAGAGAGAGATCGACACTGATAGTGTGTGCATGCGTGCAAGCGTGTGTTGTTGCGTGTGTGCGTGTGTGTGCGTGTGAGCGTGTGTGTGCATGCGTGCGTGGTTGCGTACGTGTGTGTGTGTGTGTACAAACTAATGTCCAGCAACAAGAATTCCTGTCATGATTAGATTGAGGACGTACGCACGCAAGATGCCAGCAAGATGAAGAAAAAACGATAACTAAGGTTGAACAAAACCTGTCCTCCATTCCTAACCAACACACAATATGACTAAGTAACTATGGTGACGCAGGCACCATCAGACAAGAGGATATTTCGAACATGCTTCTCTTTCGGTGGGGCGTCGTCTTTGCTGAGCGCCTTCGATATAAACTCAGTCTGGGCAACGAAGAGCAAACAGACAGACAGACAGACACACACACACACACACACACACGCGCGCGCACACAGGAAAAATCAGGCAACGAAACCAGCCAGCAGATTGACAAGTTGCATTGATTGAAGAGGACCCAGTACAGTGAACCTGTCAAGGAGACCACCTGTCCTAGGAGACCACCTGTCCTAGGAGACCACCTGTCCTAGGAGACCACCTGTCCTAGGAGACCACCTGTCCTAGGAGACCACTGCAACGAGGACCAAGGGATGCTATCACCAGTCAATTGATCCTGCATAAGGAGACCAACTGGTATCGGAGACCACAATTCGACTGTAACAACAAGTTTGGACGGTAACATACAGTATATGTTATACTATACAGTGTACGAGCTGTCAGTGTGCTGCTGTGGGATAACCGACGTGCCCGGGTGACTGACTGTCGGATAGGTGACATGCGACCGTACCCAGTACAGGCAGATCTCACTTAACCGCACACATCCGTTTTCCACAAAACATCCGGATAGGCGAGGGAACTGGATGATCAAACACGCATACTGTATGTGTGCATGGCATATGCTGTAAATCGGTAACCAACGATTTTCTTCCGGACGGCGAGGGATCCGGATAAAACAGGACCGGATAAGCGAGGTCTGACTGTGTCCGTAGCAAACGACAGCTCCAGCACACCTACATATAGCCGCCATTCAACTCTCCGGCGCGCCATGCCGACAAAACGTACACATGTATCTGCAGCACGCCTGTCACTGGCTGGCTCACGACGGTGGATGCATGCTGCCCGTGGATTGCTGGCAGTTCCGTTTCCGATGTGTGCCAGTAACTGGGCAGAGTCGTGTGCGTCGATATACGACATGCTACCTTTAAAACGAGCTATCTGCTACACGGGTCTTGTTTTTTTTACTACCGTAAAGTACCGTTGATCCGCCCCCCACGCCATGTCGCTTCCCAGCTGGGTTTTCGGCAGGGGGGGGGGGGGGGGGGGGGGATTAGATCAAGGCTGCCAAGTGCAGTACGATGTACAACAATGTGGACGATCAGACTCGATGTGCTGGATTGTGCACATTTGCATCCTGCACTGGCATGTATTGTGTACAGCAGTGCACGAGTCGGTTCAACATCGTATTTCGTTGTATACGCCGAAGTCGCTTCACGGGCAGAAAATCGACAGGGGGCGGCAATTAGAGAGGGGGCGGATCAACGGTACTTTACGGTATTTTTTTATCACTTGTGCATGATAGCTGCCCGGAATCCAGCTGACGACAAACGCCTCCAAAAAATCACTCGGGATTGGTGCCACGGTCAATGTGAAAATGCAGTCTGGAAGAGCGCTCGCCCGCATCGTCAGGCTGGTCAACCTCGAATGATTTGTCGCAATTTTTTCGTACATGCAGGTGACCATCTCAACTGGGCGAGGATTGGGTAGTTTACATCATTTAGCCAGCGCTCCACCCACAATCCCATCTGCAGCCTAGCCAGGCACTGATAAATTCTACCACCAAGAACATCCCACTACCAGGTATACGTTTGATGGGTGCTTCATGAATTCAGTGACTTCAGTCCCTGAGCTGGGTGATGGGGTCTGTCATGGACATCGTGATGCATCTTCATACGCGATTTGTAAGGTGCGTACGCAAAACAAACAGAGGCAGGCACAAACAATTAGCCGAGCTGCCAAAAAAATTGCTCGGGCAAAGCTGAAAACGGAGGACAGGGATGATTTTTATCTACATGCTCCTAACAGCACACGAGGCGGTGAACAAAGCGGCAATTAGCCAGCTAAACACGCTTTGCCAGTCCCCTTGCATGTTGCAGATTCAAATCGTACGCATACAACAATAATCTGCAATTTGACCCCGACGCTGATTGATTTAGCAGAAATAACAATAAACCAGAAGCTAAAGATCGGCTCACCGCTTCCTTCATCAAGACATCGAAATCCACCATGGGCACGCCTGAGACCTTACTGATCCCCTTCTTGGCGGACGTGTGCGCCATGGTGCTGGCTGATGAAGAACAGAGGTGAACACTCTGGACAAATTCTACAAACTACTCGTACCTCGCAACTGACACTTCTGACTTTTCGAATAATGTGCCCAAAACACACTCCGCTTCCAGCCAAAGCCAGGGACAGGAAGCTTGTCACGACGCTAATAAAACAGCAAACTAGGCTGTGCGATCTGGAATGCGTCGGTGTTCCACGACCAGCCGGCCAATCGCCGCTTGCAGCAAGATTCTACCCCAAGTACCTCTACTTCCACTCCTAAAAAAACTCTTTTGATCAGCATGCAGATGTATGACACTTGACAGCAAACCCGGGTCTGTGATTGCTCTCCCGGCAGCGACCTAGATTTCATGTAGAGCGTCCCGATCCCACAAATGCACAAGCGCAGCTCTTCGTACACCGCGTAGCGGTACGTAATCCGTTTGTGTTGTTGCTGTGACGGTCTTCGACCAGTTTGGGCAACAACGATTGCAACGCAGATACGGTGGGATTTTATATGGGCTAGGGCATGCGTTTTCGTCCTGAAACCCCCAATTGGCTCCATCCAAGTAACTATTAGTAGGGACTTCAGACCATTTTTTCAAATCGGTTTTCTGTGGCTTATGTTTTGCTTTTTGGATAGGTTAGAGCTTCCTGAGGAGTTTGGTCTTTAGTTTTTCTAAATCGGACAAAGGAAACTAAAGTTACAAGCAAAATAGTCATCGCCTATCACCGGATTTGTCCGACAAACGTCCCACACATTTGAGATCAGAGAGATATGTCAAACTGAGAGAACCCACTTTCCTTGGCAACGCATAGCAACCGCACACCAGATCCAAAAACAATCTTGATTCTCCGCATGAAATAGCTGAATAGTATGGTTCACAATGTAGTGGTTAGTAACAGGAGACATTGATAATACAGTCCTGAGATAGCTTCGGACTGTTGGCGTGGTTGGTGTCAAGAAAAGAATGATCACGGAAGAGGCACTGACTAAGCTCAACATGTACATGTACAGGACATTGTATTGGCTGGGGTAATCGTAGCACGCACATCAGCATCAGCAGAGATACAGCAAATAGCAACAAGAGTATACAGCACATCTCCCAGTTCGGCACTCTTTCACCTATTCTTGCGGAGCTCAACCAGATCGAAACAGCATTGGAGACAAGAATCGAGGCATGGACCGAAACAGCCAAGAGCAATTCAATTTGTACATCAGCATCATTTAGCGCAGGATACTTCTCGCTGCTTTCCATACTGTGACTATGGCGGCGCTGCACGGCAAAGTACAAAGAGGAACAATGCAAGAAATAGGTCTTCTGGAAAGTGAAAACAATAAAGATTACCTTCTATCTAGACTAATTCGAGGTCGTAGAATACGAATATCACATTTTCAAGAAGGGGACCCGGACGGATCATATGGTTTCTCACCTTTCCCTTCCATCCGCATACGTATCTCCGTCAAAAATGAACGTAACAGCTCCATTCTTGCTGGTCCCAAACGAAGGCAAGCTCCAACAAGACGAACCGAAACTTTCTCCAACTGTACAAGACTTCCTTCATTTCGAAAAACGGTTCCACATTTCTTTACACGACTTGACATATGACCATCACACGATTTGTGCAGGCGTCGATTTGCACGCTTTTGCCAGTTTTGGGCCATAAAGTCACGTGGTCTGAAGTCCCTACTATTAGTATCTTTTTAGAAGTACGGATTCTAGCAAGGCTCCATCCGGAATTTCCGGATGGATTTTTGTATTTTCAACGGTAAATTTTAATCAGGGTATTTTCACATGTAGCTCTAGGTACATAATTGTATTATCGAGTGCAGGAAACAATCAGCCAACATTCGCTTGAAGTATGTTGTTGGCTACTAGCCACTGCCACCTGCTTACCGCCTTTCTGAATTTCGATCAACCAATCAAGATTTTCTTAGGGTTCCCTGTAAGAAGGCGATGACGCCTGTTGGGAATTCTCTTGTAAAATAAGAATAAAAAATAGAATAAAATAGCCTTCCACTGTTTGCTACCTCCGCGCTACACTAGCCTACACCTGTACACATGCTACAGCCTCCCATTATCATTGAATGGAACTCCTTATTTAGACTACTGCAGTGTGTCTTTGGGAAATCCTCAAAATAATAATTACATGACATTGTACTTCAGTTGAAGTATCAATACCGGTGATACAGCCGGGCCAAGCTTGCAAGGCACAACAGACGCAGAGTCACCAAACTTTCAAGTGACATGTAACTAACTTGAAGTTAGTTCCCTGTTATAATGTACATGATTGTGCTCTTTCAGAAGTACCTGTTTCAGAACGGTGTTTCCCAGGGAAAAAACTCCTTCGCGGCTCATCAGATGTAGCCTTGTCATTCTTGCTTCTTGTGTTTGTTTGTTTTCCTCTAGTTTTCTTATGTTCGCGGAGAAGGCGGAGAGCTAGCCGGAACGCAGAACCTTTTTTTTACATTATTTCACGGAGAAGGCGGAGATGTAGTCTTCAACTTGCCTGTATCAAGACTCAACTAATTACTTGGCACTGTGACCCTTCTACAAAGTCACAGGCCTACCCGCCGGAACCGGTCCGGTTGGTCAGGTTACCACCGGACCAACTTTGTAGCTACCAACACATGTGTGTATTGCTGAGGAGGGCATATGAGATGTCCCCGCCATATTATACACAAACTGTATGAAAGACTATGGTAGGACTGGACCACTAAAAACTTCTTCCGGCGGTGCTGAGTCATATTATTCAAGTTTCGTCTTTGTGGACGGTTTGTGGACGGTTTGTGGACGGTTTGTGGACGGTTTGTGGACGGTTTGTGGACGGTTTGTGGACGGTTTGTGGACGGTTTGTGGACGGTTTGTGGACGGTTTGTGGACGGTTTGTGGACGGTTTGTGGACGGTTTGTGGACGGTTTGTGGACGGTTTGTGGACGGTTTGTGGACGGTTTGTGGACGGTTTGTGGACGGTTTGTGGACGGTTTGTGGACGGTTTGTGGACGGGGAAAGGTCAACTTCCGTCGCATCGAGGTCGTCCAGACAGCAAACAACAACATCATAGCAGAGTCTGGGAACCGTTCATCCGGGCCCGGAGGGGAGGGGGGGGGGGGAGCCGGGTCACTTGAAGCCTGTTCTATACCGTATAAGCATCAGTAGCCCAAGCCAGCTCCTGAAAGACGGTACGGCCCGGTTATTACCCTATGCCACGATTTGGATCAACTTAAAGTCTTTCCAAGCATTTCTGGGGGAGATGCAAAGCTGACTAGTCTAAAGTAGCACTGAAGCGTTCTGGAGCCCAAGCCCGGGTATGGTACGGTACGCAGGACCAGCCGCTGGAAGCAGTTTTTGATTGGTCCGGTAGTGCATGTATTGTGGCCTTTCATACTTTGCGTATCGAAATGGTGGGTACCAGGGAGTCGTAAAATACCGGTATTTTACTACTCCCTGGTGGATGCATATGCCCTCCACAGTAGTAAACACATGTCGGTGACCAAAAGGTTGATCCGGTTATAAATTTTTGTTTTTGTTTTCAGCAAGCTGCCATAAAGCAGTTTTTATTGCTGTAATTACTTTGTTCTTGCCCTTACAAGAGGCAGTATTGTCTGCACCGTATTAAAAGGTCCGGTTATAACCTCAGTCCTGACCAACCGGACCGGTTCCTGCGGACAATGCCGGACATGGTATGGTATGGTACCAGCGATGGAGTAGTGAAGCCCGGCAATACTGCACGTAGTACTGGCCCGGTGGTATCGGTGCGGTTGGTCAGCCTGGCCATGGCCAGACAAACTTGTTGGCCATCAATGATTGTATTAACTTCTTTTTTTTTAACTGTTCCAAAGCCATTTTTACGGGCGAACAAAACAAGACGTGGATATGTCAAAGAAGAAAGAAGAAAAAAGGCCCAACCCTGCCCTGCCAGTTATGAGGGCTTACACGGGGGTCGCCATGGCAAATAATAAAAATAAAAATGCGCGCGTTCGGGCAATGATTGTATTAACTGCTGAGGAGGCCATGTGCGTACAGTACCCTCCATACCATACGCAAACTGTACAAAAGGCTAGGTGTGTGGCCGGATCAATCAAAAACCGCTGCCCACCTCCGCTACAGGCTGGCTTTCGCCCTGCTGCGTTCCAGTGCCATGTGTCTGCGTGGGGCTCGCCGAGTTTGGCAGCCTCCACTGGATGGCTGTGCCTCCCTGGCTGTCGTGGAGGCTAAGGTGTCCCGTTGACCCTTGGCCCGTGATTGTGCGGACTATGCCATACTTCTCTTGCTCTCTGATCACGTGTGACGTCATCATTATGTGACTTTGTTTTTCAATCCTCCGCCATCATGCAAATTGTGTTTTGTTCGCCCATAAAAGAGGCTTTAATAAAATAAAAAATAATAAAAAATAATAATAAAAAATAATAAAAATCCGCTTCCACTGGTCCTGTAAAAAAAAAGTAAAGTTCGCACGTCCGCGTTACAACCGGCTATACACAATTGCATTGAGTCTGTACTGAGCAGCCTTTGTAGCTTTCATTACTGTACGGGCAGACAATTTCGTCGGTCAAACATTTCGTCCAACTCCACAAAAAGGGAGTTCGTCCAGTTGCAAATTATTTCGTCCATGCCTCTCATACGAGTGTTTTCAAAAGCTGGACAAGTCGAAATTCGTCCCGCATATAATTTAGTCCAAAAGCTGCTTGGACGAAAAAGACGAAATTAAATTCCAGCAAAATATTTATGCTTTGACAGTATCCCATCAAGCCCTCCCAGACGGGCTGTGATTTTCCGAGCTAGGCCACTTCATGAGGGCTTTGATTTACCGAGTCTAGCCTGCTGTTTTTTGTTTGTTTTGTTTTTTACTGAATAAGCCAGGTCGAGTCATGCTTTCAAGGGTGATCATGAGGAAGATCAAAGTGCGCGTTCATGTCCGAAATGATTCAATCAAAACAGTCGTGTTCATATTCCATCAGCCAATCACAGCCCTTTGCGCAATAGTGTATCTCACGCTCGTACTCTTGTTTGATTCCATACATCATGGTACATGCTTGTCTTGCTGGATAGGTTCGCATGCATGTTGCAGGGGCGTCGGACACGCTAGCGCACTACCGTCACTACAATCTGCTGCTGGAAATGCTTGCAATTGGCTTCAATTTTTGACATTTTTTCCCAGGGGAGGGTAATGTTTGTCCCGGATCGTAGCGTCGTCAAGGTTTGTTGCAGGATCAAAAAGTCTTTCATTTTAGTTACACTGAAATGGCACCAAATGCCCGGAAATGCTTGCAATTGGCTTCAATTTTTGAAGTTTTTTTCTCGGGGGAGGACCCCGGACCCCCCCCCCCCCCTTCCATGGCCGCCCCAACTCCCAAGTCGGTGCGACGGGCCTGCTATGTAATGGTTATGTAATGTGGTGTCATGGAAAGTCATGAGAAAGTCAGTGTCATTTTTGATTGCAGACACTGCTGTAGAGAGACAGTGTAGACAGTGCAGAGGAGTGTAGTGCATGCAGTGAAGACGGAGGTGACGGGTTTGGGGCAAGCAAGTCGCCTGTCGATGTCGTACATGTCACATTTTTCAGAACCTTTTTAGCACTGCACCGCGAGAGTGCACGTTGTCGTTGATTCTACGCAGCGGCTGGGGCAACCCGTCACCAGGTCACCACGGTCACTGAAGTGAGATCATGAGACTTGAGAGTGAGAAAGTCAGCACTACACGGTCGGTGCCAGCATTCACCGCGACAGCACATGACTGCAATGACTGTCGACATGCATGTCAAGACAAGACTCAACAGTCAACACTTACAATCTCTCACCTGCAGGCTACACGCGCCATATCCCTGACCAGAGCGGCAGGCTGAGCGCCCAATATTCTGGCCTCCACTCCAGTCTCCACCAGGCACCCCTGGCCCTGGCCTGCACTGGCACTACACCATGTACACGTACACCATGGCATGTGCACCCACCGCGCGCGTACCGCCGACTCGACTACGTAGTCGACTGTCGTCCGCACCGACGTCTCGTCGACGCGTCCCGTAACTTTTACTCCTGTTCGCCTCCTTCCTCGCAACTTCGGCTATTCTGTATTCACTCTGTGCCGCTGCACTGTTTCAGCCGGACGACCATCGCTACTTCCCTAGCTAATGCTGTGTAGCGATTGGTTTGCGTATCCGTTGAATTTCTAGCTCAGGGGAGGGCGTGTAGTATTTTCGGTGCTCTCTAGGTCGTTTGGAAAGCATCGCTCTGCTCGACGGACGGACTGACAGCCGTGTTGCAGTTGCTTATCACGGAGGTAAGGCGTCGAGCTCTTCCATTGCCCCTCATGTGCTTCCTGTTCTGGTCTGTTGTACCCCGCACTTCTCCAGTGTTGCATGCAACACAACATTCTCATGATCATGTCATGTAACTCGCCGTCCGATCTACTCGAATTGCAAGCAGTTACGCACCCACGCCCTCAACATAATAATAATAATTGTTTGGGAAGTACTTTCCAGCTCGGAAATGGCTTATCGGCGAAGAAATTTATTTTATAATACCAACATAGTGTGCGACAATGACCACGTGTTGTGACACAACAGCGCGGCGAGCGATAGAGTTTGTCAGCACATAATAGACACGACAAATTCTTAGTTCCAAGCAGCAGCTGCTGCGCTAGCCTACCATTTACTGAACCATCCTGAAACATTGGTTGTTGAATGAATTTCACATTCATTTCCATAAAATTTATAATAATGCGCTCTGTGAAACGATCACCAATGCATTAATGACCAAGTGCAACATTTGAGTCTTTTTGACACGATCGAGGTATCGCACATTTTTATGATGCCACTCGCACGGCCGGACGCTACAAGACGTTCCAGCTAAGTGCCATGTCTGCTACTTGTAGACAGGTGTAACTGGTGCTCTTCACCTTGTATAGTTTCGTGAGTTTGTGTCCATTTTGCTGTGTCCTGGTTCAACTGATGTTATGCCTCTGGCGATAAAAATTCATGATGGCCCATTCAGGAGGGTGCGATGAAATTAATTGATGACGGCATCGTAACAACGAGAAGAACATTGCTATGGAGTGATATCCGAGTTTTAGCAACGTTACCTGCAGCTTCACAAAGTGCGTTAGCGCTTGCTAACCTGAGAAACCGGTCGATATTGCGAAATTACATTTAAAACCCTTGTAAAGTGTTGAATATTGAGTTGAAAAATGGGGAAGGTCTGAAGATAAAATTGAATCACCAAAAGGACTCGAACTAAGGGACCGTCGTTTGTGGCTAGCGATGATCTACCACTAAGCATTGTCCACTGAATTTGGAATTGGAAAGCACCTACTGTTGCATGTTTGAGACCGGGCCCAGAGCTGTCTGACCATGATGTACTGTGAAGTCCACCAGTGTCATGTGATTACCGTGATGGGAGAAACATTTAAAATACAGTTGAACTAAGCAGATGCCGCCTTTCTCTATCTATCTATCTATCTCTATCTATCTCTCTCTCTCTTTCATATCTAGGCTATCTTTGTTGTTCTTTCCCGGGATCACTCTCCAGCAGCAGCAGCAACAGTAGCACAAGCGACATCACAACCACATCAACATCATGTGGAACTAGTTCCGGCCGTCAACTGCTCCTTGCACAGTCACCTGCATGCCATCTGCTACACTCACTATCACTCACCTGGTACACTGCCGTCCATCGTCACAGTAAATCCTGAAGACCCACACCGTGGCATTAGCGCTCAACTCCAACTCCACTAGGCATTTCGGGTGGAGCCATTTTCCTAGCTTGAATATATTTATTTTGATCAAGAGTTGTAGTGGGGAGAGATCCAGGATCCAGCCGCCAAGATGCCGAAGACGTTTGATGTGCGCGTGACGACCATGGACGCGGAGCTGGAGTTTTCGATGCCGGTGAGTGAGCTCTCTTTTTCTTGTACAATAAAACCTGTAACTAAAGACCGCCATGACTAGCGACCAGCCTGGTGCTACTGACCACTTTGCCAGGCACGGACGGTTTCACATTCATAGACATGTATGGTTGTGCGGTGCAAACCTCTAACTAAGGACCACCTGCCACTAAAGACCGCTTGTTCTGACCCCAAAGGGTGGTCGTTAGTCACGGGTTTTTAATATATACATGTACTGTTAAATCTGTCTAAGGCGACCGCTCTGAAAAGGCAACCACCTGTCCTAGAGGACCACTACCAGAGATCAAGGGATGCTGTGTCCAATGGATCCACATCTGTAAAATCTCTTGAGCGGTCGTCTTAGACAGGTTTCACTGTACAGTGAAACCTGTGACTAACGACCACCCCTTGGGGTCAGAGGAAGCGGTCTTTAGTGGCAGGTGGTCCTTAGTTAGAGGTTTGCACCGCACAACCATATATGAATGTGAGGCTGTCCGTGCCTGGCGAAGTGGTCTGTAGTACCAGGCTGGTCGCTAGTCACGGTGGTCTTTAGTTACAGGTTTTACTACAGGGGCGTCGCACACGGTACGGTCACTATGGCATTGACCGTGCCACTATTTGCCCCAAGTAGCCCGTGAATCAATAGAATGCACTTATTTGAGCTCTAAATTTCCAAAAATGTTGGCTCAGCCATTCCTCCCGCACGAGAAAATTGTACTTCAGATGGTTGACCGTACCCCACTAAAATGCCTTCCGACGCCCCTGTTACTGTATGTGAGTTTACACCTGCTGTACGTCGCTGGCGCATGACTGCATGGGATTGGGGTGATCATATGATTCAACCATGGGTACTGCTTTCTCTGCCGGCATGTCAGTGTACAGTGACTTGCATCTTGTACGGACAACTCTCTGCAGCCGCGGTGCTAGTCGTGCTGTTTGCTTTCGTGCAGGGTTGTTGCGGCGGTGCTGTTGCTGCGGTTGCTGTTGTTGCTGGTGGTGCTGCTGTCGCTGCTGGTGTTGTTGCTGCTGTTGCTGCTGGTGGTGTTGCTGCTGTTGCTGGTCACATTGCTGCTGCTGTTGCTGCTGTTGCTGGTCACATTGCTGCTGCTGTTGCTGCTGTTGATGGTGGTGCTGCTGCTGTTGCTGGTGCTGCTGCTGCTGCTGCTGCTGCTGCTGGTGGTGCTGGTGGTGTTGTTGCTGCTGTTGCTGCTGTTGCTGGTCACATTGCTGCTGCTGCTGCTGGTGCTGGTGGTGTTACTGCTGTTACTGCTGTTGCTGCTGGCGGTATTGCTGCTGCTGCTGCTGCTGCTGTTGCTGTTGTTGCTGCTGTTGCTGCTGCTGGTGTTGCTGCTGGTGCTGTTGCTGCTGATGCTGGCCCGTGCTGTTGCTACTGGTGCTTCTGCTGGCGATGGTGACACTTGGCTGGCTCTGTGCGTTGTTTCTTGTGTGCAGTGGAAATCCTCCGGTCAGGAGTTGTTTGACATGGTGACGAAAACGATCGGGATTCGCGAGATCTGGTTCTTTGGCCTCTACTACACGGACAGCAAGGGATTCCCAGCGTGGCTCAAGCTCAATAAGAAGGTTGGTCAGGCGCTGGCATGTGTGCACACCTGGCAAGCACCGTGCAGTTGTTTTGTGTCACCATTAGTGACCATGTCTAAGGTATCAGGATTTTGTGTCACAAACACGCACACATAGTACGCTCACACGCATATCCACCCTTCTGCACGCACACACACACACACACACACACACACACACACACACACACACACACACACACACACACACACACACACACACACACACACACACACACACACACACACCATTGGACCATTGGACGCCCATCGCCGGAGGCAATGATAGCGATGCTACAGCAGAATCCATAGCAGCTTGTGCTGGGATTGCACCATTCAACAGCTTGACACACACACACACACACACACACACACACACACACACACACACACACACACACACACACACACACACACTCCCACAACCGTTAGCATGGCGACTGTCCCTGCCTGCCTGCCCCTTATCCCCTTTTGTTTTTTACGGCTTTCCCACTTTTGCCTAGGTGGTGGAGCAGGACTTCCCCGCCCGCCAGAACCCACTTCAGCTGGTCTTCAAGGCGAAGTTCTTTCCGGAGGACGTGGAAGAGGAGCTGATCACGGATATCACCATGCACTTGGTCTTCTTGCAGGTCAAGCAGGCCATACTCGACATGGAGATCTACTGTCCGCCCGAAGCCTCTGTTCTCCTTGCCAGCTATGCTGTGCAAGCCAAGGTATGGACACAGCCTACAATTTGCCAGTGGTATACGGAATTCGGAACGACACTTCATGCAGCTTCATTGTAACAACAAATAGATGATATGCCGAATAACGTGCAACTAGACTTCGGGAGGGCGTTGCAGAGTCGTTGCATGCAAAGTCCAAAGTTGGACGGTTTCCTGTGACTTGTGTTCCTGCAGAGCTCGGGGCCTACCGTGCACACATTGTAATTTGTATGCAACTGGTGTGCAATGCCCTCTCAGGTCTAGTTGCACGTTATTTGGCATATCATCTATTGGTCTGTGCCACTGGCCGATACTCAGCTTCACTGCTACTAGACACGATCAGTTGGAAAGTTTTTGCTCAACGTTTCCGTCACTATAACCGTCTTCGGGACACTGTAGCTGAGTGTTGGCTAGCGTTACTATAGACCAATTTGATGCCTGATAGTTCACAGAATACATGGCTCGGAACAGCCGATGACCACTTTTCTAACTTTCAAAGCAGGCCTTCTCCTGTATGTCTGTGGGATAATTGTCTTTTCTGGGTTATGTGTGTGTGTGTGTGTTTGTGTGTGTTTGTGTGTGTTGTGTGTGTGTGTGTGTGTGTGTGTGTGTGTGTGTGTGTGTGCGTGCCATGTGTGTGTGTGTGTGTGTGTGTGTGTGTGTGTGTGTGTGTGTGTGTGTGTGTGTGTGTGTGTGTGTGTGTGTGTGTGTGCATGTGTGTGTGTTTTTCTGCGTGTCTGTCTCTGTGTGTCTGTGTTATCTGTATGCCATGTTAACAGTATGGTGATTACGATCCGGCAGTTTACCCGCCCGGCTTCCTCAAGAATGAGATTCTCCTTCCTCCGAGGGTATGTTGCTATAGGTGGGCAGAGAAGATTGGCTCAGTTTTGAAGCCGGTTGTGCCAACTTGAGGAACAGTACTCGATACACTATTGTATCGAGCCTTGAACACTGGGAAAGGTGTCGAAATTCAGTTTTTTCATCAGAACAGTACTTTTGATCCATCTTTCTATGCGAGGATCAACGCTACATGTCACGTACATAACTACAGTTGGGCTCAGTGAAATCCGACCCAAAGCGCATATTTGGCGTTCTCAACTACCGTAAAAGTCCGTAAATAAGTACCTGCGCGAAAGAAATACCCCCTTCATTCTTTAGGCTCTGTCTGTTGAAGTCAAGTCAAGCCCGATAAACATACTGCCCGAAATAAGTACCGGTACAGTGCGCACATGCAGCACGTAGCATGTACATCGACATGATAATGACTTCTCCACTACACACAAGTCAGGTCCGAAAGTTAGTTCGTGCCCGAAAGTCAGTACCCGCCCGAAAGTTAGTACGGGTGTGGTCATTAAATTCGAAAGTAAATACGTACTTATTTACGGACTTTTACGGTACTGTCTTGAACGGCCACTGACGCCCTGGAAGTGGCACGAATGCAGCTGGACATACACATGTACCAGTACAGTGATGTAATCGGAACTGGTCCAGGGAGTCAGTTTTGTACTTCGGGTCGGATTTCAGTGAGCGCACCTGTAGGATTTTGCTATGGTCTGATCAAGATCTTGCCAGACACTGCGTAGTCGGACACTACGTAGTAAAACAATGTGTAGTCCGGCAATATGGAGTCTGAAACTGTTCAGTCTGACACTGCGTAGTCTGACACTGCGAAGTCTGGCACTGCGTAGTCTGACACTGCGAAGTCTGACACTGCGTAGTCTGACACTGCGAAGTCTGACACTGCGTAGTCTGACACTGCGTAGTCTGACACTGCGAAGTCTGACACTGCGTAGTCCGACACTGCGTAGTCTGACACTGCGAAGTCTGACACTGCGTAGTCCGACACTGCGTAGTCTGACACTGCGAAGTCTGACACTGCGTAGTCCGACACTGCGTAGTCTGACACTGCATGGCCTGACGCTACGGCGTATGACACTGCATAGTTCGACGCTGCAGCGCCTGGCATAGTCCGACACTGCGTGGTCTAACACTGCGTAGTCCGACACTGCATGGTTTGACACTGCGTAATCTGACACTGCGTTGTCCGACACTGCGTGGTCTGTTGTAGAGAACACCTGTCTTTAGATGTGACCTGTGTATAATGACCACCATTCTATAAAGACCACCTTTCTATAAAGACCACCTTTCTATAAAACACCTTTCTATAAAGACCACCACCGCCTTTCTATAAAGACCACCTATCTATAGATATAGGAAAGGAAATGGACCAAGGAACTACAAGTTACACTATAATGTCCACTAACACCACCAGCTACTAAACAATCAGCTCATGCGATAACATTGCACGACACTGACCGACAGTACTGACGTTCTACAACTATCTGCCTATTAGCCAGTATCTATAGATCACTTGTCTTAAGAGATCAGTGGCAGGCTCTGGACTGTTGGGAGCCAGTTTGCTTAACTTGGCCCGCTTAGCTCAAGCTATCATGCATGCACACATGCTACAGGCAACGAATAGATGATAAAGAGAATCTAGTAAGTCCAGCCAGCTAGCTGTGTCTATATGTTTGTGTGCGCACACTAGGTTCTGGATCAATATCAGATGACGGCGGATATGTGGGAAGAGCGCATCACTTCTTGGTACTCGGAACACGTCGGAATGCTCAGGTACTACTGGATGGTCAGAGTATGAGTGAATCCCGCTTGCATATCTGTCGTGCTGTTTTTTGCCGATCTGCAATTGCTGACCCATTCATTCTTTCGGCCGAAGAGTTTTCAGACATACGTGTGTGTGTGTGTGTGTGTGTGTGTGTGTGTGTGTGTGTGTGTGTGTGTGTGCGCGCGTGCGTGCGTGCGTGCGTGTGTGTGTGTGTGCGTGCATGTGTGTACATGCGTGCGTGCATGTGTGTTTGTGCCTCTGCATTACTTTACCCCATTCAGAGATGAAGCGGAGATGGAGTACTTGAAGATAGCCCAGGATTTGGAAATGTACGGCGTGAACTACTTCCCCATCAAGGTGAGCACACAGCAGCCAGGGAAATCTATCTCCTCGCCAGCCAGCGGCGGATCCAGCAATCTCTACAGGCCAGGGGGGGGGGGGGGGGGGTTCCAGCATAGTCAAAGCTGAATAGCTGATACATGTGCATGGTTCCAACACATCTACGAAGCGCAAACCAACAGCCTCAGGTGCGGAAAGTTCCAATGAGGGGAAGGGATGCGGCACAAAGATGTGCTCGAGCTATGTCCCTCGGCAACAAATAATTAATAATTTAAAAATAAAATCCATATTTTCGGGCCAGGCCCATCTTCAGCTACAGTGGAGTCTTCGCGCCTAAGTTTAGGGAGGTCCTGTGGAAGCAGCCCTGTGTGATACGACTGGTATACATACATCCTCAGCAGTAAACACGGGCTGGTTGCCAAACAATTGGTTCGGCCATGGCCTGACCAACTGTACCTGTTCCATCGCCCCCTGATCACTCAACCTCGTGAATAACGGTGTACAAAGTGCTGGATTGAAGGACGGCTGTGTTTGCAAATTCAGAAAACTGTAGCCTGTTTGGCTATGACCATGCTGTGTGTGTGTGTTTGTTTACTAAGTCAGTCCACTATGCTCCCGGATGAATGCGGAAAGTGGCGGTGGGCCTGCTGCTCAGCCGACCTTGGTGGTCTCGGCGTCTGCACAGACAAAGCGCGCCAAGAAAAATAGAGAAGGATATAAGAGAGGGAAAACAAGACGAGAGCAAGACGTGTGTGTGTGTGTTTGCTATGCGCTTGTTCTGTTTCAGAACAAGAAAGGCACTGACCTGTGGCTGGGTGTGGACGCACTGGGCCTGAACGTCTACGAAGTCAACGACAAGCTAACGCCCGTCATCTCGTTTCCGTGGAGCGAGATCCGCAACATTGCTTTCAAGGACAAAAAGGTAGGATCCCTGTTTGTCTGGGTATGAGGTGAAAACCGGCCAGGTTCATAACTGGCCCCTTTACCAGTTCCTATAGTGCTTGAAAGTGATGATGTCGGAAGTCAACATCTAACGACAAATAACGACCTTTGGATCCACTTGGATCCGGTTTTTGTATGGATTTATACACGTTTGGGTGGTTTTCCTTCGCAGCATAGTGACACATCCACCGGTAAGTGTGGGTCCACGACCGGGAGGGCCTAGTCCAGTCACTACCGGTGGATGTGTCACTATGCTGTGAAGGAAAACCACCCAAACGTGTATGGACCCATACAAAAACTGGACCCAGAAAAAAAAGGTCGTTATTTGTCGTTGGATTTTGACTTCTGATGTCATCATTTTCAAGCCCTACTGCATCATTACATCACTGTATGTGTACATGGGTAGGTCCAGTAGTATGCGTACCACATCCAGGGTGTCCCGGACCGTGCAAGTCTGGAAGTCAAACTCGAACTTTAATGGATTTCACGACTTGTATCCTCTCTATCCCTTCCGCAATCCAGTTCACCATCAAGCCGACGGACAAGAAATCCCCGGACTTTGTCTTCTACACGCAAAAGCTGCGGACGAACAAGATGGTGAGTGTGGGTGCAACATATAGTATGGCACTGCTCAATGAAATCCAGTCGCGTCACTAAAGTACGCGCCGGGCGTTGCGCAGCCCTGTAGGCCTGCGAACACTGGGCTGCGGAATGGTGCAAGGCGCAAACTTGAGTGACGCGACTGGATTTCATTGAGCAGCACCGTACTTAGTCCCCCGCAGGAGTGTACACTTCCAGTCGGCGGGGTCTGCAACGGTAGAACTTCACGTTACGAACCCGAAACATTGCTTGCACGCTGTGCATGCTTGAAACAGGGTCGTAAACAGCCCCGGCCCGCTTTGGGTGCAACTCTCTGCTGGTCGCTTTGTACTGCTTGCCAGCCTAACCGGCCATTGAACTAAAGTAAAAACCTGTCAAGGCGACCACTCGAATAAGGCGACTACCTGCCCTGGAAGACCACTGAAACCAGGACCAAGGGGTGCTATTTCCAGTCAAATAACCCTGGATAAGGAAACCACGTTTTGAAGGTCCTATGAGTGGTCATCTTAGACAGGTTTCACTCCATGTCAGGTGATGTGAAACTTTGCCATCCCCCCCCCCCCCTCCCCCCGCACTGGATAGCATTTGTACAGGCAGTTGCACACTCTTGGGTGTAAATGGCTTATCAGAGTTCATGGTAAGCCATGTTGGTTCCAGCTCCGATCAGCCCCTGCATCTGTAACATGCGTACTTCTCAACCCTCAAAGCACATGGTTCCTCACTTCATTAAGTTGCCATAAGTGTTCATTGTCTCACGCAGAGGAGAAGAAGAGCAAGGCAGTGCGAGTATGCGCACAGCTATGCATGCATTCCGGCTACGGTGTACTATTTATGTGTATACAAATTACGTGTTATAAAGTAGCCATACTGTACTACTACACATCTATGGGTCACATGACGTCGGCGGCCATGTTGATTTCACTGTCCACGGCCATGATCACTTTCTGCACGAATGGAGTCACATGACCGAGATTTGAGACCACCTTGTATACAGAAACCACCCCCGACATACTCTCCTGATCCCTCTATCAGTGTAGGTTTGGCGGGGACTGTAAAAGCAGAAATTTTCGGTGGTGTTTTATTTTCAGTAACTTCAGTGCCGACAATTTTTACCGAAAATAAAACGCAACCAAAAATTTCGGCACTAGTGCCACTAGCACACTTACCTGGAAACGCGTTTACCGAAATTTTCCCGCCACCGAACCGCCGATTTTGAAGTATACCGAATATATTACAGCACTGAAAAGTTCTGCTTTTAGATCACTTGAAACTCGAAGTGGTGCCGAACTATCCCCGTCACTGTGTGTACCAATTCACATCCTCACATCGCACCGGTCTACTTTCTGGGTAGTGAGCGCTTTGTGTGTTGTCTTGTGTGCCTGTGTGGACAGATTCTGCAGTTGAATATTGGCAATCATGATCTGTACATGCGGAGACGTCACGAAGACACCATGGAAATACAGCAAATGAAGGCACAGGCCAAGGAAGAGAGAAGCAGAAAACAGGTGAGAACGCTTGAAAAGTGCAGAGTATGCACGTAGTTGCTGGACTCTCCTCATCTCCAGCCCTCCCAGGCCCGACGCAACCGGTCCGGCTTGTCAGGCTATCGCCGGACCTACATTTGACCACTAACATGTGTTTACTGCTGAGAAGGTCATGATTGTGTCAACCCTCCATATCATACACTAACTGTATGAAAGACTAGGGTATGACCGGACCAATCAATAACTGCTGCCGCCAGTCCTGCCTCCATCAACTGTTTTATCCCCACCCATCTTTCTCTCAATCTCACTCAATCAATCTCACTCACTCTCTCTCTTTCACTCTCTTACTTACTAACCAAGTCTCTCCCTCTCTTTCTCTCTCTCTCTCTCTCTCTCTCTCTCTCTCTCTCTCTCTCTCTCTCTCTCTCTCTCTCTCTCTCTCTCTCTCTCTCTCTCCCTCTCTCAGTCACTCACTCTCTCTCACTCACGGGCACGCGCGCACACAACTGGTCCTGGTCCTGGTAAACACTGCCATTACGGTCACGTGTCCCCTTGCGGGGCCGACAACATGGAAACGACGAGCGACGGCAGAAAGTCCGCAGTCTGCCGAGAGATCAGGGACCATGTTCAATCGACACGGCGAGACTCGCCATCTTTGGCAGCTATGGATTTGGAGTCCACGAATAGAGCGGCAGCACCGACCACAGGCCCTACAGTAGGCCTTGCAGCATGAGAGGGCGAGCCGCACACGCGGCGGCAGAGGAGTTGCCTGAGCAGCAATGGTAGACATCGCCGCCCGGCACACACACACACACACACAAACTCTCTCTCCATGACTCACCATTACCCTTTCTCCCCCTCCTTTTTATCCTGAGTCTGATATACATCTCTCTTCAAGTTTTGATCACGTCTGTTGATTCTTTCCAAGGCTCTCCTCTTACTGGCTCTCCTCTTGTTTGTACATGCACGTCTTCTTGTTGTGTAGGCCGAGCGTAATAGATTAGCGAGGGAACGTGCAGCGAGGGAAGAAGCCGAGCGAGAAAAGGAAGAGCTGCAGGCTAGGCTGCGGCACTTTGAGGAGGAGGCGAAGAAAGCAAATGAAATGCTGGTGAGTGAGTCGAACATGACCTCTCTCTCTCTCTCTTTCTCTCTCTCTCTCTCTCTCTCTCTCTCTCTCTCTCTCTCTCTCTCTCTCTCTCTCTCTCTCTCTCTCTCTCTCTCTCTCTCTCTCTCTCTCTCTCTCTCTCTCTCTCTCTCTCTCTCTCTCTCTCTCTCTCTCTCTCTCTCTCTCTCTCTCTCTCTCTCTCTCTCTCTCTCTCTCTCTCTCTCTCTCTCTCTCTCTCTCTCTACCATATCTTGTAAAGGCCGCATGTAAATCAACTACATTTCTGTTATAGAGAACTTCGGTGACAAAGAACTTTCTCCTGCACATTAGTGTTTGTTATATCGTCCACTGCATGCTTGCTTACTACGGTCAGACCTCGCTTGAACGCACACATCCATTTTCCACGAAATAATATCCAGATAGGCGAGGAAACCGGATAATTGGACACACATGCTCTATGTGTGCATAGCGTATACGCTGTGAATTGGTAACCAACGATTTTCTTCCAGACGACGAGGGATTCGAATAAAAAGAGGACCGGATGAGAGAGGTCTGACTGACATTTAACTCGAGTCCACTGGTCATTTCCTTTGCAGATCCAGTCTGAAGAGCGGTCTGAACTGCTCCAGCGGAAAGCTCGCCAGGCAGAGGAAGAGGCCACGTCCATCATAAGAAAGGCAGAGGAAGCTGAAGAGGAGATCCGGCGCGTGAGAGAGATGGCGGTTAAGGTGAGTGAGGGGTTTGGGGAGGGCGCTGGGCAGTCGGAGAATGTGATGAGTGAGAGGGGGGGGGGGGGGGGGGGGTTGGGGAGGAGGCTGGGCATTGGAAAGATGTGAAATACTGGGCTCTTCCCACTTCAATCTGTCCAGATCGTAAACCGGACTACATGGCATTGGTTGCGCCTATGCTAGGGAAAAGATCAGAGAAGATGATAAGAAATGTCCGTGCACGTAATACATTGTTTTTGCGCACGCGTGTGCGTGTGTGGGTGTGCAAGTCGTACGTGCGTGTGTGTGTGTGTGTGTGTGTTGTATTTGTGTATTTGTGTGTGTGCGTGCATGTGTGTACATGTGTGCATGCGAGCATGTGTGTGTGTTTCTGTGTGTATGTACATGTTTGTGTTTACCTTACATTAAGATTCGTGTGTGTTTCCCTTTGTGTGTGTTTCCTTTTGTGTGTGTTCTGCTGTGCAGACAGAAGAAGAGAAGAAGGCTCTGGAAGCAAAGGCGTTTGATGCCCATCAATAGCACAGCAGCTTCTCAGAACTTCTGATGAACGGTAGGGCTGGGAACTGTTTTCGGTGTGGTTCATAACGTTACGCTGCCCTATAGGCAATCGTCCATCTCTCTCTCTGTCCTTCGGCGTCTCTCTGCGTCTCTGTCTGTCTTTCTCTGCCTCTCTCTCTCGCTGTCTTTCTCTCTGTCTCTCTCTGTCTCTGTCCCTCTCTATTTCTCCCCTCGCGTGCTATTCTGAAAATAATCCGTTCGTCTACTGTGTATGTGTGTGTGGGGGGGGGGGGGGGGGGGGGGGGGGCAAATCGAGCGAATAAATATTGCGTAGAGGTATTCTCTAGTTGCAGGGGCCGCGGACACTCTACAGTCACTCATATTGTCCATAACACTTCTGATCATTGGCTCAATGTTGTGATCATTGGCTCTAAACATTGAATTTTCTTATCGGGTGTGGGGGGGGGGGGCACTAAAAAGAAATAACACCTAAAATATTCGCTGGCCGTACCAACCTGGAATACCTTCCCGACGCCCCTGAGATGTATTGTTAAAACCTTTGTTCCATCTCTGGTCAGGCAAAAAGAAGCCGAGGCGCTGAAGAATGAGCTACTGACGGCCCGCCAAGCGGAGATGAGAGCCAAGCAGCAGCTGTTGAGTGTCACGGCTGGTTCTACGCCCAGTTCTCGCGTCGCCGTGGCCAGCGACTATCCGGTATGGTCTTGGGGCGGTAGCAAATGTGCAGACTGCGTGTGTGATTAGTCCCGTGGTGGACAGTTTTGTGTTTGTTGTTGCTGCTGCTGCTGCTGCTGTGCTGCCGCTGCTGCTGCTGTTGTTACCGGCGTCATATCTGTCTGAGTTCACTTGACAAAAGCTTGTTCCAACAATGAGGTAAACGTGCCGATTTGCTTCTGTTACTGTCAGAAAAGAAGCTGGCCGTACAACACTGACCGTTGTAGGGGTATTTCCCCATCCGAAAATGCATGTAGTCTTTTAACTCCTAATAGCGAGTAATATGTATGTTCTGCATTGCTGTGTGTGTGTGTTTGTGTGTGTGTGTGTGTGTGTGTGTGTGTGTGTGTGTGTGCGTGTGCGTGTGCGTGTGTACGTGTGCGCACACGTGCCTATGTGGAGGCAGTGCTCACGTTAAATTCTGTCCTGAAATCATACTCGTATCACGGGATGTTTAAACGATTGTAATGCGTGGACTAGCATGGGTTGCTGCTGCCGCCGCCGCTGCTGTTGCCGCTGCTGCTGTTGCCGCCACTGCAACTGGTGATGTGGTGCTGGGCTTTTTCTCTGTTAGTTCATGAATGTATGCATGTGTATGTGTTGCCATGGCTGCTAACATGTTGACTTGCTGATCGTGTGAAAATGCTTATTGTATGTATGTGGATGTGTTCGTGCGTAAACATCATCAATTGCATGCGGCACCACCGCCGTCACTGTGACGACATGCAGCGCCGTTCCGCAGACACCAGAACCCGACCACCAACACAGCAGCAGCAGCAGCAACGACACCCTGCACCCTTCTTCACCGGCCAGGTCGTCAGCTACCCAGCAGCAGCGACAGCCAATGCACCAGCACCGCCAAACCAGCAAGCACCCGCGGCGTATGCTGGTCAACCGCACCTCCACGACTCGTCCGGCTCCTCCGCTGCACCAGCAGGGGTTTCTGTTTCACGTGATGGCCAGCAGGTGGCGGCAGCCGGGAGTGTAGCACCGCCGTACATGCTGCACCAGCACCACCCGTCCGCACCCCCACAGATGCCGCACACGGCAGGGTCGTCCTCCGCACGCCTCGTCGGCGTAACCTCGGCAACCATGCCTCCCAACATCAGCAGTGCTGGCTTGTCCGCAGCCGCAGCCGCTATGGGTCCCCCGGCGCCGCCCGACTACGCCACACACCTGCGCCTGATGAGCGGTGCGGCCTCCATGACCAACATGTCCGTGACACCGTTGCCGGGAGCGACGGCGGCGAGCGCTGGCGGTGTGGTGGATCACGCCAGAGCGGCGTCGGAGGGTGATGTCGACGGGCTGGCGCAGCATGCGCAGCACGAGCAGCCCCCGCCGTATTCGCAGGGTGGCGGCGTCTACAGGCCGTTTCCTCAGGTGTGTTTTGGATGTCTACTTTTACACGCCCTCCCCCCCCCCCCCTCCCTCCACGTACCCACTCCACGTACCCTCATGCACCCACCCTTATCCACCTATTCCAATCCACCCCCCCCCCCCCTCCATCTACCCCCATCCACCTACCCCCCCCCCCCTCCATCTACTCCCATCCACCTCCCCCTCCCATATTCCCTTTAACACCCCTCCGTACCCCTCCCCCGTACCAACCCACTACTGACACATATTTCTCTTTAGTTGTGAAAACATTGGGTGGGATTGCTCACCCGAACTTCAAGTTGTGTGAACACACTCCCCCCCCCCCCCCCCCCTGGATTTTGGAAGTCTTAGCTGCGTCTGACACAGTACAGGTTTCATGTCATGAAAAGAGGGATTTTCTTAGTCCCAGTACAGACAGCGGATTGGCCGGGAGAGCACAGTGTTTGAGCCAGACTACAGAAACCAGATTGTGCAAGTCAGCAACGCTTGAGGAAATAGCGTAACTTAGTCCTAGACTGGATTCAGAGACATCATTCACAATCAGTCTCTCGCTGATTAAATGCCTCTACGATCACCTTGTGATTATGAGTTTTACGTACAGTCCTAGACTACACCATAGCTTAGTAGTGGGTAGAGCATTGCTGGCCATAAACGAGGTTACCTGGTTCGAGTCCTGATCGTGTCAGTCGATTTTTTCTTCAGACTTTTCGCGTTTGCACCTTTCCCTCAAACCAGTGAGACTTAAATCCTGACAACAGTATTATTTGATCCCTTGATGTGTAATGGAGTATGTGTATTTGGATGTGTATTGGAGTTTTTTTTATGTGTATTGGAGGTACTTTGAGTATGTGACTTTATGTGTTTGTGTGCGTGTATTGACTTTGCCCGGCCTCTGTTTACGTCCAGGCTATCCGTCAGCTGCCTGCCGATCATGCCTTGGTGAACAAGGTGTGTGTGTGTGTGTGTGCGTGCGCGTGCGTGTGTTGCGTGTGTGTGCGCACGCGTGTGTGTAATAGAGAGAGAGAGAGAGAGAGAGAGAGAGAGAAAGAGAGAGAGAGAGAGAGAGAGAGAGAGAGAGAGAGAGAGAGACAGACAGAGTGACTAAAAGAATAACGACCTAACATAACAAAAGATAATATTGATACGTATCAAACTGCATTGGCATAAATGATTTTGCCCAAGGATCTTTGCTAAACAAGTGTTTCCCTCCTTGCATACATGTAGTTTCTGATGTTGGCACATGCAGCTTGTCTGGTCTAACCACTTGTAACATATAAGATGAAGAAGGTTGCCACTGGCTGTAAGCACCATTGCACAGGGGAAACCCCCTACCCTCTGTGCAAGGTTCCACTTGTTTGTAAAACACCATTGCACAAGGGAAACCCCTGCCTGCCTACCATCTATGCAGGGGTGCTCTGTCCAATGTTCGCTGTGTCATTTATATCCTCTCCCCGGCAGAGATCGACTGCTGCTGAAGCGGAAGGCAGCACGAGCAGTCTCCATGCCGAAGGAGACGAGATCGCCGTGGACCTGATCGGCGATGACGTGGACGAGCTCTCCAAGGCTATCGAGCAGGAACGGTATGTACAGCAGTCCCTTGATAACCCGGCACCATTTATGCTACGGAAACTTTGCTGGATTAGGGAGGGTGCTGGATTAGAAGATCTCACTTACGGCTGCAATTTACATGAAAAGGACGTTTTGGTTACTGAGAGTCATGCTGGTTGACAGAGTGCTGGTTTATAAAGTGCTGCATTACAGAGGGACGGCTGTACGGTGGTGGCCTAACATTTACGCCATGTGTACGGCATGGCATCGTACGGTACTGGTGAATCCAGACGAAACGTCTCAAGTGTTTGAAGTAGCACTCGCCGTGATTTGTACCAATTTTGCGGGAGTTTTTTTTCGAGTTTTGTGCTAGGCTTTTGCATACGCATGTATATAGTTGTAGCACCCATACTCTCTCTCTAAGTATCCTGGTATGTGTACAGTGGGAACAACAATTTACATGGCCAACAGCATGGGACCCATAGACACAGGGCTGTGGTGGGTTCATCAATGGCAGAATTTTTATACAGCGTTAGGCACCGGCGGATTCTGCTCGAAAAGGTGGCAGATTCTGCTCGAAAAGCAGTGAAATTGGCAGAACCATACAAACCTTATGGCGGGCAATTCCTCGAATTCTACTCCATTTCTTTATCCACTTACCAAACATCCATGAAACTTACCAGGAAAAGTACCGAATTCTGCCGGCATAATCCGCCGGTGCCTATACAGCGTCGTTCTTTGGCAGAAGCATGATCAAGTGTGTATTCTGTCCCGCGCTTGCCTTGTTCATATCCGGCCCCTTTTTCTAAACATTTATGATTTTTATTATTGGTCCCATCGGCCTCTTTGTATGTTATGTGTGCAGCTGCACTGTTGAGCTTCCGATGTAAAATAAATAAATATTTAAAAAAATAATACTACGGTGTCAGCTAATCGGGTTCAGGACACATTAATCTGCTTGTTCGTTGTTCTCCTTTGACTACCGTAGCTGGGATGTATAGGTTCGTTGTCCTTTGATCTCTGGCTATGCCTGATGGCACCAGTGAGTCAAATGGCAGCGAAACACTGATGTCATAAAAAATATTCCGCCGTGAGCTGGGAGAGCATCGAGTTGCGGCGCACTCTTGGTTATGTACTCATGGCTGTAGCCAGTTCACCGATGAGTATGCTGATCATCCGTGTGTAGTAGTAGGTGTGTTAATATCGTATTTCCTGCTCCTTCACCATAGCAACGAGATCCCATCAAGTATAGAAGAGCGCATGCTCCTGTGATTCTCTATAGTTGTGTCTTCGTTCTTGTCTACTCTCTTGTCTAAATACTTCTTCCGTATAATCATTCAATACCACAAAAGTTGTGTGACAAAACCCTGTGTTCTGGAAGTGTGAGGGGGCTGCGTTTAGCCGGGAGTTTAAAACATGTACTGTAACTATGTCCTGTGTCCGATGCAGGCTGGAGTACATACAGAAAAGTCAGAAGCTGAAGCAACAGCTGTCGGAGCTGAAGACCGAGATTACGGTGAGTCTTGCCCGGGGGCCGGACACGCGGCCTGTGCAGTTCCGCGTGCACATACGCATGTATGCACGTCTGTTCCTTCATGGGACAATCGCCGACTTCCGCATTCGCATGTGCTTGCTCTCTGCCCAGTTACCTGTCCTTTTATGTGTCCATACCCAATGCACTCGTGTGCACATACGCATGCATGTACGTGTGTTCCTTCATGTAACACCGGGCAACTTCAACATTCGCATGTGCTTGCTCTCTGGCCAACTATCTGTCTGTTTGTGTGCCCATACATCTGCCCACTTAATCTCCGCACGGAGACACAGCTAGCTGTTTCGACCTGTAGTATTAGGTCTCATCAGCGAAGTTTAGGGTCACTGGCTGAACTGGTCATCGTGAAGTATTGTGAACAACAAGGCTTTTCTTTTAAACCGACACGGACCGTCAAAGTCAGAGTGCTCTAACAGCGCATGTCCATTGGTCTATCCATTCATCTGTCCATTCACCTATCCATTCGTCTGTCTATTTGTCTGTCCATTCGTATGTCCATTCGTCTGTGCATTTGCCTGTCCATTCGTCTATCCATTTGTCTGTTCATTTGTCTGTCCATTCACCTGTCCATGTCCATTCGTCTGTCCATTCGTCTGTCCCGTAGGTGCTCAAGGTATCGGATAAGCAGACAGATGAAGATCGTCTTCACGAAGAAAACTACGTGCAGAAGGGAGAGACCAAGTACTCCACACTATCCAAGGTATGCAAACGTGTTGTCTAGACTAGAGGATACTTTCAAGTGCACGATGCAGGAGCGTAGCTGGTTTAACTTTGGGGGGGGGGGGGGGTGCACTGGTGCATGTCATTCGTGGTCATTATGTGCATGCTGAACTTAGGTCGAAATTTTTAGGGGGGGGGGGGGGGGGGAAGGGGTGCACAGCCACAAACATGTGTAGGATCACGGGCTTGTGCATGTCATTCATGGGCATTACGTGCATGCTGAACCTGGGTCGAGATTTGGGGGGGGGGGGAGGGTTCACGTGCACCCGTGCCCCATGCGGGCTACGCGTCTGCGATGCACTCGCGATCGCTTGCTTTCACCAAACTTACAAAACAGTGTGACTGCCGGTACCGCCCTCTCTGTTTCAATAGTCCGGTGCACATGGGTGTTTGTGGCAAAGAAGACCGAGGGAACTGGCCATTCAGTACGGCGTTCACGTTTCACGTCTTTTCAGCTTCCAACGTGAGCAAAAAAAACTGGCGTTGAATCGCCTTTTTCACAGTGAGTTGTCCCTCTGTCGCGTTGAAATCTCACGATGTATCGTGAGGAGCACCATCATGGCCGTGAGACCTCACGTTCGAAATTGAAAAAAATATCGAGGAAAAACATGCTGATACTACAGATGTAGGTCAGGGGTTCCGATCGTTCTGCCTGCCTGCCTGGTTTTCCGCTTTTCTCCACCTGTCTGTATGTATGCCGTTATGTCGGCTTATCCCACCTAATGTTCCGTCAAAGTATCCGCTTGCCTTTTGGTCTGGTAAACCGCCTGCCTGTTTCTCTGTTGTTCTGTGGGTCCGTACTGCTGTCTGTCCACTGATTTGCTTGTCCATTGTACCCACCGTGGGTTCGTACTGCTGTCTGTCCACTGATTTGCTTGTCCGTTGTACCCACCGCGGGTCCGTACTGCTGTCTGTCCACTGATTTGCTTGTCCGTTGTACCCACCGTGGGTCCGTACTGCTGTCTGTCCACTGATTTGCTTGTCCGTTGTGCCCACCGTGGGTCCGTACTGCTGTCTGTCCACTGATTTGCTTGTCCGTTGTACCCACCGTGGGTCCGCACTGCTGTATGTCCACTGATTTGTTTGTCCGTTGTACCCACCGTGGGTCCGTACTGCTGTCTGTCCACTGATTTGTTTGTCCGTTGTGCCCACCGTGGGTCCGTACTGCTGTCTGTCCACTGATTTGCTTGTCCGTTGTGCCCACCGTGGGTCCGTACTGCTGTCTGTCCACTGATTTGCTTGTCCGTTGTGCCCACCGTGGGTCCGTACTGCTGTCTGTCCACTGATTTGCTTGTCCGTTGTGCCCACCGTGGGTCCGTACTGCTGTCTGTCCACTGATTTGCTTGTCCGTTGTGCCCACCGTGGGTCCGTACTGCTGTCTGTCCACTGATTTGCTTGTCCGTTGTGCCCACAGTGGGTCCGTACTGCTGTCTGTCCACTGATTTGCTTGTCCGTTGTGCCCACCTTGGGTCCGTACTGCTGTCTGTCCACTGATTTGCTTGTCCGTTGTGCCCACCGTGGGTCCGTACTGCTGTCTGTCCACTGATTTGCTTGTCCGTTGTGCCCACCGTGGGTCCGTACTGCTGTCTGTCCACTGATTTGCTTGTCCGTTGTGCCCACCGTGGGTCCGTACTGCTGTCTGTCCACTGATTTGCTTGTCCGTTGTGCCCACCGTGGGTCCGTACTGCTGTCTGTCCACTGATTTGCTTGTCCGTTGTGCCCACCGTGGGTCCGTACTGCTGTCTGTCCACTGATTTGCTTGTCCGTTGTACCCACCGTGGGTCCGTACTGCTGTCTGTCCACTGATTTGCTTGTCCGTTGTACCCACCGTGGGTCCGTACTGCTGGCTGTCCACTGATTTGCTTGTCCGTTGTGCCCACCGTGGGTCCGTACTGCTGGCTGTCCACTGATTTGCTTGTCCGTTGTACCCACCGTGGGTCCGTACTGCTGGCTGTCCACTGATTTGTTTGTCCATTGTACCCACCGTGGGTCCGTACTGCTGTCTGTCCACTGATTTGTTTGTCCGTTGTGCCCACCGTGGGTCCGTACTGCTGTCTGTCCACTGATTTGTTTGTCCGTTGTGCCCACCGTGGGTCCGTACTGCTGGCTGTCCACTGATTTGCTTGTCCGTTGTGCCCACCGTGGGTCCGTACTGCTGGCTGTCCACTGATTTGCTTGTCCGTTGTACCCACCGTGGGTCCGTACTGCTGGCTGTCCACTGATTTGTTTGTCCATTGTACCCACCGTGGGTCCGTACTGCTGTCTGTCCACTGATTTGTTTGTCCGTTGTGCCCACCGTGGGTCCGTACTGCTGTCTGTCCACTGATTTGTTTGTCCGTTGTGCCCACCGTGGGTCCGTACTGCTGTCTGTCCACTGATTTGCTTGTCCGTTGTACCCACCGTGGGTCCGTACTGCTGTCTGTCCACTGATTTGTTTGTCCGTTTTGCCCACCGTGGGTCCGTACTGCTGTCTGTCCACTGATTTGTTTGTCCGTTGTGCCCACCTTGCTGTTGTAGATAACATCAGGAACGACGAAGACGCGAGTCGAGTTCTTCGAGCAGCTCTAAACCCCGCTCTGCTGGTGCTGTGTCTCGGCTACCGTGGACAGTGCTGCGCAGGGCTCGGTCCAGCGCGCGATGGCTACTCGACAGGAATATCTATCCAACACGACTAGCCCGGCGGAAAAAGACTATTAGGGAGTATGCTTCATTGGTGCCTTGAATTGGACTGACTGCGATAGAAGCACCAGCATGCATGTACGATCACAGACTCGCTCACATGTGCGGAAGCGCTCCCATGTGCGGAAGTGCTCCCGTGCATTCCTGTACATGGACATGGGCATGTAGGCTCACGCCTTCGGCTTGCTCTTCTTCCTCCTGTCGACCTTGTTCCAGATGGGTGCTCACGATAGTCGAGCCTCTTTGTACCCCATAACTTAAGAGCGCCCATGAAGTGTTCTCGTCAAACATCGTGCTCATGTTATGATGAGAACGTCGATTTCGCCGATTTGTACTTGTACAATTTTGCACTTGCCTTATCTTGATCGATATTTTGTTTACTTGCTGTGTAGTGGGCCGCAAGGCATCTTTCTATATTTATGACGAACCATGACATGATGGTTGTACCCAACCCTGTCTGCGTACGCTGTTCTCTGCTATCTAGGCTGGTGTAGAGCATTGCCATGTTGTGCTCATGTTTACGTTTTCGGGACTGCTTCTTGCTTGAGAGCTCTCGCTGCGGTTTGAATGGCAGCGCGAAGAAAAAAAGAATCCGTTCAGCTGATATGACTGGGAACTCGTGTGAGAGAGCGTGTTCTGGTTAATGGCTGTGTACCATGCTGTGTGTATCGGGTTGTTGCACATCTTTCACTTGACCATTGTGTGGGCAGCCATGTTGGTTCCTACTCCAGTCTACTACAGCGCTGGCAACTGAAATCCGACCCCCTTGCCGGCGCGCCTCGCCGCCAAGGGGGTCGGATTTCAGTTGCCAGCACTGTAGTAGTACATTTGCATCAATGGATCACATGTTGTCATCCATGTTGCTGGCCACTGTCCACATGCCATTATTTACACTTCCTTTTTTTATCGTGAACATTTTTACTAAAAACGCAGTCACATGACAACGATGACGTCATGAAACCATGTTTGGCTCCAACTCCCCTGAATCCCTGCATCTATGGGTCACATGATGTCGGCCATGTTGGTTCCACTGTCCGCATGCCATGATCACTTTCTACCAGGAGTCTACGACTCCCTGCTTTCTACCCCAAATGCAGTCACATGACAAAGATGACATGCAACCATGTTGGTTCCAACTCCACTGAACTCCGTGCATCTATGGGTCACATGATGTCGGCCATGTTGCTTCCACTGTCCGCATGCCATGATCACTTTCTACACACTTGGCGGGCACATGACGAAGATGACTGTGATGCCGCTATAAAGAGTATTGTACAATGCAGGCTAGGCTGGCTACTATCATGGCTACCGAACACAGCGATACTAGTGCCAGTAGTGGACAGCAGTCAGACTCACAGATACACTCGTACCTCGCTTATCCGGGCGTCCTGGACCGCCCGAGACTTTGAACAGGCTCGTAGCTCAATAGGAGACACTTGGTCCGAAGATTGTCCAGTTTTACTTTTTCTTCACCTTCCTACATGTGTACTGAATGAAATGCTCTGCTTCGTCCAGGGATGTCCCTGGAACAAAACTGGAGCATTGGGGAAGTTCTACTGTACTAGCCTTGAATTCAACTATTCAGTTTCAAAAGCTATTGCGGGTTGCGAAATTTACGTCAAATTTGTTACAAAGAGGATGAAATTCCAAAGATGTCCATGTTTTTCTTTTTTTATGATCAAGTAACAGTTTTCCTCTCCACGCTCTGTTACCATGGTTACATCACTACCTGTAGCCTACTACCATGACTACCAAGAGTACATAACCCCCCAGAGTGTGCAACGCCTGATCCAGCTCTGCAAAGAAAGGGTCTTGGTCGAGCGGAATCGGATCTTTGCGTCATAATACCGTACAAATCTGAAGTGAAGGGAACCCGGGGAGTCGCGGGTACTCTTGGATCAAAAACAATGGTGCCCTGCCTCGAGACCGGCCTTGCACTGGTGTGGAGTGTACGCATGACATCAGAAGATCCGATTCCGCTCGACCAAGACCCTATGCACAGTGCAGAGCTGGATCAGGCGTTGCACACTCTGGGGGGTTATGTACTCTTGCTACTACTACTAGCAAGAGTAGATAAACAAGAGTGTGCAACTCCGGATCTCTCCTGCACAATCTGCCCACGGCGGAATTTTTTGTTGATGTCACCTTTTTCCAGAAGAACGCGGATTTTGCCGCAGAGCAGTGTGAGAGCACGTGCTGGGCACCGACCTTGTAGTGTGAAGCCGGCCAAGAGCACGAGGGAAAACTTTCCGAAAGACTCGCAGCGCGTGCGTCGTCCAAAAGATTACGTCAACAAAAAATTCCGCCGTGGGCCAACCCATCCGCGAGTTGCACACTCTTGTTTATCTACTCTTGCTACTAGGCTGTGCGTATGCGCCACATCTAACACCTTACTTCTACATACTATTAGATTAGTATTACTAAGTAACAGTTAGCATCATATTCGTCAACACGCGCTCTTCTTATCTACGTGCAAAGCTTTCACCTCATCCCGCCGCTCTTGCTGATTGGAAGCTGCGTTGCGTTCACCCTATAGCTATAAGGCTATAGTTCACTGCTCAGTTTAGTTTAGTTGTCTTATTCTGAGATTCAATGAGAACTGCTACCAATGCAACAGTATTCATTGCGTTTGTATTCTATTAATTTTAATCTTTCTGTTTGCCCATCAGTCTGCGGATGATTAGCATTACTGAACGATAAGGTTGTGCCCTACTGCTCAAATACGTCCCGAAAAAAGCAGAAGTAAACCGGGGGTCGCGATCACAAAGTATCGTGGAGCTCATGCCATGCAATCTATTATATTCTGCGTTTGTCGCTCATAATGCTGTGTGATCAGCTAGTCAGTCGTGCTGAGCAAAAAAACTTCTCGTGTGCTCTTGACTGTCCCTGCGGGAATTTGCGGAAAAAACTCTCGAAAACTTGCGCAAGAAATTGCGGCAGAAAACAACAAAAAATGCGACGGAAAGTGCGGAATGATGCAGAACTTGCCAGGAATTCGCGGAATTATTTGCAGAAAATTGCGGATTTGGGCCAAATCACGAAATTTGTTGCATAGCATATCTACTCCGGAGTAGTACTGTGCAAATAACCTACAGGATCATGGAAAGCACTGTGTGAAAAGTGCATGAAACATGTGAGATATAGTGCAGAAAACAACAAAAAACGCGGAAATCGCGGATTTTGCTGAAAATCGCGGGTTTGGGCCAAAATCGCGAAATTTGTTGCATCCGTGGAATCGCGATTTCCTGGAGGGACAGTCTTGATGGCAGACTTGTGATGTCACTTGACTGACCTACGACTGCCATCAAGAGCACACGGGAAGGTTTTTTTTGCTCAGCACGACTGATCACACAGCACGGCCACGTAGATCTACGGGTGGGGCAGCGACAAACGCACAGGAGGGAAGCGAGAAATGGCAACTAATCTCGCGAGATGTGGGCTTCCGACACTGCCAGTGCCAGAGCGTGGGATACCTGACATTAGCAGCAGTTCGATGGAAACAAGCAATGCAAGAACTCAGCAGAGCAAGCGAAATCCTGCACCGAATGAAAGCCATGGCATGGCTGTAAGGCTCGGACTGTCGATCGAACCCTCCACTCGGCAAACCTGCAAGGAAGCACCAGTCCCTACTCAATACACAGGTGTTCGGGGAATTCACCCCTCATCAGTTGAGCCTGAGTAGGCTGGGGAAGATTGTGCCTGAACCTGACCAGCTTCTACAGCATTCAGTAGCTGCACAATCAGTAGGTTGAACCGTTCTGAGGTTTGCGTGGCGTTGCCAGCACAATCCCGCCAGCCCAGCCCTCCAGGACAAGTTTCAAAGTGCTCCTGGAAACACCACCCGCCTTCAGGAGGACAGGGTTTGCGCCTCCCGCTAGCCCGGTCAGCAGCAGGGGCATCCCGTCCATCGCACTGTGGTACCGTCCTCTGGAACACCCTCGATTGTGCCTGAAGAGCGCCACTCGTAGACCCGGGTGCTCGAATGAGATACAGGGTACCAAAACAGAAACAGCCTGAAATTGTACCTAAACTTATTCCGATTTCGTTTAGTTTTTACAAATACCATCAACATACGGCCCGCTAACGGTATGCCAAATTTCAGCTCTGCCCGGTAAACGGTTTTTGAAATACTCGCGACCCACTTTTTGTTGGGTCCTTGATTCGAGGATGTGGGTCCACGGTACGGTGCTGCCAAAGACCTGCTGAATCTGCGGCTCCACTGACCATCTTGCTCTCAAAAACGAAGTAGTAAGTTACTACTCCCTGCCCTCAACTGCCATACCAAGCGTAGACGATGGTAGACTCGTGTGCTTGAATCGGAGACGATCTGACGAGTTTGCTGTTTCTGATTCGAGCACCCAATTTTCAAGTAAAAAATCCGAAGGAAATACGACTATTTTACTGCGTGCTGTAGCTTGTGTTGTAGCGCACCCAGGTTCTGAATTCCTGCTAGGTGGGTCAAGCCAGACTCTCTTCCCTGTTCCATCGCCTCTCCAAAAGTATAATTATTCTGACATTGTTGAGATTTACAGATGAGAAATTGCACACCTGTCAAATTGTATTGTATTTATTTAAAAGGATTCTCCAAAAGCAAATGGATGCTTATCACGGAAGTCTCCCACATAAATATCGCAAGAAAAATGGGGAAATGGGGAGAGGAGAGTGGAAGATGAAGCATGGGAAGAAGGGAAACAAGTACCTAAATATCGAGGTATAAAAGCAGGAAAGAAATCGACGAGGGAAGAAATCGTTTCTGATTCGAGCACCCGGGTCTACAGTGCTCTCCAGACAAAACCATCACCAGGTAGCCCCTTCCCAAAGATGCTCGCCACTTTTTTCGCAACATTTCGTTGTTTGGGAAGAAATCGCAACTTTCTTCATTTTCGAGAACTATTTCGCAACTTTTCAGCAACCTTGGCCCCATTGCATGGGGTCAAAAGGTCAAGTCACAGACTGCATGTCGGACAAATGCCTACTCGATCATTTCTCGCCTTCCTTCACTTAGGGACCATCGCAAAAGTTCGCAGAAGCCCTTGAAACGAAGAGCATACGTTTGGGGGGGAGGGAGTCGGTGCGAAAATCGCAAACCGGGCTTCAATTCAAAAAAGTATTGACGACATAGGAGCTGTAGGATTAGCATGCCATCACAGCCGGCGTAGATCGCTTGAATGTGAAAGCAATATACACCAGTCAACGTTCATTGTAATGCTCAAAGGATACAACTGCATAGCTCTAGCTGTTCTCGTTCTTAGATCACCCACTGCAAGCTGCAAGGTGATATCATCGTTGCATTTATAAAGTGCTGCACATTGTTACACACTGATACAACAATGCTTGTGTAGTATAATTATTATGTGTGAGCATCCAAGTGAAAAAATGAAGCCCATATTGTGACTGTCGTTTCGTTTGAGGGGGGAGGGAGGGGGGTCAGGCCCGAAACTCACGGTCTTCGTTTCGGGGGCTTCTGCGAACTTTTGCGATGGTCCCTTACATGTAAGCTGCAGAGTCCAGACTCATGCCACTTGTCAGAGTAACCGGGAGTAGACCACCACACTCCATTATTCACCCCAGTGTCTGGAGATAGGTGGATTTTGTAGAAAGAAAAAAAAAGAAGAAAAAAAGTAGATCAACGGTATTTACTTCGAAAATGCGCATTCCCTTTTCCGTCCACTGGAATGATGTAGGATACATGTAACAGGCTACTGGTACTGTGTAAACTTGTGGTTCACAGCAGTAAGGTGTGTACGAGTTTGCTGTCGCACCACTTCTGTATTTCCTCTCCTTTTTCTGGTGGTTTTTGTACAAGAACTCTCCATTTTCAAGTAATTAGTTGCGATGTTAGCAACTTTTGCTTTTTCTGAAATTATGGATGCGATTTCAGCAACTTGCACTTGTTTTGGCACGGTTGCGAAAAGCATAAGCTGCGAAACATTATGGCATCTTTGGGAAAGGGCTAGTGGGGGGGGGGGGGGGACACTTGTCTTTCCACTCACTCAGTCAGTGCTAACGTCGACGTCAGTACAGAACCTTTTGATCAGTGGAGGGACACTTGTCTTTCAACTCAAACACAGTCAGTGTGGACTTCATCGTGAATGAGGAACCTTTTAAAGGTTAAGGGGGTTCGGGACAGTTAGGCCCAAAAATTTAATTTCAACATCAGCCCAATCTGACATCAGGTTTGAATAGGTACAGCCTTATATTTTCGCTTCGTAACATCAGTTTTTCAATTGCCCGAATAGGTCTTGCCAAAAACACAATTTTCCTTGATGACACAAAATGACACAAAATCCCAAAATTGATGAGAAATCGTCCATAACATCAGTTAGGACAGAAAATATGACATAAAATTTTACAGACTGTTTGAGGTATTGACTAAGATGATATCAACACCGAAAAATGTACACTTTGGTTGACGATGGGATCCAGGTCGTCATTTCCTGGAGAAGAACAAAAAGACGCCAAAAATGAAACTTTGAATATTTTTTGCAGCTTATTTTTGAGTTTGCCCCATATGTGGATACTTCAAACACGTTCTATAAGTGGGTTGGAACAGGTTTACCGCGGCGAAAATAGGGGTCACCGTGCATATTTAGGAGAAAAATCCAAAAAACTGTCAAAATTTGCCTAAAATTGGTAAATTCACGTATCTATATTGCTTGTACTTCTCTGCTGCTGCTTTGGTCATAACTTATTGGATTTTTGGCTGTTAGGTGTTGCATAAACTCACTAGAGCCCTCGGCGTTCAGAACAATACAAGGATGGAATAGCTGAACTAGTAAATTTGCCGGAAAACCCTGGGTGCACGCATTATCGATAGGTACTTTTCTCCATGATTACTCTCCTGTTGGCACTTGGTTGTGATACATGTACATGTAGCCATGATAGCGCTTAGCACTGCCCCATATCAAACTACAATGAAAGCTGACATGTTGGAACGAATCAGACAACATTGAGTCCTCTTGTTCTTCAACTATGTGAGCTAGAACGTGTCCCCACACTGGCAAAAATGATGGTATTTTACGGTGCGCACAAACAAGTGAAGCACTGTGCCACAGGGCGTTCCTTACAGTTGGGTTGCTGCTGGTTCTTCGCTAGGTGTTCAGCCACCACTAATATAATATTCCTTGAGACTGTCACCCGCTTCTTACCTCCGACTTGCTCCTTCATCAGTCAGGAAATGGCTGGCTCACCACTTCGTTTGTAGGACAAGACAAAGTGCTTCATCACCAACCCACTGGCAGCTGCCCGCACTGCAACTGATTTAGAGAAGCACGTTGCTTGGACCAACGGTTGAAGGGTGGCCAGCCGCTTTTGCTGATGTTCTGCAAACTCCATCGCCGAACATGCTGATGCAAAAGTGACAGAGTGCTACTGGATACTGGCATCAGGGCGAGCTTCGACAATTTCAGCTAGGGCCGCAACATCCGCAACAGCATCATGAGCAGCGAACTCATTCCCAACGATGAACTATAAATCAATCTGAGGCTGTAGCTTGGGAGCTCCGGTATCGCGGTTTAGGGATCAGAGTGTTCACCAATCACAAAATGCACACCATTGACACACACATCCGTGCACACATACACACACACACGCACACACACGCACACAAACACACACACATGCATGCTCTCACACGCAATAGAACACACGCGCGCGTACACACACACATACATTCACGCACGTGTGCGTACCCACCCACATGCATGTGCACACTCATGTGCATGAGTGGAGATGCCCGCATACACATGTCACACCAACATGCCCTGGGAGCGGTCATGCACGTGTGTATAGATGTGTGCGAGGGCACGTCCACATGAGCGCATATGCATGTGCATGTTCATACATGCGTATGGTGCACACATGCACAAACATGCAGGTCTATGCAAACACACAGACGCTCGCGGCCGCCGCGCATACAGTGTGCTCATACATTTCCATAGCCATAGGGCCAATGACTCGCAAATATCATGAATAAATCTTATGAGATTGAAAAACGCACTTACCCAAAGCAGCGTTGGTGTTGCTTGTGGAAGCACGAGGGCCAGAGTGTTGAGCAGTTACAGGGCTATCTGTATCTATAAAATTCTCCATCCCACACTGCTGACACAGAATGACAAGTACGCTGCCCAGGTCGTACCTCTTCTCTTCAACGCAATCAATGAGCGCCAGAGGTTTGCTACATCCAGGATTCTGGCACGCAGACAATCCCACAGCCAGATACATGTACCTGAGATGAACGATTCGTCGACCGTGAAGAGGGGCACTGAACGACCTCTTCGCGGGAGTCGAATCCAGTGGCGTTAGTGATGGAGATCGCCCTTTCCGTTTTTCAGGAACTCGATCGATCGTTTGAGTTTGCGAAGCGTCCCCCTCCTCGGCTTCTTGCATCGTCCAGTACGCAGAATGCGGGCCGCGTCGTGGGTGACGGATTACTCTCCCGCGTCTTCATCTCCACGACACGTCGGCAGGAGAACCGAGCTATCCAAAAACCGCCAATGTCAAAACAAATCCGCAAGTCCACTAGTGGCGGAGCTTCTTCCTCAAATCTTGTCTCGACTCGAGCACGCGCTGCGAAGTCATGGTCAAACCATTTTCTGTGCATGATCGCGTCCCATTTTTCCACTCCGAAAGGCATTATTTTTCAGAAAAAAATTCGGAAATCCAACATGGCGCTAACCGTCGCGAACCTCCTGTGCAGCACAGCTTAGTCGAATAAGGCGGTGCCTTTGGTCGTTTTCTTCACGCTCATAAGTTCATAAGTACACGTGTACTTGATTGTATTTCTTCTAGCAAGATAAATGCTCGCTGTGTGCGTGATCAATAATGCTCGATGAAATCCAATCCAATCAAGATTCAAGACGGTAGATTACATTCGGGTTTTCAACCCCTTTGCTCCCTCAAATCGATCCTCTTCCATCACCGCTTGCTACCTGCGTCATGAACGAGAAAAGCGGAGGCGATACGAACAGCACGTCAAGGAGGTCGAGCGCGGAACCTTCATCCCTGTGGTTTTCGCAGCAACCGGTGGTGGATCTACTGGTCGAGCTGCTGCCGCTTTCCTCAAGAGAATAGCCGAAATGGTCTCCTACAAATCTGGTGAGCCATACTCAGCAGTGATGGCATGGATCCCCTGCAGGTTTAGCTTCGCCCTTCTTCGTGCCAGCGTGGCTTGCCTGCGTGGTGCACGACGGCTGGCTGTATTCGCACCCGGAGGTGGCTGAGTCATCCGCTCGACTCGCTGTCTCGGAAGCTGCCAATTTGCCATACAGCACTAGACAGTAACCATGGTAACTTATGCTCTCTTGTTTATGCCCCGGCATCATTGCTTTTCTGGTATGGTACATAATTATTGCTAATGTATCATTGTGCTACTTCTGCCCGTACAAGAGGCCGGTTCCCGTCTTTAAAAAAATCCAAGGCAGTGCACAGCCCTAGACCTGCGAACACTGCGCTCAGCAACAGTGCACGGCGAAAAACTATTTACTTGACTCGAGCGACTACTCCGCGAATTCATTCTGCAGCACTGTACATTGTACATTGTATATAGCAGCCAGGGAGGCATGTAGACAGACCACTTTCTTGTTGGTGCTCGTTCTCTCCGCCGACTTGACGTGCCACTGTTTCAGAGTTTGAATATATTATTGTATTGCACCAACTACGTGTAGTTACTTGACGTTGCAGAGAAGATGTACTTCTTCTAGTACGTCCTGTATTTATTATGCGAGCTAATGGCCATACTAGTATTTAGTCTTCAGGTCTGTTAGCCGAGTTGTATGTCCAAACTAACGTTAATTGGACAAACTGACCTCGAATTACTCGCGTGTAGCACTTTTAGACTTGGTTCAGCTGCCATAGTTAGTTGTTGATTTGATGAGCAAGACCGTGTACCGTGTGCGCTTGCTTTCAACGTACAGTAGTTAACCATAACGTTCAGATTGTGTGGCTCGTTCCTTGGATTCGATTGAGAGAACGATGTCTGGCGGAGGAAGTGAAGCATATTCATTCTACAGAACAACTATCGGAGAAGAAACGTTCGACTTACCACAGCGATATGAAAAGGCATCACTGATTGCGAAAGGAGGACAAGCTGTTGTGGTGGAGGCCTGGGACAAACGGGAAAAGCAGAAGGTTGCCATCAAGAAGATCTGCAAGCCGTTCCAGGATGCCAGCTCGGCTAAGAACACGTTCAGGGAGATAGTTCTCATGCGCAACTTGCAGCATCCCCAGTGCATGGGCGCATTGGACATATTTACTTCAGCCTCAAACCTGCAAGAATTCAGCGATGTTTACCTGGTGATGCAGAAGATGGATTGTGGCTTGAGTTCTAAACTTGGCAAGCACTTGGACCACTCTGACATAATATTAATCCTTCGTGGGATTCTTAATGGAGTCCGTTATTTGCATGCCAGAAACATCATTCACGGAGATCTAAAACCTAGCAATATTTTGATGAATAGCGACTGCACGTTGAAGATTTCTGACTTCGGAAAGTCGCTAGTAGATGACGGAGAGGGGAATACGGGTGTAACCAGCGGGACCACTATCTATCTTGCTCCAGAAGTCATCCAGGGTGGTCATTGCGGAAAAGGTGTGGATTCTTGGGCGATCGGATGCATCCTTTCGCGGCTTCTGGGACGGCAGAGACTGCACCAAGCTAAAGATTCTACTAACCAGCATATGATAACATCACTGGGTAGTGACGTAATGGAAACACCAGAAGATTGGATTCGCACTAATCAAGCTAAGGATCTAATATCCAAGATGCTTAAGATCAACCCTGACGAGCGCATCTCCATTGTACACGCACTTCGCCATCCATACGTCCGAAGACCGCGGAGCAGTAGGGAACCTCATCGTTCCGCCCCGGACCAGTTTACGCACACAATGTTCTCTAAAGACCGAACTGTCGAGGAATGGAAACAGATCACATATGGCGAAATCCAGAACGCACAGGATCCCGCTCGACCCCATTTTCTCAGTGGTGAGGTTGCCGACGGTGCTCTGGCTGCTGCTGTTTTTCTTGTTCTCGTTCTTGTTGTTGTGCTTGTAGTACTTCTACTAAGAGTCGCATCACAAATGGATGTCGTCAACCTTTATAGTTAGGTTCCAGAACTCGCCTGCAAGAAGATAGTGGTGAAGAAAGACGACAGGAGCTCGACAAGCCATGGGGCCAACATGTTCTTGCCAGTCACCCTGGATCCACGCTCAGCTATGGGCAAAGTGCATTCTCTGCAGTTGCAGTACTGTAATAGGGAGAGAGTCTCTGATCGAGCCTGTGGCAAACTGCGCGAGGCGATTGAGATACAATGTACGTGATACTAAGCCCAATGTCAACATAAGCAGGGAGTCGTAAAATACCGGTATTTTACGACTCCCTGAACATAAGCATATGTGTGGGTTTCTTATGACAGAACCTGTTTTTTCTGAGCTTGTCCTTGCTGCTACTTTTTTTGTACATCAATATCACTGATTATAATCATGAGGCGGGTCACACAAATCCATTCTGTTCCTGTCGCATCCCTGGTGATAATGGTTAGGCATGGGAAGTGTGGGATCTCACAGTTGTCTGCTTTTCTCACACATCGTGTCGTGCAATGTTATCGAATGAGCTGATTATTAAGTAACTGGTGGTGATAGTGGACATAGTCATTATAGCGTAACTTGTAGTTCCTTGGTCCTTTTTCTTTTGTATAAATAAAACCTTGGCTCTCCATCCGAGTCCAATAATGCACACCTGATGAGCCGTCCTATTTATCTATACGGCGAAACGATCCTCGTGTGAAACTGCTGCTTGTTACCGCTGCTAAATTGTCCATTTAAATTGTTATAGTCGAAGTACAGTGCTGTTTTACTTAGGCGTTCGGTTTTTTGATGATTCTCGTTCGCATGGCTTCCCCTTTTATTGATCTTCGCATCTTTTGAGCCACACAAGTTGTGTGGAATGTTGCTTTGCGTTCTTGAATCGTGGTTTGACCGTATTGTCCAATGGTCTCGCCAGTATCGTCATCGACATGCATGAACATCCGCCAACGTCCTTCACAGCTGAGACTTTCAGCTCGTGCGTATCTTGGTTGCGCTCACCTTCCCCTCCTTATGTTATTTCTATAACTTAGAACCTACCAAGTTGGAAGGCTGTTGGAGTGCTCATCCAAGATGTGCTAGAGCTGTTAGCCAGTTAGTTGTAGAACGTCAGTACCGTCGGTCAGTGTCGTGCAATGTTATCGCATGAGCTGATTGTTTAGTAACTGGTGGTGTCCGTGGACAGTATAGCGTAACTTGCAGTTCCTTGGTCCTTTCTCTTTTGTATAAATTAATCCTTGGCTCTCCATCCGAGTCCATAACTGTCTTCGTGATTGCCATACTCGTCCAACCGATGTCACCCTCACCCTGCGAATAATGATTGGCTGGTTTATTTTAATTCACACAACAAACGGGAACTAGGCCCAATGATAAATAGGCGAATGGATAAGCCAAATTTAGAAAAGGGAGGACAGGAATTGGAAACGTACGAAAGAAAAAGTATCTGACAGAGGAGTCAAGCGGGTATCAGGGGTGAAAGGGTGGTCGAGGAGAGCTAGGGGGGCGGGCTAGTCTGAGCAACAATATGGTAGGCAACTTATGCTAAACTTTGTCTGTCTTCCTATAGTCCGAACATCATCCGGCAGCAGGTTGCAGAGTGCAGATCGATCCTGCGACGGACGGCCAAGAAGGCCCAGAGAAATTGGAGGATGGCTGACTGAGCAGACCACTGGACCTCTGATGATGGGTTCTCCTGCCAGCAGATCTGACGAACAGTACAGACAACGTGGCACTAGCTTTCCCGTGAAGGCACCTCCAGCTCCAGACAAACACTAGTCGGTTGGGCTTGCTGAGTTCGCCTATCCGGTGCAAGCTGTGCTGCACCAGCAGGGGATGCACCGTTGACAACTTGTGTAGGGTGGGTGGCCGTCGATAGCTCGGATAGCCCTGTTCTGTAGCAGACCCAGGCGATCAAGCTGGCCACCAAGGAGCGCGGAGAAGAAGGCGTTACTGCCATAGACTATGTCAGGGATGACAACAGCCTGGATGAAGAGACACTGTGCAGATCAGGACAGGGAGCTACGGGTTCGCCACAGCGCGCCAATCTTAGGGGTAGTCTTGTTGACAATTGGGTCGACTTGACCGTTCCATGAAAGCTTACTATCAAGTACAACACCGAGGTATGTGGTAGTCGATGCTGTTGGACCGGCTACTCCACGACACTAGGCAGCCTGCCGGTGAGGAAGAAAGGCCACAGCTCGGTTTTTGGTAGGGTTGAGGACAAGGCTCCTCGCATGTAGCCAAACAGCTAGGTTGGTGACTGCCGTCGTAAGCTTAGCAGAGACAGCCCCAACAGAACTCTGCGAGGAATACAATGCTATGTCGTCCGAAAACCGGATGCTGGGTGCAGGGTGCAGGACGGAGGGGACGTCGTGGGTGTAAATAGAACAGGACCTAGCACAGATCCTTGTGGTACTCCACACATGCAGGGGTGGCCCGACTCGTGGTTGGCCCAATGCAGACCATCTGCTCTCGTGCAGTTAGGCAGCTGGCAAACCAGGTGAGCGCTGATCCGCACACACGGACGTCAAACAAATCGACAATGAGCTGTGTGTGGCGGACTTCGTCGAATGCTTTGGACATGTCCGACTTGTATAGTACGGTCACATTTCCCTTGTCCTTGGCAGCGATGAGACTGTCAGTGAGAAGGCAGAGGGCATCCTCAGTGGAGTGGTACTGACGGTAGGCAAATTGGGTAGTAGGGAGGCACTGGTGGGTTCGAAGGTGGCGGACAAGTTGGCGTTGGACGATCTTCTCAAGAAGTTTAGAGATAATATATTATATATTTATTACAACATCTCAAGACTCGGTGGAAACACCGGCCAATGTTAAAGAGAGTGGGTGATTGCCAACCACGGCGATAAATAAAAGTAAGGGGAGGGAAAAAGAAAGAGTAGCAAAATGAACAGCAACAACTCCGTAAAGAAAGAGAAAGATAATGTCAAATAAAAACAGTGAAAAACACAGAGACGCAAAGGACATGTGGATAATGAGCTATGCATGTCGTAGTAAATAAGGGGCGGCACGGATCTTAAACAGGCGGAGTGAGGTCAGGTCCTTAACTTCTCTGGGTAGAGTGAGCCAAACAGAATAAGCAATAAAGAGAGGGGAGCGCAAAAGAGTGGATGAGTTACACTTAGGGAGTAAGAGTGAGTTTCTAGTTCTTAGAGAAGAGAACCAATTAAAACACATGAGATGAGGTGGGCACAACTCAAGCTTAATAGAATGGACAAGAGAAGCCAGGTGTGCACTGCGTCCATGTGATAACGGGGTTGTGTGAGCGATTTTATAAAGGGCGGATGATGAGAGCATGCGGGGTTGACGGAGGAGAATTTTAAGGATTTTCTTGTGATGTATTTCAAGCTTTGCAGCAGCGGAAGAGGATAACCCAACCCAAGACGTATCTGCATAATGAAATATTGGGCGAAGGTAGGCGAAATAAAAAAGAAGCTTGCAAGAAAGTGGGAGGTAGGAGCAGTGGGGGGAGAGAATTCCTAAGGATTTACTTGATTTTTTACAGATATATTCGATGTGAGGTACCCAAGAGAGTGCAGAGTCAATCACAATGCCAAGGTGTTTGTGAGAAGACACTATGTCAATTGGATTTGGAAAGTTGGCATGGATGAGGGTTGTGAACTCCGGCTGGGGCGGGAAGAGCATGATCTTTGTTTTTGATAGATTTGGGGACAACCTCCAGGACGACATCCAGGAAAGAACTTCCTGAATGCCAGCACGCAAGTTGTTTTTCAGGCCAGTGAGGGAAGCTGATGAGGTGAGAAGGGTCGTGTCGTCAGCAAACAGAGACGTTCCAGGGAAGACTGCAGGTAAGTCGTTTACGTAAATTATAAATAGTAGGGGACCAAGAATTGATCCTTGAGGAACGCCCGACAATACTGGCTCTGCAGCCGAGGATGTGCCAAGCACAGTTACGTACTGATAACGCCCAGAGAGATAAGATTTCAGCCAGGAGAGTGGCTGTTTGCGTACCCTGAATGCATGCTCGAGCTTTGCCAAAAGTCCTCGATGCCAGACGGTATCAAAAGCCTTGGCCAAGTCAAAGAAGCAAATGCCAGCAAGCGCTCTGTTATCCCTATGCTGGCACACCTGCTGCACGATGCGGGTCAGTTGAAGAGAGGTGGAGTCGCCTTTACGAAACCCAGATTGTGCGGGATAATGAGGAGTAAAGAAACAGGTCGATAATTATTGGGGAGGGAGGGGTCGCCGGATTTATACAGAGGCACGACTGAAGCCAGTTTGAACGCTGAGGGCACTACACCAGTCCGGAGAGAAGCACAGAATAAAACGGCAAGTGAATACGCCAGAATATCAGCACATTCCTTCAAAATGGATCCTGGAATTTCCCTCACTGCCAGTTGCTTTCGTAGCATCAGCTCATCTCTCCCGTAGCTACACCTCTCCTTCCATCATGACCGAACATTAACTATACCTCTTCAGCGGCAAGCTTCTTTTAATTATTAGAGCAATCATCCCTAGCCTGCAGTCCACAGTCATGGCTGCTAGAATCCAGAGGTTATGACTTCGTAACTTGCATGCATAATGCACATGTACGTGGAGTTTTGTGACTACCCGTCACTATCTCGTCTGCCCCAGGATACCTGAAAAAGGCTGATTCACTCGCATTTTCTGCTACATGTACTGTAGCAACATAAGAAAGAACTTTGAAGAAGACGAGTTCGAGCATACAATAAAGTATTGCCATGATTTCTACCCTGCTTTTCATTGAAAACACTATCTGCATGACCTCCGAGCCCTTTACCATGCAGACCACCATCACTGATCAGGTCACTGGTGCATTGTACACAATTGTGTAGCCCACATACTAGAACGGTGGTACAGTCATGTAGTTATGCTCCTACCTCCGAAAGGATGAAAAATTATGCTCCAAATTTTCAACCGCCAAATTATGCCAATAATTATGCCGGCATAATCCGCCGGCGCCTAGTTCCAAACAATAGAACCATGGCAGAGTGATGGGATCGGATTCCATTGAGCTGCACTGTGGTACTGTACCAGGAGGTTAAGACAAGAGGTCAAAGTTCTTGATTTTCAGTGTAAGACCATGCTACGGTGGAGCCACCGAGAATTGAAGAAAATGAAGAAACAAAACAAGCCATCATTATTCATTTCCGATGTTGAGCCAATATTAACATGTAAAGAGAAAAGGACCTAATACTAATAGTTACTAGTTATGACTAACAGTTCACCAAGGTAACGAGATAATTATACAGTCAGATAGTGCGACAACGAGGCACAAAACTGACAAGATATTGAGACATTCGACGACCTGACACCAGCCCTTTCCCAAAGATGCTCGCCACTTTTTTCGCAACTTTTCGTTGTTTAGGAAGAAATCGCAAGTTTCGCAAGTTTCGCAACCTTCTTCATTTTTGGTAGCGTGTTCGCAACTTTTCTGCAACCTTGGACCCATAGCATATGGGGTGAAAAGATCAAGTCACGGACTACATGTCGGAGAAATGCATGCTCGCTCATTTCTCGCCTGCTATCAGACTCATTTGAGAGAAACAGTAGATCAACGGTAGGTACGATCATGTGCATTCCCTTTTTCCGTGCTCTGGAATGATGTAGGATACATGCAACAGGCTACCGGCACTTTTGGTGGTTTCTGCACTAGAACTCTCCAATTTTGAGTCAGTTGCGATTTTGGCAATATTTGAGCTTTTTATGAAAACATGGATGCGATTTCAGGAACTAGCACTTGTTTTGGCACGGTTGCGAAAAGCATAAGTTGCGAAAGATTATGGCATCTTTGGGAAAGGGCTATCACCAGGGATACAAGCTACTTATAGAGACGCTCCGTTTCCAGCGCGACAAACACCTCGCGAACTCCCATGGAGGGAGTACGCGGAAAACACAGCAAAGTACTGAACATCAGAAGCCACAGAACGCAAAACGAGGGCCGAAACGAGTGCCCATTTTGCCTTAACGATAACCAATAACACTAACGATCGATTTATGGGTTTTACCGATTTTCCGAACAAGTTTTATACGTGTCATGTTGGAAATCAGTATACAGCGAAAACAATTAAAATTTGTTCAACTACCTGTATATACAGGTACGTATCGGGTGAAAGATCCACACAGGCCCAAAAAAGACCAAACAAATTTGCAATGTGATATGAGCAGTGTTCCTCTGCCATTAAACATCAACGATCAGTCCTCTGTCTTCTAGAATGGAGAAGGGTCGACTGGAATCGACAATCCAGTCGATGATCGACTTCGTCAACATGCCTGAGCGCCTGATGTCGCACGTTCGGAAGTTACCTGTGCCGAAGAACGACGTGACAAAACAGACCCGGTTGGTTGGCAGCTAGCTCTTGGAGGTGGCAAGAGTAGATAAGCAGTGTATCTGCTCTTGGTGGCGGGTATGTGCTGTTGCTTGGCTATCAACCCAGTCACAGTAATCCTCCCTACAGTGTGTACAGTGTGTACAGTGTGCCGTCACTTGCCAGTGCACTAGTGAAGGCGTGGACGGTCCCGGCGAACATGGCTGAGAAGAGAAAGCTAAGGCGATATACCATTGCGGAGAAATGCGCCATCCTTCAGGAGGTCGACGCGGGAGCCAAACGTAAAGACGTTGAAGAGAAGCACGGTATACACAAAAGCACGTTGGCAAGGTTAATCCTGGATCGCGAGCGTATCGCAAATAGCTCGGCCAAATCAACAGTTCAAGGTTTACAGTCAAAACTCACCGTTCGGCAACCGAGATTCTGCGAGATGGACGCCATCATACTGGAATGGCTTCAGCAGGAAATTTGCCAATCTGCGACGACGACAACGAAAGTCCTTTACGGGTCTGACCTGCGGGAAAAAGCTCAGTACATATAACGAGCGCTGGCTTCGCGTGGAATCAATCTGTACAAAGACGAGAAGCTTAACATGAAATACTGGGTTAGACGCTTTAGGGAACGGTATGGCATATCCGCCGGCAGAGTGAGTGTTGATGAGAGTACTGCTGGTAGTGCTACGGCATGTGAATCTCCAGGAAAAAAGGAGACACCCATTGAGCAGATTGAGAAGGAGTTTGACGAGAATGACATTTTTAACGCATGCAAAACTGGAATGCAATGGCGAATGACTACTGAAACTGCATTCCTGGATGAAAGGCGGAAGCGGAATGCAGATATGATTGGAGAACGATTAATTGTTCTTGGTAGTGCGAGTGCTGCGGGGGAAAAGCTCCCTCTCTTCGTCGTCGGCAGTTGTAACCTGCCAAATTGCTGTGAAGGAGACGTGAACAACTCGGTCACATATCGAATGCACAAACTGGCTTGGATAACAGGCGAGGTGTTCGAGACTTGGCTGTGGACGCTGGACAATCAGATGAAAGCTTCTGGCAGGACCATTGCCATAGTACTGGACAAGTATTCAGCTTACCCCGATATCGACGGTTTGAGCAACGTGAAAATATTCTTTCTTCCACCGAAGGCCTCGCGTACGAATCAACCACTGTGTTCTGGAATCATCACCGACCTCAAGAGGTCCTACCGTTATCTGCTGTTGAAGCAATGCCTTGCGTGTCACGAGTCTGGTGTACCGTTCAGCTTGGACTTGCTCCAGGCGCTGGAGTGGCTGAGTAGCTCGTGGAATTCCCTCAAGGTGGCCACCATTGTCCGTGGCTTCCGTGCTGCTGGCTTTTGCCATTCTTCTACCCATAGGCCACAGAAACCTGCAGCAAGTAGTATTGCAGCTAGCAGTAGCGACTCCACGCTTGATGGAGCAGAGGGGGCATTGTGGAAGCAGGCACAAGACACACATCTGGTAAAGAGTGGAGCAACATTTCAGGACTACGTCAACATCGACAATAAGCTGCTGGCCAATCCATCTTCGTTTGAAGCCACAGTTGACATGATCCTAGGTCGATCTCCAGGCCATGATGAACTGGAAGGTGGCAACAATGAGGGAGAGGGTGCTGCTATGCATACACCTGAAGAGCAGCCTACACCATCATTCAAGGAAGCCCTGAATAGTCTGAGTGCTGCTCTAACCTATATGGAGTCCATACCCGGAACTGTCGAGCATTGCCTTGCTGTGGCACGTGCGCAGGATACGTGTGTCGATGCTCAACTAAATTTGCAATAGCAACTGCGGCTATATCACCAGTACTCACTTGCGTCTTTCGAGTCTTTCAAGCTCAAGTCTCTCTCTTTCACGCATACACACCTTCTGTAGAAGTCTTAATCCTTGTTTTGTTAGACGTACCTGACCTTGCTAATGGAAATCACTCTCTCACTCCCCTTCTCTCTCTCTCTCTCTCTCTCTCTCTCTCTCTCTCTCTCTCTCTCTCTCTCTCTCTCTCTCTCTCTCTCTCTCTCTCTCTCTCCTCTCTCTCTCTCTCTTTCACGCATAAAAACCAGGGGTGAAACGATTACACTTTTCAACTATCGGTTAACCTACCCTTGTATTGATTCGATTGTCGATTATGATATCGATTACTGTGTCCTAGAAATTGCCGCGGCAGACCAGCACAAAGCTTAACACAGCCCTACTGTAAAAGTCTCAATCCTCGTCTGTTAGACTTACCTGCCCTTGTTAATGGTAACTAGTCTGTTTGTCTGTCTGTGTCTCTCTCTCTCTCTTCCTCTGTCTATGCCCCCCCCCCCCCTCCCCCCTCCCCTCTACAGCATGGTGTGTTTTATGTACGATGATCCCGCAACCTTTGGTCGGTGGGTACCCCGCTCCTCACCAGCACAGCTCATGTAGCAGCCGCACGCCCGTTGTCAGTTGTTGTTGTGAACCCTCTGATTCTCTAAATTGTTGTTGTTGTTTTTTATTGGAATTCGCAAAACCAAACGGGCAATACGCCCGATTACATGGAAGCGAATAAAAGAACGCTAAGAATGAGGCATTTTGGTGCATATTATTTCAAGTGGAAATACTGATCCCGGGAGGTACTACAAATAGGTACTGTACAATGAAAATCTGAAAAGGCGATGATAATGTCGTTTACCATGCTGCAAGCAGCTACATGTAGAAGGAAAAACAACAAGAAAGACGTTGTATCTCATGTACTGGACAAACAGAGCTAACAGGAAAAGACCGTTCGTTAAAATGCCTATACATATTGTCCTTGTGTGTGTGTGTGTGTGTGTGTGTGTGTGTGTGTGTGTGTGTGCGTGCGTGTGTGTGTGTGTGTGCGTGTGCGTGTGTGTGTGTGTGCGTATCACTGTTTCTCTTCTTTAAAAACGTTTATGGCCTGAGAGTGTCAGGACCGAACGACCACACGGCACGAGGACAACTATTGACACATATACATTTCACTTGATCGAGCAATAAGTCAGTCGAAGACCGCCAATTATTTACAGCATGAAAACGGCGTATATCAAAAAAAATGACAGCGTATGCAGTAAATCGCACATAGCGCATATTATAGCGTATACAATGCAGTAAACATCAGCGGTACGGAGGAGTCGAGATACAACGTCGAAACGAAGCCAATGTCATAAGCGAGAAGGCCTTTCACACTTGAGAACTTGTGGTTTTGTAACAGTTGTACATTTGTTCGACTTTTGTTTTGTTGCCCCTCTTTCCGTCTGTATGTGCACTGCAGTAAAAAACAACAACAAAAAAAGCTGACTACAGAACTTCACAAGGGACAAACCTGTGAAACCGAGAAAAGAGGAAACTTCTCGCAATTAGGTCAAGTGAAGAAATTAGTTGGGGCTTACCTAGTACCTGTGTGTTGATTTCAACACGGTCATGGTGCGCTGCTGTGTTGTACGAGTCAGGGAGTCGTAAAATACCGGTATTTTACGACTCCTGGTACGAGTTCGAGTTTCGCACTTTTAGATCTGCAGGTCATTCTTTTTAGACGTTCTCGCGTGATTATTCTCTCCACATAATGCATAAAAATCACATAGGTGCAGGTATGCAGCTCACAATGTTCTCCTTGAATTGCAATGGACAAAAAGATCCACGAACTATGCCCAGCCCTCCTCCAATGTCACAGGAACTGTCGACTGTCGTACTATGATCTAGCAGATGTGCCCAGCTGCCCAGGCAAGCTTTGCGTTCTATCTTGACTTGTTGTCGTATGGGAGCTGTGTCGAGTGCCGCTGAGTGTGTGTATGTGCGTTGTGTTGAAATCGCTGGTCTCCAACAGCATTTGTCCCGAAGGGTCGGATCACCATCACAGGTCAGCTAGCATCGGACGAAGTGCCGGAGCTAGGAAGAGCTAGGCTGTCGGGATCTGTGGGACCGATTGGCATGTCATCCCGTGTGGGCACTGAGCCTGTAAACGCTGAACGGAACTCGGAGGACAGCGCAGGGTGCGGATGTGATGGGACTAGCTGTCGCGAACCACGGCTCCGAGACCTTGCCACGGCCAAGTCGGAGCCGGTAGGCATGCACCCATCGGCTGCATCGCGCTCGCAGTTCATGTGTCGAACCGCATCCGCTCCAACTCTGTCTGAGAGCTCGTCTAGAGCTGCGGATCTGCGGTGCACTTCACTGGATCGAAGGAACAGTAGTGGAGGACTGAACTACTGGCGAGGTCGCATGTTCTACTCCATGTATACGCATTCGCTCGACGAAAACGTTTCGCTAGCAATCCCTTTACGACGGCACTCGCTAGAATACAAATCTCTGCCCAGAAAGAGACGCCAGTCTGCGGACAGCGTTTCCAAGCACAGCAGCTTTCCTGGGATGCTCGGCAGCCACGAACCATACAATCTATCAACGCGTTCGCCTAGCGTCTCCGACCGTGACGATGACGACGACAAGTCTAACTTCGCGAGGCAAGGTTCCGGCCAATCAGTGGACAGTTCGAACGGGTCCTCGTCCTCGTCGAGTGACAGCAACAAAGAGGAGCTTTCACCGTCTAAGCATCGCAGGGTGTCCTTCTCATCCAAACAGCCACGACGACGCCATTCTCCAGCAGTCGAACAGAAGAACGCATCCGTCGAGAGATGCCAGCGATCACTCTCTTTGCATGATAACGGTTGGGAGCGGTTTGCGCACGGGGATTTCCGTGTGTGTGCGGCTTGTTTGACGTTCGGCAGAGTGGCCATTGCGGCCGCTCGGCAAAAGGATCTCCTGCTGCGATTTCAACACGAGACGCTGTCCAGTGTGCGCGAGGAAAAGTGGGAGCAGCCGCGCCTCACTCGATCGCACAGCGACGGGTTTGAGCCCGGTGCCATGGCCGAAAATGGCATACAGCTCCCTGGCGAAAGGAGCCCAGACGAGGATGCTGCTGCTCGTCGCGCTTTTGACGAAGAGTTCGAAGCGAGTATCGATAAGTGTGTGCAGGTGCTTGACGAGGTCGGTCGGAGATGCGAGGAAGAGATGACGTCAAGGTGCAAAGGTCGACGAACCGCGTTTCGTCTGCAGTGCCAGGAACGGAGGACCTGGAGTTGCGTGGGTTCCGGAGATCGAAAAAGCTCTGGTCACGGCGATCGTGTTGGTGGGTCACTGCGTTCCTTGAGTGAGGAAGATGTGATCTCGTTCGGCGCAACCATCATCAACAAAGCGCTCTAAAGCTAACTGCATAGTTACGTAGACGTACACTGCTTCTTGTACTTGTAGCTTGTGATGTGCTGTCACGTCATGCCAGGGAAACTCACTTACACAAACAAGGCATTACACACTGTGCTAGTACATGTACCGGTATGACGACTGTGTACTTGTAAGGAAATTGTTATAATTATTATCACATCACGAGCAACGACTAACATCTTGACTACTGTAACAGAATAGATCGCAAGGGCATTTGAAGAAAATCATTTTCCTCTTTCTTCAAGAGAGCATGTCTGAGAATACCAAAGTATGTGTGCAAGTGGATCTCTCCGATTTCGCTCAAAATTTGCAGGTAGGTTGCCTTTGGGGTGTGGATCGACTGTGCAAAGCCCTTGAAAAAGTTTCTGAAGGGAACCTTGAAATTTGCATACCCCTCAAAAATGGCCGAAATATCACATTATTTATGGGTCTAGAAACGAGTCACGCCACAGCGTATACGAACAAGCTATGAACAAAACTCCATCAAGCCAACATTGCCTCACCTTAGAAGAGTTCCTGGAGCAGTACCGCTTAGCCACGCCAGCATCCCAGAAGACGAGGTCCATCACCCCCTGACGCCACAAATGATCGTCTTGAAAATAGCCAATTTACAAGCGCTGGCAAAACAGCCAGCTACGTCCTCAATTGGCCAGAACTATACACCGGCAGATAGTAGAACACCTCTTCTAGCGCTGAGGACATGTCCCCCATCTTCCTTTCGGGGTTTTATTGAAATAAACTTTTTTGAATTTTTCCACTCGACCATGCTGAAATACGGCCAAAGTCATACCTGCGCAGGAAAGCTCGCCCCGTCGCGACGTCTCCTCAGCAATTTCTACTCCAACACTACTCCCAAGGCCGCAGAACAAAGTGTAGTTTTGACTCTGACAAGGAAAAGCAGCGGTGATCACTTGTCACTCCAAACGACAAGCTTCTCCTTGCGCCACCTTTTTGTGCGACTGTTGATGCAAAAGTGACTGAAGGCCTGAGCGCAGTTTTTGAATTTTATTGCAAGATGCACGGTGAAATCACGTGCCTTGTGACGCAAGAATGCCAAGTCGCGTGGCCCACGGCTCACGAGATTTCAGAGTCATGTCACCTTCGTCAAGTGCGGTTGAGTGGGTTGTTACTCGCCTTGAACGCCCGTTGGTCTGGAAGTCATCCCACTTGTGTTGTTACTGCGCTCAAGAACACGCTGGGACAGTGGGAGTGTTGTAGGCCTACGAACCGGGACTTTCCCTGACCATGTAGGTCGAAGACCAGTGAAATGATGATGAAATCACATTCTTTATGACGTAAGAAATCTCTCATGCAGTTCACGCGACAAGTGCGTGCAGTCAGTGCTACTCGCGTGCCAGTCAACACAGGGACCGAGCTAGCCGCTTTTGTCGAGCATCGACATGAAAACAAGGGACTTTTACTGTTGGACTATGTTCGGGATTGCAGGAGGTAAGTGTGAAAGACGAATAACTCTCCATGCTGTATGGGGCATATTTCAACGGCTTGCTGCCATTGCAACACTCCTAGGACAGTTTGTTGGGGTACTCACAGTGCCTGCTCTAGACATTCAACACAGCCCGGTCAGAGTGTACCTGGCGCATGCAGGCCAGCCGGGTCAAGCCGGGTCAGATCATCCGGCAGAAAAACAACCAAAAAGCCTGCTCAAAACGCAGGAAACAGAAAGGCGAATTTATTACCGGAAATCGGAAATTTTAGAGAACAAGGCGAACTATCAAAGTCCGCAAACGTAAAAGGTAAACGACATTACGTGAAGAATGCAAAGCAGTTCCATTGGATTCTGATTTAACAATTTGAAAAAAAGGAATTCTGTTTTCTAATTATTGCTAGTAGCAGGACGAACGACCAAATCCATCGCCGCTCATCTTCCTTTGGAAATGCGTCTTGCACAAAGCGCATGACATGGATAGACTAGCATGGTCGTAGTCCAGCCAGGGTCGACCTTTCTTCCAAGAGTCTTGGAAAGGTGAGATCTTTTTCTCTTCGCTGCGGGCTCCATCATCCAAATCACCAGTCGGCTGAAAAATTGCAACTGTGTCAAAGTAACGCTTTTGACTGCCTGCCCCATCGACTTTGTATGTCCTGACTTCCTGCTCGCCGCTAACTGGCCAGATCGTGCTCGAACCAGTTGACGTGACCGCAGTTGACCCTAGCCGAGTTTCTGTCGCTTGTAGACTGTAGTGTGTACGGTTGCGCTAGACTTGCAAGAGATGGGGTCCGCTAGTCGTAAAATACCGGAATTTTATGAATCCATTGTCAGTTTGAGACATTTTTCAGCCGGGTCAGACTGGACCCGGTGTTATCTGTTCAGCCAGGTCGTGCAGTTCCCCAGCCGGGCGCGTGACCCGGCTGACCCGGCTCTCCAGCAGGCCCTGACTCAGCAGTTCAAGCAGGAAATGAAGCTCATCTTACCTCTGCCATCATGGTCTGTTCCGAGTAGCGTTCCAGGCACTTTCACGATCGTTAGCCGCGTATCGTGATGCAGGAAGCGTCATCCTACGTCACAGAGCACGCGATCTCACCGTGCATCTTGCAATATAATAAAATTCAAAAACTGCGCTCAGGCCTTCAGTCACTTTTGCATCAACAGTCGCACAAAAAATTATTGGTGGCGCAAGGAGAAGCTTGTCGTTTGGAGTGACAAGTGATCACCGCTGCTTTTCCTTGTCAGAGTCAACACTACACTTTGTTCTGCAGCCTTGGGAGTAGTGTTGGAGTAGAAATTGCTGAGGAGACGTCGCGGAGGGGCGAGCTTTCCTGCGCAGGTATGACTTTGGCCGTATTTCAGCATGGTCGAGTGGAAAAATTCAAAAAAGTTTATTTCAATAAAACCCCAAAAGGAAGATGGGAGACATGTCCTCAGCGCTAGAAGAGGTGTTCTACTATCTGCCGGTGTATAGTTCTGGCCAATTGAGGACGTAGCTGGCTGTTTTGCCAGCGCTTGTAAATTGGCTATTTTCAAGACGATCATTTGTGGCGTCAGGGGGTGATGGACCTCGTCTTCTGGGATGCTGGCGTGGCTAAGCGGTACTGCTCCAGGAACTCTTCTAAGGTGAGGCAATGTTGGCTTGATGGAGTTTTGTTCATAGCTTGTTCGTATACGCTGTGACGTGACTCGTTTCTAGACCCATAAATAATGTGATATTTCGGCCATTTTTGAGGGGTATGCAAATTTCAAGGTTCCCTTCAGAAACTTTTTCAAGGGCTTTGCACAGTCGATCCACACCCCAAAGGCAACCTACCTGCAAATTTTGAGCGAAATCGGAGAGATCCACTTGCACACATACTTTGGTATTCTCAGACATGCTCTCTTAAAAATAATTTGAGTGGCATACTTTGAAGTCCAATTCTCCGTAGATGTTCTGAAACTGCAGCACATGCACTACCGTATTCTCCGGAGTATAGTGCGCACTTTTAGATGTGCTATTTTAGGCCCTAAAATCGCAGGTGCGCACTATGCTCCGAATATAAAATGTATGTACTTCAATGAAGATTGAAGTGCGCAACCCCAATGAAGATTGGGGGTGTACAAAGGTGCGCATTATACTCCGGAAATACGGTATGAGCTGTGGCTGTCGCGAATTTGTCTCCATAAGTGAACATACAGGATGGTTTCTCTCTCAACTGAATCAGACCCCCTCGGGAATCAGACCGCTTTACACACAATTTCACTGTGTAATCGATGTGAGCGAGGGTGGACAAATATATCGTGCAAAGTGCAAATTGAAGTAGTTGTGTACCGGTATTACTTGCAGGGCCGCCGGAACCGGTCCGGTTGTCGCCGGACCAACTCTGGCTCAGGTCACCACCTAAGATTCGTCTAAAAGCGGGGAGAAAAATTCTGGGTACATGTACATGTACATGTATTATTGCATTGATCATGTACTGTATATACATGCACCCATAGTGGGCCATATATGATCCATGCAAAATTATTCCCTGTAGTTGACTCTGAAAACTTGTGAAAGGGCCAAATTCTGCGATTTGACCGAATTTTTCAAAAAAATATCTGGGGGAGATTCCCCGCACCTCCCCCCCCCCCCCCCCCCCCCGTCCCCTCAAACCGGACCAACCTCGCCCGCCTTCTGACGGGCCTGACTTGTCAATTACTCACAAGTCCAGAGCGGCCTGTGATGTGTAAATTGCAATAACCCACCCAGCGGCACAGAAGAAATTCTAAAAATGTTAACTAAAAGCAGGAGACCCAATGCTGTAGACAGCAAGCTGTTTCGGCCAGAGTCAAAAAGCAGCGGGCAATGCAGGATACTGATGAATTAAATTGAATTTACAAAAAGACTGTCACTGGCCTATCACTGGCATACTAATGGCGACGATTTCGGCAGCACTCGGCAGTTCTTGCAATCCTGCCTCTAGCCAAGTCTCACACGAACCGTGAATTTACTACTGGCCAATCACTGACATGCCGGTGGCGACGATTTCGGCAGCACTCGGCAGCTCCTGCACCGTGCTGTTGATATCCTGTCCGGCGGCCTGCCACGCCTTGAAGTCGTACGTCTTCGAGCCGCAGTCCTGGCTGAACGCGGCGCCGGGCGAGAAGTGACTATTCGATCGCGTCTGGTACACGTGGTCGTCGAGGTGTGCCGGATCGCAGCGGCTGAATGTGTAGAACTTGCCATCGGGCGTGTAGCAGCGGTTGCCATAGTAATACTGGAACGCAAACTCGCCGTTGTCGTCCGTCTGGCAGCGGCGGTTGCCGCTCGAGCGGCTCGAAATGCCCGGGTAGACGACCACGTTGCCCGGCCCGGACATCTTGTCGTGGCCCAGGTAGTTCTTCAGGCCGCCGAACACCAGCAAGTT